GCATAAATAAGTTCAGCGTTTTCAGAGAACATTTTAGACTAGGGACGCTTGTAGTGAAGACAGACAGAGATAAAGGTAAAAGGAGAAATAACAAGAAGATAGAGTTAAGAGCAGAGATAGCATGAAGAAAGAAGAAGACGACAAAATATCCAAAAAGCGTCCCATAACTTTTGGAAATGAAGAGCAAGAGAAGGAAATACATGATTGGGAACACAAAATAACTGAGTGCTTACCTTTTTTTCTCTCAGTAGCCAGCGAAGAGCTTCTCCGAGATAAAACTTGCACCTGCGCGTTTGAGCAGTCGTGCGCCTCTTCTCCACTTGTTCGTACCTGAAAAAGAAACACTTCATCACAAAGTACTGATAGAAGAGGCATGAACTCACCCCCAAACGAGATCCTACGCTGCGGCGTTATGTATTTCGACATCCGCTTCCTCATAGCGCGCGCCCTCGAAGCGTGGTCCCGCGCCGATCGGCTGGCTAGCACGACAAAGTTCGCCGGAACTTTGTATTTAGTGTACTTCACGGGAACTTTGTCATCTTTGCCAAAGTTCCCACGCGCTTTCACCGGAACTTTGAATCCGCGGCTCCCGTGACGTCATAAATCACGGGAACTTTGTCATTTCTATACCCCAATGGTGAACAAGGTTCTCCGGAACTTTGATATTTTACGCATGTTCGCCGGAACTTCCCGCCGTTTGTCTGAGTCGGCATCTCTTGTCTGAACAGCTTTGGCCAACCTTTAGGTTATGTATGGCTGGGTTCAAAGTGGACTCGTAATAGAAAGACGATTATAAAAATTTTCATTCATGTGGGATTACGGTAATTTAGTGGAGTTTAGCCGCAGTAGAAGCGTATATTTATTCACTAAATAGTACCGTTATACTACAGTAAAGAAGAAAAAACATTAAATCGCTTTCTATTACGAATCCAGTAATTTTAGTAAGAAGTTGTTCGACAGAGATGGAAACGTTATTTCAAATTTGATATCATTCTGACTCCATATATGAGTTTTTCGCTCCACCAAATATCAGCTCAAGAGTTAAGATAGGTATACCGTATCAGCTGTTTTCCCAATAGTGATCTGTTTATAATATCTAAACTGCTCTACAAAGTTATTTACTAGAATCAGCATTTAGAAAACTCCCTACCGTAATTCTATCCACAATAGCGAAGCGAGGTAGGTGAATCCTGCGGTGCTATGAATTTGAGCTGAAACAGCCTTACAATATAATATACTTTCTATGATCCGCGAAAACATCCATGGAAGAAAGTCATTAACGATACCTTAGCTATATTTTTGGAACCCCTGCATTATAAATTTACAACTCCTGCAGCCTGCAAAAATGTACATCATGACTTTTCAAGGTAGTACTGAATTACAATAGGCATGCAAAAGGAAATATTATTGGCTTTTTTTGGAGATGCTTACGGCAACAAACTTGAAATGACAAAACCGCAGCCTTGCATACATCGCTGCATTAACTCTACATTTGCAAAGCTTGATATGACGAATCAAGTGGTTTTTATTCATTGGGTAATGTCTTTACCAGTTCTTCTGGAAAAGATTTTGAAAACTAGGAGTGTCACTTGGCAACCGGATTGTGCAAAGGTTATCAATAAATTGATTACATCTATAATACAATCTAACTAAAGGATGTTCCCACTACAGAAGTGCTGTGGGATATTGAAAGACTGTTCACACCATAAGTATTTGAATTTGCCTGGAAAATTACGTAAAAGAAGTTTCACTGGGGTTTTGAGCTGAGCATAAGTGTGCATGCTTTTCTTATCTCTTGTTCTAGAACATTAGTCCAAATTTTGATACCGATATTCATACCCACACATAAAAATAAGTTCACTACAATTGAGTGTTAAGCTGGTGGGCATTTGGATAAACAGTATCTAATCATTAAAATCACCTGAGTAAGATTACCTATGGTATGTTTCATACTCCAACAGGCTAATGACATCCAAATTTGAAGATATTCGAAGAACCTATTGGACGAGGTTTACTCAAAAGTGTTACCTTCTAGCACTTTATGTTCTAGTTTTCTGATTCTCAGGATTTTACATATAGTAGCTGCTTGGCTAACTGACATATTAACATTTTGTGTTTACTCTCCTCACTCATAGTAGACCAGTCCATTGTGATTGAGTTTCTTTTTTTTGTTTTGCTTGATATTAGGTTGGCTAAATTTCGGTCGCTTCTGCGGCTCTTACAAATGCAGCAAACAATTTTTCTGTTTGTGTAGAATTCGGTTTCCAATGGAAGAAATCAGCAAAGAGGTGAGAAATCCTATTTTTCTCATTGTGCGCAAATATGCGAAAATTTGATTTTCAGGTCAAAGAATTTTAAAATGGCAGGCCACAATTTCAACTGTTATTCGCCAAGTAGGGAAAGCTTCTCCGTATTTACATACCAAATTGGTGTTCTCTACATCCATTACAGCAAGAAAACGAAGCTTAGAAATTGGCAAAATCGAACTTTTGGAGCTTTTAGCCATATTGGAAATAACTGTCTCTTGCTGATAATTGAAAATCCTGAATAGTTGATATGTGATAGAAGAAGCTCCAAGCTACTTCCTGCTAAAAGTCATGAATAAATAACAGCGGAAAGTTTTTATGACGACCTTTATATTTTTTAGCCAACCTAACAAAAACTGCACCATCGCAGTTGAGCTGTACGGAAGTTCTATATGTCGATTCCTCTATATAAAGAAGGAATTTCATGTAAAGTAAATACCCTTACTTTCATCTAAACTTTCAAAAACTGCTAAAAAAAACAAATAGTGGCGAAAGATGAGTGAAGGGAGGAAAAACTTTGTAGTTGGTGGAATATAATGATAGGAACTTCGAAAATCTCCTCGGTTTCATAATTTTTGATTTTCTTAATTTCTGGTACTCTACAATAGTTTTGAAAGCAATACTCTAACAAAACTTAACCCTCCTAAAAAGTCTTATCACCACTCTCCCACTTTCCGTGCCACCAGAACCTGAGAGTCACGCGCTTTAGCTGATAGCGATGACTGAACATTCGGGGAAGATAGAGCAAGTTTGAGAGCGAAAGAAGTTGTGTGTCTTTTTGGCTTACTTCCTACCTGGAAAAGGAGCTGAAATGGTCAAGAAAGCGGTATTGGATTTGTTTACTTGTTAGGATGTTTCGGTTTGCCATGACAGAGATTGTTTTTGTAAATTCAACGTTCATAATCTTGACTGTTCTTTGATCTGGACTCTCGCAAACTTGAGGCATTTACTCAACTACTTGAGAGAGAACCATGATTGGCGAATTATGACTGCACTACCCTTCCGCTGCTTACGGTAATTATACGGTAGCCGGTCATGCAACGTAAAACTGTTGAGTCTATCTGTTGCGATTTGCCAGTCGAATCACTTACGAAAACAAAAGAAGTGCAAACCTCAATGATTGTACACTAATCTCCTTTTTGCATACCATCACGCAAATCTTCGTTATTAAGGAGAAAAGTTTTCTTTTCCTCGGTAAGCCTCTTTTAACAAGGAAAAATTTAGATGCTCTAAGAACTCATGTAAGAACTTCGAGTCAAACACCCAAATAGATTTCTTTTCCTCAAAACGATGATAGAGTTGTTGAAATTGTTCAGATTAGGCAATGATTGTATAATCAAACGCAACTTCAATTGATGAGGCCCATTTGAACACCTGAGTCATACGCGCGCGAACGTGGCGCAAAGCTCAGTGCGCTTACAGAAGGGAGCACGTGATTGACACGGACTGTGTTTACGGAAACCTTCGTTCCACTTTAGGTGACTGAAGCTTTCAAATCACAGATTTCGCAGAGATAATTTGACATGGTGATTACACAGAAGACATTCGTTCAACCTACAGGGATTTCTCAGTGCGATAGAGTATGCCCGCATGATTACGTTCTTCTCCGACTTGTTCAAGAACATAACTTCTATCATTTGTGCTTCAGCAACTGCCAGAACCTTATACCACATCTGCCTAAGAGAATAGTTCTCTTCTTTCCTGTATGCTGTGCTCGGAGTTCTGTAGACTCAAGAATATAACGCAGTGATTCTTCCTGTAAAATGTTCCTTATCGCCTTTCCTAGAGAGCAATTCGGATCATATTTATTTCCACTGAGTTTTATAATCTGCTGAATTTAAACCTCTATGAACTTCAATAGTGACTTTTGATTATGCACCTTTTACTTCAGTTACTTCTTTATTCTCTCTCTCAAGCGATCAATACAAAGCATCAAATTTAGATTTTCTGGCACTTTTTTCGAAAATCGTAACTCAACGTAGAAACGTGCAATCAGCATAACTTTGCTTAGTAAGGGCAGGTAAACTTATGATTCTGACTCCTCCTATTTTTATCGCAAGTTTTAGATTTTATAAGACCAAACCCATAAACGAAATCTGAGTAATTTTCTTCTACCGCCTCTACCTATGCAATGTATGCTCAGTAGAAAGCTAAGAGACTGTTATGAAGAGCATATTCGTTTGGTCAAACCTATGTAGAAGCAGGCAGCAAATTGGTTCGAGAAATCAGAAGTCACGAATTTCTAAAAATGGTGTGATAGAACTTCTGCTCCAAATATAATCAAGCTTGGGCACCTTTTCCCTTCTATGCCATACTTTCCGCTCCACAAGCCGCGATTATTGTTTTGCTATTGACTTAGCTTTCTGAACATTAAGAATGGGAGCATCGCACAACTCTTAGAACTGGAAGCTTATAAGCCTGATAAGTAAAGAAATTGATTCCGCAAGCCTTTTTCAATGTAAATTACGATAACCTAAACTTTGAACATGAATCACGCGTTACTATGGATTCCAATAGTCATCGAGCATGACGACAATGGTTTTTCTCAATGAGATTGGCAATGTGCGAGGAAACTCTCGTGCTCTAATGCACGAGACATGCTCGCATCGCAAATCCGCTGCCCTCCAGTAATTGATTTTTTTGCAGTAACTGCTCTAAGATTCGCCATTTGTCAATACTTTTTGTTCCATTTATAGCTGTCTTGTACTTTGATAATTTAGGAATTATCAGGCCAGCGGGTACTGCGCAGAAGCTGCAACGGCCGACGTTCCGTTGTAAACGGGCATTTTTTTGTCGTGTGCACGTCGATTGAATGGTGCATGTTGCCCATACTCCCGTGGTGAGCTTTTTGTATACTTAAGTATTTTAAACATGCTTGAGCTTTCTTCAGGAAATGCTGGATGACGGCCGGTTGCCACATCGCCCTCAACTGGAACTGAGCTTCGCACCACAGCAGTATGAGAACGTTCTTCTGTAAGTTTTTCAGGTGCCTCGAGTCACTTACCGTTGCTTTTGTTGAGGGCTCCATAATGCTTTCTCACATATTTCAGAACCACTCTATCTACGGGAACGCTCAAATTTCCTGGGGAAGAGAATGCCTACACTTTTACTGCATCTAACCTCAGGGATTGTGGTAAGATTGGTAGTGGAAATTTCGGATCAGTCTACAAGATGATACATAACGAAAGTGGAAAGGAAATGGCTGTGAAGGTAAATCATCTTCAATGTAGTGATCAAAAAACATGACAGGATGACGAGTTTACAGAGGATTCGTTGTAACAACATCAATAGTCAAGAACAGGAGAAGATCATACGTGAGCATGATACTATCATGCGGTCGGAGCAGTGCCCAAATATAGTAAAATTTTTTGGCGCCATTTTGCATGAGGTATGGTTTTGCGTATTTTGTATTGACTTTGACTTTTCAGTATCTAAATCTTTAGCGGGGTAATCTTCCCTCAAAATTCGCTGCTTAACAGCGCTACTAGCAAGCTTGCTTTTATGTTTCTGATTGATTTATAGACATTTGCTCGAGCATTCGTATCGGTATCTCAACTGACAAGGTGGGTAGGTTAGTAAAAGTGGCCTTTCAATATGAGATGAATACGGCTGTAAAGGGTATGAAACGCTGCTTCCAAATCTATATTCGTTATCTGCTGCGAGTTTCTAAACAATGAGTTGGGAAGGTTTTTATGAGCGAATTTGCAACTGCAGCAAGGACGAAATCAGTCATAACTTTTGTCCTGAAGCTTGAATTATTGTGGCGTCTCCGTGCAATGAATATTCTTAAACATACCATATAACGCTGCCTTATTTGAACATCAAGAAAAGTTAGCTGCTGAATTTACACCATTCATGCATTATAATTTCTTCCTTAAACTCGGATTGAAAGGGCACTTCGACTAAACTTTCTTTCCTTTGGAGTGAGTCGCGATGTTTCATGCTCTTCCTTATATTTCAAGAAAATGATACCCTGAATTTTAAGGGAGACTGTTGGATCTGCATGGAGCTGATGGACATCTCTTTGAATATCCTTTATGAGCGAGTGTATAACCTTCATCATGCGCGATTCGAAGAGAACGTAATTGGACACATTGCAGTATCTGTATGTTTTTTGAGTGTGGGAGAGAAGAGATGTAATGAATGCACATTTTAGGTGATAGACGCTCTAGATTACTTAAAGCGCAATCTCGAAATCATACACAGAGGTAAACTTGGCTATAAGATGCAGCTTGCTTGCGATAGTTATTATTTTGTATACTCCCACGATTTTGCATTTGCAGATGTGAAGCCATCTAATATTCTCGTAAACAGATGTGGCATGGTGAAGTTGTGCGACTTCGGTATCAGCGGTCAACTGATCGACTCTTTGGCTAAAACCCACGATGCCGGATGCCAGCCTTATCTTGCGGTCAGTGCAGTTATCGGTTTGGTGGTAACAGTCTCCTGTTCACTTTTAATTTCTTTCCTGGTACAAGTATTCACGTTGTTATACGATAATCTTTTTAGCCAGAACGTTTATCGCATTATGGCAAGAAATATGACATTCGCTCCGACATATGGTCTCTTGGACTAACACTGGTAAGCCTATTAGTACGATGTGCATTTAAACTATGTACTCAAATAGATAGCATGTTTGAAGTTGGCTTAACCTGAAATGCTGTTCTTGGCTTTTTTCCACGCTTTATGATTGACGGCTCAGTTGACTTTGAACCTTCCCGCACTGGTGTTTAACAACTTAAGTGGACTAAGCAACATTTTTGTTTTAGTACGAGATCGCCACTGGAAAATTTCCGTACCCGTCTTGGAATTCTGTTTTTGATCAGTTGAGCGCAGTCGTACATGGCGATCCACCTATGTTGGATATGAATGGACGATTTTCGTTTTCTCGCAACTTCGTCACGTTTGTCAGCAAATGGTTTGTCAATCTCTTCGTTTTTCGCTCCAGTCAGCTGCTTATTTTAGCCTAACGAAAGAACGCAAAGATCGACCAAAATATGACAAGCTGAAGGAGGAGGAATTCTACAAGATGTAGGCGGATTTTATGTGAATATAACAAGTCATTAGAAACTTTTTAGGCATGCCGTTCCCGGTCCTCTAATAGATGCAGCTCGTGAATTTCTGAAGTTTTACACGTTAGATTATCTTGAAAATTTACAAAATGGCATGTAAATATTATGTAAGCCTTAGAGGGCGTTTCTTACTTGTGACAACCTATAATGATCTCTATATTGATGTACACCGGTCGATATTTGAGGGATTGAAATCCTTCTATGCTGCTTTGTCCTATGTTGAACTAAAGTGCCCACATCTCTATCGCCCTTTTTATAGAAGTCGATTGCTGCATTTCAATGTAGAATTGGTTTGAACTCTTCTGTGTACACTTCGACTTGACGTTCTCATTGAGGGTGTTGCTGTGATCCTAATTCGTCAGTTGTAAATCTCTAGCTTAGCAGTATTTCATATTGCGATGTTCTTGCTTGTAGCAAATCAGCTATTCCAAAGAAAGTTTTTTTTTCGAGAAATGTGACATCATAATGTATTCGGCGATGTTAGATGCGAGTCATGCAAAGTTCTCATCGTGGATGTAATATATTCAAGCATAAACTCTATGGAATTTCATTCTTCAGACAAAGGCATAGCGGTTGCTGCTACTTATGAAGTTGAATCCTACCTTTGATGTCATGTCATGATACATCTTGCTATTTCTGCAAATTTCAGTTCCAGTAGGACTCTACAATCTTACCGCTTACTATGAACCAGTAATCCAAAGGTGCTAGATTTGCTGGAGCGTTCGCTGCGGGAACTGCACAGTTCCCACAATTTGACTGCTTTATATATAGATTATGAATTAGCAGATGCACTCCTTATCCAGGGTCATACAAACTCTTGCATACACTATCAGCTCGTAATCTCTTTCGCGCATGTGTGCGCGGATGTTAAACATAGCATCACTGTGGTCCCGCGAGGAAAACCTGGCGGCGATATGCGCGGTAGTAGCTCCTGTCGAATGTGGTGACAGCTGTTTCATAAAAGTGTTGCTGTTCTTTGGCTGACATTTCAGTTTGTTTTGGTGACAGTCGTCTCGTAGATTTCATGATTTTGAGGACTATAATTCTGTTTGTTTGGTTTGCTGTCTTACTTTGATAGTCGTTGTACACACAGCTGAAATTGCCTCGTTGTAACAATGCCATTTATTCTTAGTTCGCTTCGCCATACTCAGTGATTTTCAGAATGGAGACCAAAAATCCAAGCTCCAAAGTCCCAAGTTCTGCTAGGTTTTTATCGTGAGTCGTATATGCTTTTCGAACTTTTTTATTCAGTACGCCTTCAGTTCATTTTATATTAGCGTTATTTTAGATGTATAAAAGAGACGCTCAGCTCATCAGCTCCTGAAACCAGTATACAGTTCGTTTGCGGGTATGTTTTTAAGAGTTATATGCTCATTACGATGGACAGTTAAATCGATTATGGATGTTTCATTATCATCACGTGCTTGTGTGAAACAAAATTAGTTTTTAAGTATCCACGCAGACAGTCACGATGTTTGAGTCTCAGCTGAAGTGCGTGTGATGAAGGGGGGGGGAACGTCGTTGCGATAGTCAGAATTAACTTTTCACTGAGATTGTGATAAGTTATGTAACGTAGCAGTGCTTATACCTTGATATAGCATAAAAAGGCCAGGCATTTAGTTTACTTCTTGCCTCATCTCCCACAGAAAGGCTTTTGCAGTGAAGACATGACAGCATAATCATTTTCTTCTTTTTTTTAACCGCTTGTGTTCGAATCGATTTCGCTTTTCCACATTGAGATTGTCTACTGTGCTCGGGAAATCTATAAGAAAAGTTTGGTGATAACACTCTAAACAGATACTCAGAACTATGTTCTTATTCTAGAAGAATTCGAAAAGTATATGCTTTCTTGACGAAACATGATGTATCTTTTCTCTGTTCTTGGTTTCTCTTTAATTTCATTCTGCTTCCAGCACTATATTACTATTCGAGAAGAACTTTGGGTCGAAAAATAAAAGTGCCATGCAAAAAATCTTAAAAGAAGCTTTGGAGAACTATGGTCCCGATTCATCATTTTCGAATCATGAAGAGATGCTTCCGATTTATAGTATACTGGTACGTTCTCTTAATTGAATTTTTTTGCACTTACCAGTGAGATTTCAGAGTAAATATTTCAAATTGTCAACAGTTTCCGATATTTTTGAAAGATTGCATAGGAAAGGATCGTATCGTCGTTGTGCTAGATTTTATGTCGAATGGTGTAAAGCATGCCGTGATGATGCAAAAAGACTGGTCAGTTTTTCCCCACAAAGAATGCGGTGTAAGACAGAAGATATTTGCAGGAAATTCTTGATTTGGCTTTCCAAGAAAATGCCGAACCAGCAAATACACTGCAGTTAGCAAGAGAAGAATTGCTCACAAACATGGTTACTCCATCTTTTTCGGAAATTTCAAGTCCTGGGTGGGTTCACCGATTCTAGTTACTAATTTTTCTCATGTCGATCTAATGTACCCATAAAGAGACTTTTTTGTATTGCTTCAGACACTCTTCATTACCTGTTAGTGAACAACTTGGAAGAAGGCCACATGCTGAGAAGTCTGCGAAACGGGCACTATTTGCTGGAAATTCGGTCAACACTCCTCTCGAGAAAAATAAGTCTGTTCCGGAAAAGGAGTGTGCATCATCTAGCTATGATTTTGTACTACCAGAATTTGGAACATCATCATATAGGTACTGAAGTTTTTCATTATTTTATTAGTGTTCATCGATCTTTTTTACAAAGGACATCAAGTGTATGCGATTCTCCACCTCCCAACAATTTCGATGTCCCTATTCATCGAACATCCAGCTCGAATGAATCCTTGCCTACCCCCGATCCCAACGCTGAAAATATGTAAGAATGTTCATTTATTATCTGGTCCAATATCAGAGACGTTTTCTATCTTCACATCTCATCTGATTCTAGAAACCCATCTGGAGTAACAGAACCCATAGTGCGAAGGAAATTAGCAGGAATTCTTGTAAGTTTTAGGCCTTTGGTTCAGCTTGTAGTGTATTCACACATTAAGGTCCCTTCCCTTGACTTCACTCTGGATGACTACGATTTTAGCGATGATATTAATGCAGGCTTGAAATCCTCCGAAGCGCTAAAAAAGGAGGACAACGAGGCTAATATTAGGAACAACATGCCCGTAAGTCTTTGCTTGATCTAACCATCATTTGTTCATTTGCATATACTCATAGAATGAGGATACTGAGCAGCCCAGCAGTTCTTTCCCTTCCCTACCACCACTTTCTCTTGAAAAGAGACTTACTCCTAGTCCTACTAATAGCGACAAATGGTGAGCTCATGGCAGCAGTTTTCACTTCATTATCAATTCATGTTTTGTATTCAGAAATACTGGTCTGTCGGAATTCAGGAATGGTACTACAAATTACTCACGTACAATCAAACAGTCTTTTCATACTGTACTATTGCTCGCTGTTCAACGATTGTAAATTCTGTGCCAGTTTCTTTGTGAATCATGATCTCAGAAGTCTGCGACGCTTCATATATATACATCGCGGACATTTAATAACGTCTATTTTGCTTCACCTATTATTTCTTGCAAATATGCCAAATTTCAAAGAAGTCAATGACTGAAGTTTCTTCATAAGATTCGATAAATTTTTTGAATTTCTTCTTAACTAGGCCTCGATCTACTTGCATTCCTCACTTTACAACTGAATTGACTCTAGGTGGGATGATTATGCCTCTTTTGAGAGCTAATTTTGTCTTGTCATGTGTTTCGTTCCTCAGATTTTCCATTGAATAATTTATCGATATAAATTTTCAAGATATGGTTGGATTCTAATAGAGCTACTCAATTATGTTTATTAGGAGGTTTGCTTAAGATGCACATGGAATTTGTATGTTTTGCAGTTTTGTTGATGAAAACTATAAGTGTGCTCGTGTAGTTCTGGGGACAGGCGGTGGAAATTCGACCGTACCAATTTGTGGACAAAAGTGTGAGCACCTTCTTTATTGTTATTGGTCAGCTTTTGATGAACTCAAGCCTGCACTAAAGGCAGCGTCCAGGCAAATCTGGACCTATGGGGATTTTACGTGGGAAGTGATTTTGGGGCCCTAACTAAGGGACTACCCAAGCGGCAGCGCAGGTGATTGACTCACTAACGGCTGAGATATACGCCCCCAAACTGGACCCCAGGATCGTATTTCGCATGGATCCATGGAGCAACCCATCAGTTTCGCGTGGGTCCTCGCGCGAAACTGATGGGTTGCGCCATGAATCCATGCTAAATACGATCTTGGGGCCAATTTCGAAGGGTAATCTCAACCGTTAAAGCATTACCTGAGCTGCCGGCTGGGCAGTGGCTTAGTTAGGGCCCCAAAATTACTATTCACTTGGGATCCCCATATGTTCAGATTTGCCTGGACGCTGCCTTCAAGTAAGCAGCTGTTCGTTGCGTATGGCTTTAAGCTTCACCTGTCAGCTCTAGACGATCATGTTATCATGTTGTGTATACATATACAGTCGAGTTTCCGCTTAATATAGTGTGCTTGCATGAAGGTGAAATGCGGTAAAATTTGCGCGTAAAGAAATAGCTATAAGCTCCTGCAGGACGAAGGGCGGTTGGTCGATGTGCGACGTGGCTGTGACGCGATTGTGACGCGGCTGTGACTCACCCGTGTCGCAGCCGCGTTGCACATCGAACCAACCGCCTTCGTCTTGCAGGAGCTTATACGCCTTTGACGCCGGCCATTTGCTCGCGCAAAATGTTGGCATTACTGGCGTGGCTACTTGTTCATGCGCAAATTTTACCGCATTTCACCTTCAGTGCAAGCAAACTATATTAAGCGGAAAATCTACTGAACTGTAGCAGAAACAAAGCTTATAAGCAGTCCTGTATCACGCAGAGGTTTTTGGATCCACGTGTCCAGATCATGTATGTTCCTATAAACTTCATTGAAACGGTGAAATCACATGTAGGGGTTTTCAAGAGAATTAAGCAACTTTTAATTAGTATATGTGAGAAACTTGATTGACTAGCCTCTGTGTTGCAGCGAAATTTGTTTGTCTCCTTCGGTATAGGCATGTACTTGCGCCATAATTGTATGTGATGGTAGGATTGTGAACTGTAGGAAACTTCCGATTTTTGAAAATTTTTCTGTGGTTGCACAAAATCTAAAAATGGAGCTCTGGAGTTATGCATCTGCTCTATTTTCGCTGCGCCTAGCGAGTTTTATTGTGAACAGTCGCAAGTGTCAAACGAGTATTCGCTATTCTTATCAAGAAGCTAGACTAGTCCCTTTTGATCGGGTCCGTGCAGTCTTTCTCAGTTGATACTCCAAATGTTAACCCGGTGAGTACAGCTACAACTTTGCTTTCCTAAACCAAAAACAAAATTATGTTTGCGAAGGAAGAAACATTATTGGAAATTCAATTATTTCGGAGTCATGAACACGTGGGCTACTGCTGGACGAAGGCGTAAAGTTTAGGAGCGAACGCGGTTCCATCCGCAGAGCGCGCGGGTTTAGAACGGTGAAGATACCGCGCCGTCGCGCCCGCTCAACCAATACCGCTTTGGCGCCTTCGTCCGGCAGTAGCTTTTATTGATCCTTATTGACTCACCGGAGAAATTCTGCATATGCACCTTTTGGTTTTGAAATATTTTTTTTTGATATTCTGACTAAACACGATCATTCATCAGTGCACTTGTAGTAAATCCATTTTATTATTCCTACCATGATGGAGGCTCGTAGTGGTTCAGCAATTGATAGTCCTACCTTACTGTGTTTCCTACGCAGACAACGTAAATTTTATATCACTGTATGAACCCAGGATTTCAAATCATTTGACAACGAAAAGAGATCGACAAGAATAATTACACGTGTAAAAAATGCAGAGGAATGTGAAAAGGTAAAGACGATTTAGGTTTGCAAACATCTCAACCATAGATGAAGTGAGGGGGAGAGAGAGATGGTAGGCAAGATGAATCACATTTCGTCCAAAGTCTGCAGAGAGCGAGATTCACATGCTTTGAAGGCACCATTCGCCAGTCGAGGATGGTGAGATTTACGCTGTGTAGTAGCAGGACCCTAACTAAATAAAATGGCCCAAGTTCCGCTGCGAAAGATAAATTTCGAAGCGAAAAATTCGCGCCAGAAGGTAAAGGCGGCCCAGGAATCTCCGCCCATCAACGTGGTGGTCTGAAGTAATGAGGGTGGTATTCGGGGTAGATAGGAACGTTGAAAATCTGATAATCATAATGGAGAGACGATTTGTGACAATTCTAGATACATTATAGCGCAATTAGAAGCTCGTTAACTGCGGACCATCCACGTTGATAGGCGGAGATTCCTGGGCCGTTTATACTTTCACAGCAGTTTTCTTGCTTCGAAATTCATCTTTTGCAGCCGGGCTTGGGAGATTAGTTAGTTAGGGGCTCTGCTATCATACAAAATCAAAATCTCACCATCCGCATTTTTTTGTGGACGGTGCGTTAAGAGACATGTATTATATACATAATGAATAGCGAGGAGTAATGCCTGTAGCAACCTGAGAAAATCTCTTGAGTGAAATAACACGGATTGCATTGGATAGTGGAACTTTCGAGTTATTTAAACATGTTGAAGAGTTCCTTAGAAGGCGCTACACCGTTTCATTTTTTACTCGACTATTGCGTCGCGACGACGAAGGTTTGATTAACAGCTCGCTATGCGGTGATCTCTCCATCTCCCTTACTGAAGCCTGCAACTTTCTATAAATAAATGATTCTTTTATTATAGTTAAGATCAAAATGATAGAAGGAATTCAATTCTTACTCTGCCCATTCCGCTCTCCATTGTGCTGCAGTTGTATGAGCATCGTTTGCGATCAACACCAAATCGGTAGAGGAACGGATTGATACAAGTGCTAAAAAAACTTTCTTAATAATTAATTCAGAGTTGATCGTAATCATTGATTGTTTAGTTACTTGTTCATAAAACAATCTACTAATGCTAATCAGTGGCGCACCGAGGGGTGGGGGGAAGCGCTTCCCCCCCCCCCCCCCCACCCCCGAGCGGAAATCCTGGGACACCACTGATGCTAATGCTAATATACAATTATATCCTCCAACTCTGCTCAAGACCTGGTTTTCCCAGTGCTGAATTAACTCATGCAAACAATAAAATTACGGACTTTGCCTTCAAAAAAAGTCTTCTGCATGATTCTGCAACTTCCGCAGACCACTATTTTTGCAACCCATTTTTGGATTTTTAGGGAGGGGAGCGGGGAGGAGTGAAGGATTTGGATGTCTAAACACTTAAAGTTTGCTTGTTTTGAGGATGAATGGCTCTGATGATAGCACAATTGAATCTGAAAATCTCAATGCATGTAATATATTGCAGTGGCTTCCAAGGAATTTTCTTCTTCGAGATGGGGGAGGGAAGGGGGAGGATTTTAAAAGAAGATTTCTTGGAAAGATAATGCCTTCCGAAATTTTTTGGGGTTGCTCCTGCAAATTTTTTGTGGGCGGGAACTGTTCTAAAAAAAGGGAGCATGGTGGCTTCATTCCGCCGTTAATAGATTATGATTTTAGAGCATCCTCTTTTAAGCTCTTTTTCAAACTTACCGATCATCTCTGGTACTTGATAGTGAATTTAATTAGTTTGACCCTTATTAAAAAACAAAAAGTCAAAAATGATCTCTTACCTGGCTATAATAATCGCCTGTAACCAGTTGATGCGACTAGTTATACTCTCACATACTGCGTTCTCATCGCAGACAACACGCAACAAAGCTAATACCTGAAATGAAAGAGTCGAAGGAAGGAAGAAACGAAATCACTGTAAAGATCCTCAATCTTACTTGATATGGTAGCCATGTAAAGAAAAATGTACAAATGACAGCTAATGATGCGCGCAAAAAACGTGCTTTTGTGCTTGACTGCTTCTTTTTCTTGCCGCCATCCTGAAAAAATGATTGTTTTTCATGCAAAAATTGAGGATAATTCACAATGTACCTGTAGTAATTTCCTTTCAGCCATTTGTTTTCGAAGCGATAGGCCAATTAACGAGTAACAGACGACAACAATCGCTAATGGAACATAGAAAGTCGTTATTACATGGAAGAAATTGAACGCAACCAGCACCTCTCGGCTGTAGCTCTGAATATAGTAGAAGATTTTGCAAAAATGCGAATAGCACAAGATTTAACTTTCAAAAAACGCTTTGGCCCTTTTTGCACCTACTATACGGTACGATACCGTAAATCCGCGCTGTTTCTGAGAGTATAAGTGGAATACGGTATAGCTCATGGCTCTTCTCGCCCTCTGCTGGCAGGTTTTGCGCGCGATACAGGGTGAGCGGTCACTTCATGCTCAACACAAGGGTATACTGTAGCGGTGCAAAAAGGCCTCGTCCTTAATCTTGTGGAACGTACGTTCACTAATGGATAGCATTGTTCGTATGATTCGTCCTCGAATGAATATATGGTTATAGTTCCCCGAATGAATGCCATTGGCAGTGCGCAGAGTATTGCACATATCCAAGCGAGCGCTATCAACCAATCCACTCGATTTGCTGCTGTTCGATAGCTGTTCAGGGGAGATCTGAAAAATAAATCATGCGTTGTGAAATTGCGGTTGAAGCGGGTAATCTTACGTTATACAACAGAGCATGTCGACAGCAATGGCGGCAACCAAATTTGACCATAAGTGGAATGGCAGTGCGCAGAAAAACGAGAAAATTTTGCACATTAGATTTCCTAGAATCATGACTGCTAAATTTCGAAATCATTGGAATGTCATGAACCAAAGTAGATAAGATTCATTGCATAAAAACGCGCTAACCTTGTACCCAAACAATATTATAGAACCAGTAGCTACGCCATACACCATAAGTGAAGAGCACCATAATATGTGCAATAAGCAGTTGACGACTTAATTTGACAAGCCGTGACTCTACACCACCTTCGCGTATATTCCTTAATAAACATAAGTTTGCATATCGAAGATTATTTGTTTTGGTCACAAAAAAATGTCTGTGCGGCGGCACCAGTCTCATGCAGTGCAATTACACCAATATGCGCGAGCTGCTCTCTCAGCTACAGTATGCTTATGAAAGAAAGTGTATCTCTTACACATCATTTTAGTATGACAAACAACATGACAGAGCCACGAATTTTGCCTAAATCCAAGCTGCGAATAACTATGATGCAGAAATTTGGACATGCTATGAAAAGTGAATAAATAAGAAAACACAAGAAACAGAGAAGAAGAGCAAAAGGGTGGGTGCAATCTGATCCCCACGCGCTGGAGCATACTGTAGCCATGGGATCGCCCGCTCGAATTACTGTAATTGCAGCGGGGCACTCGACTTCAACCACATGTGTAGCCAGTACATGAATTTTACATATACATAGTTCTGCCGAGAGTTATATTGAACTTTTGTGCTGCTGATTTTGAAACGAAGTTCTAGGTGCAACTTTTCTAACTTTCTCTTTGTAGAAACTTCAATGAAGCTCTTGCGATGTCTACTACTGTGGCATATACATAGCAATATTCTTGACGCTAGTCTCAAGAACTCTTCAAACGCGTGAACAAAAAAAAATTAAGTGATGTTTACAGATCCACCTCATGTAAGCTAACCACCTGTGATCAAACAACTTTTCCAAGCTTATGGGATAAAATGTGGTGTGCTTTATCGAGTCTAGACTGCAGTAATTGATACATTTTCACCCAGCCGGTTTTGTGAAAAAAGTTATGTAACTATATTCCAAGTTTTCATCTCTTTTTTACAATCTTTACTTTTCTACATTTTTTCATTAAATTTAAATTTTCTTATCTGCGTGTCACCCATGTGATAGCCATCTATTATTCTGTACGTGTGCAAAGAATAAATACTTGAAAGAAAAGTTTTTCCTCCTGATCGACTCAAACGAAAGAATACACGCAAAAAGCAACTGTTCAACTTTTTTGCCAGTTGATTTTTCTGGTGTTTATACAGTGTTTTGCTCGGGATTTACACAGCTGACATAAACATTGCGAGTGTCCGTGCTAAGCTCTGTTAAAGTTATGTGAATCCACATCCATCAGGATTTTCCTCGAAACACAGGGCATTGAACGTAAGACTTTTGAATATTCTAATGAATGCGAGAATAGTAATGTATGAGAGAATCTTTCAGTAAGTATAATGGAATACTTGGAAATGATGTTAGACAAGATATTGAACCAACCTTGTTGTCCTGAAGAAAGCGTAGACATTTATTGGTGTTCCGATGAGGAAGAACGAGATTTGATAGAACATTTCAATAATCTCAGACGTCGTCGGCTCCAGTTCAAGTACTTGATGTGAACCATTCATGTTCTGAAGTATAAGATACATAGCAAAAGTTATCGGAACTTTCATTCAAAATGGAAAGTTCCCGCGGCGGATATTGATAAAAAACGGAGGAAATGGAGGATATGAAAGATGAGACACATAGCTCCTTAAATAAAGGAAATATCCAGGCAAATCCGACTGCCTCGGCTCCTTATGTGCAGATTAATTAGGAGCCACTAACTAAAGTAACACAATGTCCGATTTACATAACTGATGATTCACTCGTTTCCGAAAAATCCTAAAGATTGAACCCTTGCCCAGACAGTACTCTTTCCCGAGCAGGCAGTAAGTATCCAAGTACGGTACTACCCATCAGTACACATAAGAAGTTATATGTGACTATTTTTATCTGGACTTGCACCTAGGGTTTCTTCAACAAAAATACAACCAAGTAGGAAAATTTCCCAAATGTATGCTGTGGTAAAAAAACAAATAAATGAGTCGAATCAGGAAGCTGTGAACCAAACAAGTTGTGGAATCAAAATCAATCCAGAATAGTCAAAGGAAGTCAGTCCTGTTTTTTTTTTTGAAGTTTCCCTTGCTTGGCCCATAAAAAGTTGAGATTTTCCTTGTAGAGAACCGATACATGGGGAGCTATCTGTACATCAAGAATCGTTGTGCCTATCAAAAAAAATGAAATTGCGGGAAACCGTGCCGCTCCCGCAGCGAACGTTCCTGCAAATCTAGCACCTATAGACTGCGGTTCACTGGTTTTAACAAAAATGTTGATGATGCATAAAATAAGCATAAACGAATGAAACTCTAAGGTGATAAAAGCGTATCAAGCGAATGAGCCGCTTTAGACGATTAGAGTGAAGTTGATGAGCCTAGCCTGCTAATAGCCACAACAGAACACATTTTGATAAACTGGATCAGCAAAGCTTTGCACAATGTTATGATAGCGGATAATGAGTAAATACAGAAACATCACTTTTAACAATGTTTGAGTACCTTCTCCACTGCAGCAGTGCTGCATATTGTCAAAAATGTTTTCATAGTTGAAAACATAAGTATCTTGAGGTTTATCTTGTGATTTCAGAAGTGACGCTTGGTTTTTCTTCAACAGATTTCTGTGAGCTTCTGTTACCCTGACTGTGAGACCTCACGGAAATAAATTCTGTTTTATACTAACCTTTTTCTGAACAATACAGGTAATCAGTGGCTGTCTAGCATCGAAGAACTACCGGGAAGCTTAAAGAGCTTGCCAAGACTATTTGAGCTAAAAGAGTGAGTAGCTCAATCTATATTTGATAAATATATTAGAGCATGAATAGCTATATTAGTACTTTCTCACAGAGCATACTACATGGGATTTGAGCAGATTCCGGCAAGCAAATTTCATGCAGATATTTACCTAGTGGTTTTTTTGTCAACAAAATGTTTGTAATGAGCCGTTCCAGCTCTCCAATAACAGACTCAAGAACGTCAAAAACGAAATGATGTATTCTTTACAATTTAATGATTGTGCAGATGCAAAGATCAAGAAGGAGAAGGTGATGCTGGATAGTTTACAAGCAGTCGTTTAATCAGTAACTCGAGAAGAAAGGTCACGTCAAATATTTAATTTTTAGCATTTTTTGCTGGTCTAATAAACAAAGAATCTATTGCGTAAGCGGGTTCAACGGAACTTCTAAAATGTTAGAGGTGTTTGATGTTACTAGATAGTAAGAATGCTTTCCGTGCATGCTAATTTTCAGTTAATTGTAGCTTCACATTTCGAACTTCAGTACTTAAAAGAAAAATAAATAATTTCCACGCTACTATGCCGCCCCGCTGTCTGCAAAAAGGGTTAACGAATGTTCAGATCCAAGGAGACAGTCATATAGTGTTCTGTATGCGTACGGCATTCATTCTACAACAACAACAAAGCAGATTTTCAAAGATTTGTCTCGTTGAGCTGGGAATATGTAACATTCTATTTTGATGATTTCCATTCCAAAGGAGATGAAGCCGCTATTTCTTTGCTTGTAACCAAAAAACGTAATGCGAAATTAATTATATAAAACAGCCTTGAAAACAATAACCATGCAATTCTTTTCCATCTAGACGGACAATGATATCGGCAAAGCTTACCACGGCGACATTTTGAGCATTGCAAGGTTAGAAAAACCGCAAAAAATTCAAATTGCTGGTACACTACAGGAATGAATCCTTGATCGAAGTGGTTATACAGGAAGTGATGTAGACAGGTGCTTAGCTCTTGTGAAGCTGATCTCAAATCTGTTTTCCTTATCTTTGTGAGGAGGAGGCCGAGATTTGAAAAACAAATACTCACAACTCCTTTCACAAAAAAAGCCTCGCAGATAAGGAAAATAAATTTGAGATCAGCGTCCCAAGAATCAATTACAGATTTACTGTACACATATTTTATTATCCTCTATCAAGGATCTTCTCGAAAATTCGATAGAAAACGCAAAAATTACATACTGGTTTGAGGCATAATTCTCGCATCGAAATTTTTGAAATATTTTCTCCAGCTTCAATAAAGTCTTCGGGTTGGTTGGCATATAGCAGAAATACCCGGACTTTACGAATTTTGGTCGCTAAAATTGTCGAGCGTCTAATAAAATTCAAACTTATTTCATTTTGACTAGAACAATTTGATAGTGATCAGATGTCTCTTACAAATAGTTATGAAATTCGATTTTTTAGAATCGACTATTTGATTTTGTTTCGAATTGATTTCAAAAATGTACTATAGAACACTTCCTTTGATATGCATAACAAAAAGGACATTATGTAAATTGTTTAGTTTGTCCAAGCATTTTCAAAACAATTATCTTCTTGGTACAAAAATTGTGCATCAACCTTATAATTATCTAGTGGTCAGTAGTTGAAGCATATAAATTATATTGATGAAGAAATCGCAGAATATGCGATCCGTCACCATATTCAAGCAGGATTTAGAAATTCGTTTTTCTAAAAGTTCAAAAACAACATAGAGGAGCTCGATGCGAGTCGACACCTCCAAGTACATAATCGTTCCTAAATTCTCCTTTACAAGCCTGATAAATGATTCGATTTACTTAGCAATTGCACACTTCATTGGCTGCGCTGTTCTTGAAGTGCGAAAGATACTAGTGATTGAATTAGCGTAGCTGTGAAATGTGCTATTTTTGACACTTGTCAACTTTCGGTGATTGCATACTTTGTGAGATGTCTTGATGTTGAATGCATCAAAATAACGACTGATATTTAGAGTGAAAGATATGTGGGGCCAGAGAACTCTTACAGATTAACCTGGCTTCAAAATGCTTGCACAAGGACGAATTTTCACAGATATGTCGGAAGGGCAACATGTGTTACGTGATTTTACTGATGTGATTTGTATTTTCTCAAATATTTCAGAAATTTTAGTCTGTTCACTCAAAAAACAAGAAAAAACCTCAAAATCATAACTATCCGTGAGATATTCAATCAACAAATTTTCTTATTTAGCCAGAATTTGCGTGGCTATGCCCCTTGCTGCCAAATTTGAAATAGACTTTTCGGAATTCAGTCCACATTAAAAAATATACTATTCGACTTTTCTTTATCACCTTATGTCGACATTAACGATAGTTTTTGCTCTAATCACTACTGCAGAGCTCGAGCTCTCTCAACGGTAAAAGGTCAAAAAAAAAAGAAAGAATATCAAAGAAAAATTTCTGAAGTTTGCGTATAAACGCTTAGAAAACCTTTTTAGTTTGCAAAATACTTTTCTGCATATGATATGTACATAGTATTTTGTTATGTAGCTTTTAGTCGAAAGGAATTCGAATATTACAGTTTTTCAAATAAAAATTCGATAAACACTGATTTCTTTAAAGAGTGAATCATGAATTTATAATCATTAGAACTTGTTGTTTTGAGCATTAATGAGCGAAATTCAGAAAAATATCGCTTAATCGCTTAAGTGTGTCATTATGGGTATTTTTGTGGTAAAAACTACTAGAATACGCAGAGTTCCTGATTTCTATATACGAAGAAAATTAGGAGGAAAGGATTCTGAGATATTTTAGACTTCATATTACCTATTACATTGAACCAAAACAATTGTAAAAGCAGGATTTCTCTTGGACGAAACCTATAGTGCTTGTGGGAGGAAGACTACTTGGAGAGAATGTTTTCTATCCCTATAGATTTACACAAGCTTTAGTTAAAACGGATTTTGCAGACGGATTTGCTAACATGCAAGGTTTTTCTAGTGGGAAAATATAAACCTGATAGCTGGAGCGCTTCTTTTCGTCTCGAAAAGCCTCCAAAAAAAAGTTTTCTTGTTGAGTTACCTCTTTTAGCTCGCATTCGATATCTATCATATATTTCTGCTGCTTTAGGCTCAGGAACTATTTACCCAAAGGCAATGAGGACATTACAACTCAAACAGCTTGCAGATTACATTCCACTGACCACTGACAGTGGCTACGACGTACTCTGTTGTGCCAAATCGCGCCGTTCGACCAGCTGCTCGAGAAGCCCCGATCGCACAAGTCCGCGATCGACGCACCTCACTCAGAGTCACTGTAGAAAAATGTTCTCGTCTTCTTCGGCACTACTTCAATCAGCAATATTTCTATTTCTACAATTTTCTACGACTTATTCGCAACCGGTTTCGACTATCAAGGATTTACATGCGCGTTACGACGAGGCATCCGGGTCAATTTTTATTGAATGGCAGTATCCGAATCCTATGGAAGGTATGTTACTTTGTACATATCTCATACAATACCGCTCACAGTACGTGCAAAATTTCCGTGATTATCAGGAATTTCCGATCGCAGAATTCCGGGAATTTTATATACATATTATATATAATTATTACAAACTTATTACGCGCAAGACTTGCCATATCAAGGACGGAATTTTGCACGCTCTGTGAGCGGTTCGTAATTCAAGTTAATTTTGCGTTAAAAAACCTTGTTTCCTGTTTGCACGGCCATGAAGGAACTCTATCTGCTTTTTACTAAAGAAAAAAAAACCTCATCTTGCAACCATAATTTCCATAGTGCTTAAGAGAATGCAGTAATTTCACCTCTAAACAAAATTATGAAAAAAAGGTCCTTGGGATTTGCGGCAATGTGACTGGAATATGATATGGGAAACACTTTATAAACTTTACATTTCAAAATACTGCTCTGTACTCAGGAAGTTTCTTTTTTGTCGTCCACCATCACTTAGACTAGTAGGATAAAAGCTTGAACCCTCAATATGCAGCAGAATCTTCCTGATGTGCAATTTAAGAATTAAGGATTAGCGTTTTTATCTACTTCACCAATTTCCGCAAAGCTATAGTTTTTTGAACCAAAGGAGTAAGCTACGTCAGGAGCATTACCGAGGAGATAAAATGTTTTAAAGAGAGGTTAAATGCACTAATAAGCTGGGCTTTGCAAGGTTGAGGGTGGCGGAAGAATGGTTTTAGTAGCTAGTAGTATATTTGCAAATGAACAAGATTCAACTGGCAACGCTTGGATTATTTCGTTTGGTTAAGTTTTTTTTACACATTCCCAAAGCTTTTGAAAGAATGAGAATTCTGCCCCATAATTTTTTTAGACGTCTATTCTGAAGATTGGTTGTAGTTGAAGGAGGTAAGGCTAGCATCTGGAGCTTTCAAAGAATTTTTTCACATGGCTGAGATTTAGCAAGCATTTTCCTAGCGAAATTAAGTATCAACATGACGACGCAGTTGTTTGCCAAGCCGAAAAATAAAGCGGTTTTTGTAGAAACCATATGTTTGAAAATCGTAGCAGATCACTCAATCATCGTTCGCTTTTTTTCTGAAAAACTCTAAAAATTTCGAACACAAAGAAAATTACCATACAGCTGCTGGTGATAAAGAATGGGAGGATTGTAAATTTGCTGGTGAGAAAATTGACTAGACTTTTTTTGTATAATTGTCATTGTTCATTTTTCAGTTGCGTCCCAAAGCAATTTCGTGATTATTCTCCTTGATTTCAGAGTGCTGACGTATATGAAATCTGTAGTCATTGTTGCGCATATAGCCGCTAAGAACGTCAGAAAATTGAAAAGGTGCAAAATAGGAAATTTCTCTATTTGAAATGTTTTTTTTCTCCAGAATGCAAGCAATTTCGCATTCAGAGAAGGTGGAGAACTTAAGCTGGCTACTGCTACTTTAAAAAACATCTTTTTTCAAAAAGAAGTCTTACAGGAGTACATTTCACTGTTCGTTATCGAGTAAGAGAAGATCCAACATGGAAATATGCACGAACATCACAACCACAAATTCGACTCAATCTACCCGAATACAAGAATGGAAACGAATTATTCGTCCAGGCAAGACTTTATTATAAAAGAGTGGGCTGTGCAAGCTTTTCCTTTTAGTAGAGTAATGATGCATACAAATGAAAATGTCGAGTCATATAGGATATAGAAAAAAAAGCAAATTGAGAGAATAGCGGTTTGCAAGTGAAAAAAAAAAGAGCCAAATGGCGAAAGACATTTAATCAACGAAGTCTGATTCATAGAACTTTTAACAGAAGTTTAGAGCAACATTAAAAAATGTCATTGCAGTTTTTTCCCTTAAGCATAGTTGACACTATAGAGCAACACTAGTAAATGCCATTACAGATTTTTTCTTAAAGCATAGTTAACAGAATAGAGCAACATTGATAAATGATTTGCAGTTATTTTCCTTAAGCATAGTTAATAGCTTATAAAGCTATTAACTATGCTTAAGGAAGTTAATAGCAAGCATAGTCACTTAAGGAAGTTAATAGCAAGCATAGTTGCTTAAGCATAGTTAATAGCTTAAGCTTTAGATACATGAAAGGACAGTAATGAACATATTACCTCTTGGAGAATTCAAATTTTCAGTTTTTTTCAAAATCATAACTTTGCAAAGAAAGCTCAATCAGCAGAAACTTTGCTCGTTCAGAAAGAGTAGGTCAGAGAACTTATGACAATGTGTATTGGATTTCATGTGCAGCTTTTGGATTTTTAACGGGCTTGCTCAAATGGCTGAGACTCAAAGATTTCCTTTCATCATTTTATCACTGCAATAAGAGCATAGTGAGCAAGCAAGGTGTCATTAGAAAGAGCATGACTTATCCTTTCTTACAAAATTAATGCTAAGTAGCAACACTTTGACAAGAGGAGGTTACGATTTTTTGAAAATGTTGCGAAAGGACCTTCAGACCAGCCTAATATATCATTTGAAATGATTGTTATGCAGCAAGTCCGAGCATATTCAATCTCACAAGCATCAAGTGTCTGTGCTTGACTTCTTCTGTTCGTGGGCAGCGTTTTCGGTTCGAAGAGGGCATATGAGGAGGATGATTATGACTTGACCTTTTCATCACCATTACAAGTAAGAATAATGAGGTGTGCTTTCGCTTTAGGATGCTAGCAAGAGACAAGGGCATGCACTTGTTAGGATGAGTTCTAATCAAAAATGCTCTGCATTCAAGGAGCTTCGGAGAGCGCAAAATTTTCCTGCTAGTTTCTCGATCTCATAAAATAGATTTAGAATTAAAAATTTTGCTAATAATCTGAGCTATAAGTAGGAGACGTTGACGGAAAATTATGATGTGAATCAGACGTAAAATATCAGAAAATGTGGATAGAATCAGTGTGTTCGTCCATATGTCCGCACCAAAAAATTATGAAAATTCGCCCAAAAAATCATTAAAAAAGCATTTCGATTCATAGAAAAATTTCGTAACATATAACAAATTTTCTAATTCGCCACGCAGATTTATAATTTTCTGAGTTATGAAATCGATATACCGATTCAACGAACTCGAAAAACTATAAATGTTCGCAGATTCATAAAATCACCCGAATCCCTCAGGGCCAAATAAATAAAGATGTCGTAAACTACAAAAAATGGAATAAATCTTGTTGAGCCTATTCTGAGGGACCAAAGTTTATTAAGTCTAACTTTACAACATTACAACATTCAGATAGATATAGTGCATAATTCCTCTTAATGAGATATATTGAGTCAAGCAAGCAAATTAGTTAGAAATCATAGAAATTACGATTTTTCGGACAATTTGGTGCAAAATGGACCAACACAATATGAATATTACAGCTTCATTTGGTTGCGCTTTTTTGTATTTTTCTTTTTCTCATTATCTCCAGAAATTCAGAATTGTGCATGCTCATGAGATATCCATAATGAAAAAAATTCGTATAGCCACTCAACAATCAGCAAAGGATTTCGAGTGGACAAATTGATTCTCAAGCAGGTCCTGGAATCTGCGCAAGAAATTTGCAAGTTCCGTAGCAATGCTAAGAGTCCAGGCTAGTCTCAAGAAAAAGTAGCCACTAATAATTACATGATTTTACAATGATTTATGTAGCACCAGATCCCTTAAGAAACTGAATTTTAAGAAAATCTGAAAAATTTGAAAATCCATCGATTATTTGATTTATTTTGCAGTCTGTTTTAAGCTAGCCAGGTTTGTCATAACTCTTATTCGGCCCGGAATTTCGGCAGCAACGCCTTCCACGTAGAAGTAAAAAAAAAGAGAAAAATACAGACCATAGATTATATCATAAAATGTCAAGGTTCTACGAACATAGAGCTATTTAATAACTATTCGATTATTTTTTACTGCTAAAAAAATTCTTGCCCTGCTTGAAACAGTCAAGCCAAAGAGATCCAATATGAACATACACACCACAGAGCGCAAAACACGTGGGATGCACTGAAAAGCTTGGGAAAAAACGCGAATAGCTTAATATTAAATGATATGTGCGCAAGCGGAGAGTCTTTGTTCGTCCGCAAAACTAATCACTTCTTGATGAAAGATTCTGAAGAGAGAGTCATACTCGCAGCGGCTGCGACGCAGCCGAGCCGTGGTGCTCTTCTCACTAACTTGCTTCGTGCGGTAATTTGAGTGAGAAAAAGGCGATGTGTGGCTCACACGGTGACTCACAGATGGATTATTCAGGTGCAAGCCGAGAGAGGAGGACAAGTGATTGAAGACTGGGGACAAGAACTGATTGTCACTATCAGCAAAAAGGTATAATAGTATTTGATACGAAAAATATGGCTTGAGGTAAGTATAAACTTGTTGAAATCAAAGCAGCACTTTAAGAAAAGAAAAAAAGGAAAAGATTTCATGAAGAATATTCTCAAAATTCTTGATTGAGGTCTCTATTGGGGGTGTGGTAATCGACGACGACGAGCTGGTGCCACCTCTGGATTTCACCGCCTACGTTCTGAGCCCATCCAGTGTGAAGCTTGAATGGCGACCATATGTGGGAGGGTCCCCAGGTGAATGAAATATTTGCGTGAGATATTTATGTCCAAATCATGTAAAAAACAGAGTTATAAGGCTATAGAGACTGCCTATGAGTCGTTCCCATTTTGGCAGTCACTTTATGTAATTGCACTACTTTGAAATCTGCAAGGTGATTAAAGCGGTTGCGGCTGATTTTTTGACTCAAATCTTGACTTCTTCAGAGTCATACTTATAACTGAAGATATGAAACCAAATTATTGTAATCAAACCCTTTCAAAAATGAATATTCCTTCCAAACTGATTCTCAAGATATTGATACCGTTTATCAGTACAATAATGTATCTCTTTTTGAACTGCAATAGAATGTAATTGGAAATGTATTAGATTGTACATCTAAAGTTGATTATTCTTGTCGACTATAAAGTCTTTGATAATTATTTCAGTAATAGTCTGTATTCTCTTCAGGCTATGGCTTTATTACGTTGTATTAGCGTCACTCACTTAAAAGTGGATGAAATCCAAAGTAGGAAAACCTTTTGCGCACTTTTTGGCCATCGGCTTAGCAGTGCAAAAAGAGTAGTGCAATTACACAAAAAAACTGTGTGCTTACCGGCTAGCGCGAAAGCTTTTAATTTTCACAACGTCTTTTTTTGCCTTATGCCCTTCAACGTATGTATGGTAACCATAGTAGCTTGCAAGTGAATCAAAAAAGTGATGAACGCTCTTTGACCTATCTAATTATTGGTCTAAATAACATCCACTTAAGCGCCTCCGAGGTGAAAAAGTGCAGTAGTTCCGACTATGGGGGCACTCTTGCATTTGATTAATTATGGTTTCCATTCAGGAGAAACACCCTATTTGCGTTAGTTACACTACTCGTACTAAGGAATTAGGTTTGGGTATCGGATCAATACTGAAGGAGCTTTGTGAAAATTCTGAGAAAAAGGACTAAAACAAATTTTTACGTTGTTGGAATTGGAGAAAATTTATAGAAACAATTTTTCTCAGACTGAGGATTATAAATTGTAAAGCAAACCGCTCCACCTTGTGTCAAACATACTTGAAAACTCTTTATATAAACTTTAGCATGTTATTTTCCACTTAGATTGGTTCAGATCTTTTTTACATCGTCAACGTCAAACAGCTAACATCCGACTCAGGCACAGCACTTCATCAACAACAAGTAAGATCTTTATTCCTAGAAAAATCCCCTTCATTTTTTCGTAATTACAGATCAAAACCTCGGCAAATAGTTTTACTTTGGGAAAACTGATTGCTGGAGAAAAATACGAGATGACAATCCGAAGCGCATTGAGCCCGACACAGGTTTCGTCCACTGCAGCGATAGTGGAGATACATATGCCAAAAGGTAAGAAAAAAAAAGAAAAGAAAAGAAGAAATGTTGCGCATTTACTGCATCAAAAAGTTGAGCTTGTGGTAAAGGCCATGTACGTTTTAAAAATTATAAAGTACGAATCATGCTCGGTTCGATGAAAAGGGGTATCATGCGATAGATAGTAACCTAAGCTAGGACCATCAATTCTAGACGCTGAAATAAGATGCCTTTCTGGTTTACTCAACAACAACGATGCAAAAAAAAGAAGGGGAAGGGGGGGGGTGAAAATTAGCTTGACTTATGAAAATGAGAGGTGCGTTCTCGAAACAGCATTAGAATGTTACAAAAAATTGTTTTCTGAAGCTCTTAGAATCTCAAAAATTGAATTTAAGCTATCAGGAAATCAATAATCCATTTTGAAGTGACGAAATAGAGCATGTTTTTTATTTGATATGCGCTGAAAATCACCACCAAAATCTAAGTTAATATTAGGTTTACAAAATGCATGGGCCATCTTTACCACAATGAAAGCTGCAATTCTTCATAAGCTTTGGTTCTAGTGACAGCATAAGTACACCTATATCGCTGCACTAGCTCTTTTTAATGCATACCTTTGCTTCCCATATAATTTATCGGGTACGAAATTGAAGGTTTTCAAGCACAAAAAAGCAGAATGCGATTTTACCATATTATTGTTCAGCCTTAGGAAATGGTTAGGGTTGAATGGCGCACAGTGCGTGAATCGCGACGTCACATACCTAGCCTGATTTTGATTTTGGAATGAAGTGTAAAAAAATTTCGAAATAGGCGAAAGGCATTCGAAAGAAATTAGCTATCTAGACAACTATAGAATAAAAAAGTTCTTGCTTAAGAATACTTATACTCAATCGGCTTCTGGTTATTGGCTTGGATCAATAAATAACTGCTAATTCTTCTAGGGAGAAATACTTCTAGAATCAGGTCTTCACAAGAAATATTGTTTTCCTAATACTAAGCATGGGTTATCGGGAAAGAGATATCTACATATCCAATTTGCTTTACTAATCCAATTTTATGGTGTGAAAGATTGCCTCCAAAAAAAGTTATGTCATGGCTAAATGAAAACCTATAAAATTACGAAACGGCCATTTGTTTGCAATAACTTCAACGAAAGGAGTTTTTACATGGTAAAATGAATGATTTGACAAGATTTTAGCTATAAGAAAAAAGTGATACTACCTAGCATCTGAGAGTACTACTCAATTTGAAGAACCTAGTTTATTCTTTATTGAATAGCTCTTCGCTTTGATCATCTCAAGCTACGCTAATTATGCACGGCAGCTCGAAAACAAGCTGTAGATTCTGAATATAGAACATAGATGTCATGCTAAAAGGCAAGACTCAACTTCAACAAATTTCCAAGCTTCGTCATCACTTGGAAGGAAAAAAAATTAAATTAATTTCAGAGTCGGAATATTTCGATATTGGCAACCTCATCATTAGCAGCCACTTTCAGTCGAATGGACGTGGTATTGTGAATTTGACCTGGGAGGTTCCATCAAATATGGAACAACAAGTAGTTTGTGAGTTTCACGACCAATTAGCACTACAGTAAGCCGTATATTCGGCTGTCTTTAGCCTACGATGTACAGTATGTTGAAGTCGGCACTGGAAATTGGCAGCAAGTCGTGTTTCACGGAACAAAGCCGACAGCTGTGCTTCACAATTTGAAGAGGTAATAAAATTAATATAGTTAAATATTAAATTCACCAGAAAAATTACCCCCCCCCCCCACCATCACTCCATTCCATGTGATTACGGTAGCAGAATTATTGGATTGCAAAAATGAGCATTGCTGCTGCTGCTTCGATTCTCATACATTGCACAAATATTGAAAAGATATGGACAAAATTAGTAAATACATGCTTCTAATTAATTTAAGAATTTATTCTTGCGATTTAATCAGTTTTCCTTGGCAAAGGAGACAGTACAAAAGCACCACTGTGCTTAAGTGTTTGAGAAAATGTAATAAGAATAAAGCTTGGTCCCACGAGGATAATGAAATTGTAGCTGCTTTCATAAGCATTTATGAATAAAGTCATGGGAAGCGTTATCGAAAAAAGCATATGATTACGAGAAAAATAATTCCACGAGCTAAAAACTAAAAGTATTCTAGCTGCACCAGAAATGAGCTTAGGATGCATTTTTTTCATTTTTTAATTCCCTTTCCTCTTTATTTCCCCAGCGGCTTTTCTCAACAGTTTACGAGGACTTAGGCTGAGAGGACATATAATTAGTGGTAGGCACCTAGTTTGAACCACGATATAGAGGCCAATTATCAAACGCAGACCAAAGCATAAGAAGGAAGCTTCAACAGCAATTTACACACAATGTGTAGGAATAGCAAAAAAAAGGGGGGGAGGGGTAAGAATGGAGGTTTCGTTTTCAAAATTTATGAAGATAAGCACTATGACAGTGGAAATATAATGGCTCTAGCCAGGGCCCAGCACAGATCGTCTGGGAGCAGGGTAGACTTCGTTTCGGGGCGAGAAAGCAAAGGGGACATTGTTTTGTGGGTCCAGAAAAACACAAAATAGTTTTTTAGTCGACGTTGCGGAATTTGGGTCGAAGGGGACTTCGTAAAAATTGCGAAAGTCAGGGGAACTTCGTTTTTTAAAACCTCAAAAAATTCGTGCCGGACCTGACTCTAGCTCCAATTAGAACAATTTCTCCAATTCAGAAGCTGCCTTCAAAAAAGTCTCCTAGAAGAGGGGAGAGTGAAGTAATCAACTTCTGTTAAAAAATTTCTTTCGACATCCTCCCCCCCCCCCTGTACAAAAGATCCGTAATCACAATCTTTTTGATAAGAATACCAAAGTCCGAAATTTCAAGTAAATCATTTTTTCTAGAGGAATAAATTGGAAAATTTCTTGCCCAATACTTAAAACAGGTTAAGCAACGCCAGATGATAACTTGCGCTATAGTAAACTTCCACCTATTTCTTGATACCCTGCAAAATAAAGTAAGCCCAAAATAGCGCCCAAGCTATGATTCAGATGTAGCTAAAGATGGCAATTTCACTCTAGACTATGCTAATAGAACGACTAGCATCTGCATATGTGAATATGAGGTATAACAATGTATAAAGTGAATTCCACAGAAACTTTCAGTTTTTATTACACAGCCCGTTCAAGCTTCGCAAAAAAGTAAATACGCTTTTCCTTGATAAATGCTATGCTGCAGGAAGTAGTCCTAGAAGTGAAAGATAACATTACTTTGCAGTAAAGGATAATTTAGTGCTAAATGCCGCGTTCCAAAAACTGGGAAACTGAGGGTGTACTGAAATTTTGGAACCTTTGTTGCGAAAGTTGGCAAGAAGGAGTTTGGGAGAAGCTTGAAAATGGTTTGAAAGGGGGAGGAGAAGAGGGAAGAGAGAAATTTGCAGAAACAGAGAAAAGTTGAGAATGTGGTTTTGGTGTGAGGAAATAAACTGTACTGCCATGCAGAGCCATGGCTCTAGGAATAAAAAATTTCAAATTACCCATCAAAATTTTTTTCAGCGATACAGAGTACATTCTACGAATCAAAACAACGCTGAACAACAATATTCAAACCGAAAGCGGAGAGTTCAGATTTCGAACACCCAAAGGTCAGTATCTCTTTATTCCTATAATCACAAAAGAGTTTACAATTAAGCGTGGATAAACGCTAATAGTCATTTTAATTTTGATAATGACAGACGAATGAATCAGAAATGCAGATTTAGAAGAAAGGGTAAGCTGAGCAGGCACATTTAGAAATCTCGTTACTTACTCTGACTAAGGAGATGCTTTTTTCCAGAGGAAAAAGGAAAATGGACTTATAACATTGCTAATAATGCATGGCTAAGAAAAAGATATGCGAAGGCGAAAAGACTGCTGAGAATTATAAAATTTTATCGATTAGAAGACATTCTTATCCATTTTTGCTATAAAAACTCAGTTGAAGCAACAATAAAATATATTATGTAGGGGGGTAATTACCAGTTTGTATGAAATTTGTGAGACCACACACTTCATGCTTTCTACCAATTTTCTAAAACGTTAGATGTTTTTGTAAGTTCTCGGTATCCAAGATTTCCTTGGAGTTGTCTAAATCATAACTCCACTCCTAAATACGCTTTGGTAGGATCATAATACAAGCTAATTAGTAGGCAAGACCTAGCACACCGTAACACTATTACCGTACCCCCAACGTCTTACCGTAATCCTTTACGGTGTACGTAGCGATGTGCAACGTAAGTTTACCTATGCGTTCTCGATTCGACATCGCGGTACCTGCCCGGGTTACGGTATCATACGGTATATATGCTGGGAGCCCCCCCCCCCCCCGCATGTTCGAAACGAGATAGTGTAAACATTTCTAAAGAATTCTTTGAAGTACATATATACGACTAGAAGACAAACTCATCCACATATTGATTGGATGTGTGGGGTTTTAATAATCCACCAGAGTGCACGGCATATAATTCCAATCTGTTTGAAACTGCTTATTTTTGGCCAGAACGACCGAAATCAACCTTGCACCCAAACTAACCATCTAAAAGAACTCTTTACTGGCTTTAGCTGTTAGGAAATTCTGAAGAACGGAAGTTAATCAGTCCGAAAGTGTTTGAAAACAACTCCCACTTGAGATCAAGTATGCTCCAGGTTAATGTAAGCATTCATCAAAGGGTACCAAAACGAAGTTAATGAGAAGTACCGCAGGACTGCGACAAACAGAGCGACTGAAAATGAAAACCTCCATTACCGTTTACATGGGGTCCCGAGCAGACGTGCATCACAATAGTACTGACAATAATAGCAGCAGCTTCTGATACGTACTTTCCAGTGCCTATTCATCAGTGTACCTGTTATTTGTCGAAAATCACTGCTTTGTAGTGCACTTTACAAATTGAGATATCGGTGTTTTCAAATTTTAGCGCTTGATTCGGCACTATAGATCGAATTTGGCACGAACGAAAACGGATGATACTGTGAAAAAATACAAATCAATTAGATCAAGTAGTAGAAACCACTGCGTAACCAAGAACTTCTACGTATATCTCTGGATTTTGAATTTGCTTGCAACTTTCTACGAATATTCAGAAAATGGTAAATACCATTATTATTACTTGACACTCGACTTAATTTACCAAGTCAAGTAGGTTTAAGTACATTCCCATGAGTATAACCAATCTTTAATTTCATTCTGTTAGGGAAGTTCGTATTCCAGTAGAGAAATTTGAGAAGCAGAAATCAAAATATTAGGTTGATCCGAAAGTTAGTTCGCACCACTTTTAAAAATTCATATCTTCTCTTCTCAGGGCACTTGTACTAGTTTAGCTTGGAAAGAGGAAAGTGTGCATTTTGCTAGACCCCTGAAAGATTTGCTAACACGCAAATATGAGAATAGAAGCTGTGGAAGAATTTTACTCAATTTTATTTTTCGTAGATTTGCCAAAAATCATAACTTGCATCAAAAATCGTAATAGTTTTTATTGCAAGTTTTATTACTTGACCTTCCTACTTGAGCAAAACTGTGTCGATTGAGCTCACCTGTGAAAAGTTATTTTTTTTGGGCAAGCAGTATAGAACGAAAAGTTTGATCTTTTTCTCATCTTTCTGGAAACATAACTTTTCATAGAAGGGCTGATGACACAATTTTTGCTCATACAGAAAGAGCAGGTCATATAACCTATAACAGCAACTGTTCAACTCTTTCAACCCTACGAGGAAAAACCAACCTGTAGTGATTCTCTTCTAAAGCTTCTATCTCTGCAATGTTTGCATGCTAGAAAGTCTGTCAGATATTTTCGTAAGTAGCATGACCTCCTCTCTTGTAAGAAATTAAGTTCGTTCGAATCCTCTGGGAAAGGAAGCTATGAAATTTTGAAAATGGTGAAAACAAACTTTCGGACAACCTAATATTTAATCAGGCACGGATATGCGGTAGCAGCTTCTGAAACTGATAGTTGAATACTACACATGCTTACTCTGTAGGCATTTTGCATCTCTGCATTGTCAGAATCAATATAACTGCATAATACAGTATATAAAGCAATTCTACAGTAATTTCAGTTTCAAAGAGTTTATTGTGGCCGACTATCGGCGGCTATTTGTTGCAAAACCCGAGCAGGACAAACGCGAATGATTTTTGTTCTAAAGTTTCTGTAGCCAGCTAACAAGGGAAGGATACCAACACTAGTCGGCGATTGAAGATGAGATGTACATCAGTAGACGCACCTTTGAACGCTGGTTCCAAATCTTCTTTCCTTTTTTGCAAAATACGTTTCCGAAAGAAGTTGTGAGCGTTTCAATGTCCAAATTTGTCAAGGTTTGGGTGGCCTATAATGAGCGAAAAACTGTACAAAAACACCGGAAAGTGAAAAATCATTTTTGTATCGAGTATATTGTTTGCAAGGAAAGAACAAAGCCGATGAAAATCGCATAGGTGTTGTTTTAAGGCATTTCGCTGATTCTAAACCACTCAATGCTTGGCAGATCTGGACATTCAAATGCTCATAACTTCCTTAGGAAACTTATTCCGCAAAAAGAGAAAGCAGATTTGGAATCAGCGTCCAAAGGCGCATCTAATATTATACATCTCATCTTCAATTGCCAACTACTGTTGGTATCCTTCCCTTGTAAGCACTGAAGGATTTTTTTGCAAAAAGTTTTTTTGAATCTAATCTTGATGGAATGCACAAACTTACACGTTTTCATGTACGACCAGAAGAAAGTAGAAATGAAATGGAAAAACACATTTGATTTGGAAAACTGCTAGTAACAGTCTTTGAATACTAATAACTGTTGACTATCACGCGATCTCAGATGCCAGCTGCTTTTTCACGGTGCATGCCAAAACAGTCGATTGTTCTGCGAAATTATCAGGTGCCTCTGAATTCCGCACAGAATAGCTTCAATCTCTCTTATACATTCTGATGCCTTTAGATTGATGAAGTAGCAAATTCCATTCGAGCTCTGAAAGGGTGAAACCACATATTGCTGTTGATTTACGAGCTTAAAATAGCATAGAAACCCATTCTAGGTCTTGGACGCATTGCAATCTTTGCATAAATGTATGGTTAGCTGAGAATGAAAGGGTGAAAGTTGAATATTTGTGGGAAACTTAAAGCTCAGCTTTAGTTTCAAATGACAAAGTAAATCTTTTCGATATTTGATACACTTTCTCGCTCTGCCTCCACATTGGAAAAGTCAAATGATGTATGATTATCATCTGCATCGAAAACCCGAATGCCAAACTGACACTTGAAAAATTCTATGCAATTTTTTGATACCTAAAGGCCACATAAGTACAATAAAATGTCGATTCCAAAAGCAAGGTAAAAGAAAAGCTTCATAATAATCTAGAATATCCTGATATTCTCACATTAAACTCGCATGCGTAATGTCTTTCAGTGAAAGACTACATACATCTTTTTCTCACATTCATTGCCCAAAGAATATCGTATAGAACGGAGCTGCTAATTCAAATTATTTAAGACAAATACCGAAATGTTGGCAAGTTCAAGAACTGTAAAGCTTAAGAGTTTATTCTGAGCTGTTCTATAGGATGTCCCACATCATTTTTAGAATAGCACAACTTACTCACTTGACACATTTGCAAATGCTTAATATAACCAGTTAGAGGGAATAGAATCTCTTGGGACAGAATCGGGGTAATTTTGAGTTAAGCTGCTAATTCTGAAACTCGCAATAGAATTCGGAGCAAGAAGTTGGGTAAGTCTCTTGATGGTCTTTTATCAGCTTTGTACAGTTTGTGTTGAATGAGCTTAGGGATTGTGATTTTTAAGTGACCAATACAAAATGCAAATTTGATTTTTTGGCTTTTTTTTCGAAAATCATAGCCCTTCACATTTCACAACATTTTTGGAAAGGATGGATCAAAAGATTCAAACTGTAGCTTGGTCCTAATCTTAACGCAAGTTCCACATTTTCAGCAACCGCTGAAATTGACCAAAGTCAAAGCCATTTTATGCTAATGCTTTCATCTTGAAAGCTTCTCCTTGTTAGAAAAGCAAAGGTGCTTTCATATTATAATTTCTTCTAGATAATGAAATCAAGTTTGTACAAACGCGTCGGATAAGCAATAATTTTTCAGGAATGGTGAGACAGATCTTTTGCACTAACCTGATAATTTGTTGCTTGGGGTACTCTAAACTGTAGTAATTTAGAATAAAAACCTCCAACATACTAGATCTATTTCGAGCAGATACATTAACTTGCTCTATCTTTTGTCATAGTTCAGAAAACATGAAAAGGAAAATCTCAACAACAAAATGCAGTTTGAAACTGTTTACAATTATTCCTAAAATGTGCCTCTGCGTTTGAAACCTGCTACATAGCTTAAGATTCTTCTCGAACTAACGTTTTCCAGAAATGGAAGTCAGTTGCAAGCGAGTTAAGATAAAAGAATATTCTGTGACAATTTAACATAATGCAAAATATGATTCTATCGGTAAAAGGCACAATTTCCAGTCGAGGCAAATCTGATTAAAAAGGTGGACGTTATCTATTCACATGAAGTCAATTCTGTTCGAATACAGTGGATGCTGGAACCGTAAGCTTGCTAGTTTTTGATTCCCAAAAACGATAGTGAACAGCTCATTTCTAATTTTTAGACATGTTCGGACGGATCTAATCGGCGGATATGATGTCTACATAAGCGACGATAAGGTGAGCACAAAATGTGACCTAGCACCACTTTCTTGCGTCTGCAGCACGGCGGCCAAGTGCTTGCGAATCTTTGGCGTCTTGCAAAAGTGATCGTGATTAGCTCAGTAGGGCCTAGACATGGTCCTGTCGCGATATGTCAGGGTTAGCCGACAACTCTGGTAAGGTATAGGCTGCTGCATGACAAAGGCGCAATATCTTTGCGCACAAACGCGGCATTATCAGCCGCGGAGCGCATGAGGTGCAGATTTACAAAGGTGAAGATACAGTGAGTTTCGACCCGCTTTAGGCGGAAATTGGATTGGCGGGCGTCCGCCTCGCAACTGTTCGCGCCGTTTCGCAGCTACAGTATATCATATCGCGCTGAGAACCTAAGTCTGCGTCTCTTCATTCTCCTCAGTCTTTGCCTGGCAAAATGCCAGCGCTATGCGCTCGCGAAGCCTCCTGCGATGCGCACGCGCTGCTCCACCTAGAATCTTTCGCCTAATCCGGGATGAAACCGACTGTATGTATGTACGTGCGCGTCGCGTCGCGCCCGCTCAACTAATATTAACTCTGCGCCTTCATCCTCCACCTTCTGATGCGCGTACAGTGACACAATTGGAAGTGTTGTTAGTTTGAATAAATCACTATTTCGCTTTAGGATCGGCCAGAATCGCAGTGGAGGCTGGTGCGTCTAAGTAATCGTGAAGCAGCACTATCGTTGGATAATCTACGAAGTTCTACCGAATACTTTGTGAGAGTCAACATTCGCAACACGGATGGTTCTGTGATAAGAGCTCCATCAATCTATCGATTCAAAACAATTGGTGGGCAAGCAGCTACAGTACTTCTACAGTATGCGGCGAAAGTATGCTGGTAAAACTATGCAAAACTCTCAAATTTTGCGCTAACAGGAACACAAAACTCTCATATTTTTAAGCTAACAGGAAATGTCCGAAATTAAGTGGAATAGTTCAATTAATTTTGGAAAAAAATTTTCGAATTTTTAATAAGAAAGCGAGAAAAATAGTTTTCCAGCGTAGTTTCACCGCAACTGCGAATATTAATGTCTAGACTGTATAACGAATAATTTCAGAATGGCCAAATACGTCGGAAAATAATCATGTGAACCCGTTTGAATGACTAACAGCTTATTTCTCACAGATAAATGTATTCATGTCAAATGGAAAGCTAGCAGATAGAGAGAAAATCTCATAAACACGACGAAAAGTCGAAGCTTGTATTTATGGCTGGTGTTGTAACGCTATGATAGATTAAATAAGGGGTGTAGTTCTCAACGTATTTGATTCTGTTAGCAATATACGTACTTTGATGTTCGTGACTTAAGATGCAGATATATACTTTTTGAGCTTATTGCCACGAGTTTTTTTTTGCAATTTTTTTGCTTGATGATTAGTTTTTTTCCTGGCGTTATTTGTGGGAAAAAGGTTTGCTTGATTACTTTGAGAAGTAAAGCTTTACAATAAGCTGAGAATATAAAGATTCTTCAATGTAAGCAGCTTTGCAAGTGACAGACAGATTTTTCTGTTCACTACCTATTAGCCATCCCTAGTGGCTAATTATTATAATGATCTTCATTCAGTCACATGTATCAAACGCAAATCAAAGTGATGAAACGAAATAAACAGGTGTTTTTCAGAATGTTTGAGGCTTGCTTTGCTCTGTTGCCAACGTCCTACTAGCTTCTGGCATTGTGTTGATACTCTAGTAAATTTCGGAAGAAACAAGCTTGATTTTAGAGAAAAACAATGGAACGAATAAGCTGGAAGGAAACTCGTTAGCATACAGAAATATTGGTCCTGGACAAGTGGAAGTCTCTTGGACGTACCCGAATGACATCCTTGGCAGTGTGATAGGTTTGTTTATACTTGAGAAATTTCGCAAATAAAAAGATTATGCAATTCTGCAAAATAGCGTCAGATTTTTGCACGAACTGAAAACAATTTTCGATAAACAAACAAGGTATCAAAGTATTTTTCTCGTAAGCTTAGTATTACCAACATTTGCAGATGTTTTGAGTATCGCTGTCAATAACAAGCCTTATGTGAATAACAATATTCGTTTGGGCTCTTCACCACATCAGTTTTAATGAAGGGATTGAAATGAAGACAAACAACAATTAGCAAGAGTATTGTTAGCTAGACCAAAATATCAAAAACGGAGATCTAATGCATGTTTGCAACGAACTGTAAGGAAAAGGTACCCAGTGAGAACTAGAAGCTCTCAAAATATTATCCGACTCCTTCTTTCAAATATTACAGCAATTCCAGCAATGGTTTTTCTTACCTAGCAAAAAGCTTGCTTGATGAAGTCTAGATATTCATGAGATTAACCAAAAGCATAGATAAAGCTATTTTTTTCGACAATTCATATGTTAGAAACTTACTTCTTATGAAATGGCCGAGAGTTTTGATTTGATTCAGTCAAAAAATGGTGGAAATAATAAAATAACAAAAGCAAACCTTGAGAAGTAACTCGAAAAAAAAGTAGAAAAGCAAAAAGAGCCTTTACCTCAAGACTTACTGTGACAGGTATCTCTTTCTCATAAACTTTTCAGAAATATAGTGTCAGGCTAGGTCATATGAAAATAAACAGTGATTAATGGCTCAGTCACTTAATCTCGAAAAAACTATAAACTCCGAAGATCTCAGCAATAAAAATTCTGCTCTGGTTTTTGCTGGGGGCGCAAAATTTCACTGTAAGAGGTGCTAGTAAGGTAGTAACCTGACCAAAAAGCTAATCCTAGTATATGAGTTTTATTGGGCTATACTTTTTGAAGGAGTGAGTTTATGAGCAATGACAGACCTAAATCTCAAAAAAATTTAATTGTTAGGCTTGTCGCACGAAAAAAAGTATATAGAGTATAGCCCAATAAAACTCATATACTAGGATTAGCTTTTTCCCGCACGAGGAATTCTAGAATTTTCTCGAAAACTTTACAACACGTTTATATATCATTAAATTTCAAGTACAAAGGATACGTTACATTCTGCTACATCTTTAGAATCACAAATATTGTTTGAAACGAAAACGAAAAATCGACGCTAAATACTTGATTTATAACTATTCGCAGAAGAACTCGATCAACAAGAGGTTCATTTTAGTTAGGAAGAGTAAGTCATGAAAACAGAAACTGAAACAGATCTTCAAGAAATTTTTTAGTTTTTTCTGCGAACGAGTTTCAAATTTCAGATTTTCCAAGGCACGAAGTTCATGGTAAAAACATTATTCTGTAGTTCCAACGAGTTCAGCGTTGAAAAAAAATGTTAAATTCCTATAGATTGCAAATATACACTTAAAAACTGAAACTCAGCTAACTGTTGTCGAATATCAAATGTAGAAAGTTTTGTTGTGAAGGGACATAGTGCTGGGAAACTTCATTTCCGCAAAGTGCAACCACTCCCACACATTCATCGTGAAGTTGCCACCGCTTATATAAGGTTGACGCAGAAAATTAGATTTTCTTCGGTTTCAAAAGGAATAAAGGGGAGAAGGCATGAACTAAAACTCTTGAAGGTAAGCTTCGGATTATCTTGGGTCATTTTCAATAACCCTGAATCCGTTGCAGGTGTTGAGCTTTGGGCATACCTTGTGCGATTCCTGGCGATTTGCCAGATATTAGGTTGTTACATAAGTTTTGTTACACTTTCATCTTCCTTCAGACTTTAAAAAATTCATCAAGGTCTCATATTTGGCATATATGGGGTAGGTATAAAGGGCTATCCGCTGGCACCATTTATGTCCTCACGACATGACGTGCAGTAAATATAAAGGCAACTCTCAACTCTACTCTAGCATTCCAACCTCCATATGCTCTTCATTTTTTAGGAACTCTCTTACTCTTTTTGCACCATTTCTTATGGACTTCTAGGACCATTGACAGTAAAACTAGGGCAGTTTGGAAGTCTATAACTGGAAATTTGCCAAAAATAATTCCTAAAATTCTCACAAAATTCGAAAAACAATTTTTTACATGTGTAAAGACGCCACGTCCCCTTTTTCCAGATTTTAGGGGTTGGGGACCCGCAAAAATTTTGAGAAACACCCAAAAAATCTTCTGGAGTGCGTGGCTAACGCCATGCACTTACATTAAATAAATTTTTTGCTGCGCTCCCCCCCCCCGGTCCGAAATCCTGGGACCGCCACTGATAGATATATATAAAATTTGCATCACCATGCATGATTTGCAAATAAGGAAAAACCATTTGAAGAAGTATGTAACAATCTAATGAATATTAGGTCTTATCATAAGTTTTGTTTCATAACTTGTTTTAAAAAATATTTCCTTACATTCAAATTACGTGGAGGATTGTAACTTTTCGATTTATAAGTGTCAAAAAAATTCAATTTTTGAAATTTTTCGAATTGTTGTATTATATTTTCTGCACATTTCCAACTTGCATCATAAAATAGCTTGAGCTTTCAAACTGTCTTCGTTTTACCACTGATGTTCCGGAATTCCATAGAGAATCCAGAAGAAGAATAAATGAGTTTTCAGGAGAAAAAAAACGAAGGATGTAGTGCTGTCAAAAAATTGCCTTTATACAAGGTGTCCCAAAAAGCGATTCAAAAATCGCTCTTCGTTACTGTAGAACTACGGTAGGAACTCGTAGCAAATGGACGCTGTGAGATAGGCCGTTCAAAAAAAATTTCTTCAAGAACTGGAAAATTGTGTAACAAGGTTTTCATGTATGCTGATTTCACTACATAACTTTTGAGCGTCCGCAGAGTTTTATAAATGACGTAATCAGATTTTTGACGAAATAACAGTAAGTATACAGTAAGTATTAGTAACAATCAAATGGTAGGTGCATTTTTTTGGACATCTTGTATGTGTTTTGCTGAAGTTTTTGGAGTTATTCGGAGGACGAAGAAAGTGTAACAAAAATTATTTTGAAACTCGATTTAATAAATATACACCATTTTCAAAAAAATAGCAATATTACACAATTTCACACACCCAAGGCAAACCCGAAGGGAGACATCGCCTAAGGATGTTCCGAGCAATATCAGACTTGACTGTTTGCCCCGAGAGGAGGGCACGGGCAATCGCATGTAATTACTTGTTTATCCAGTCTCAAGACTTTCGATCATAAAAAACCCCGTACTCGTCCTAATCATGCTATTGTTTGCCATGATTACTGAATCGGATTTCAATCACGTTTCATTTGCACACAGCTGCCATGACAGCACTAAGGGCAGACACTCGTGGTCCTTATGTTGAACTTCATGGAAATGAGTTTCGCTAATAAACTTCATTAATCTAAGCGAATTTTCATTTGGGATTTACCTCATGAACGTTTTTTTCTTCTTTGATAGTGCTGATTACGAAATACTCAGTCTTACGAGATCTTTATGAGCTAAATAGATTTGTCAGAAAAAAAAAGATGAGCATTAAATTTTCGCTTTAAATCATTGTATATGTTGATAGGCAAAAACAATGTCTGTGAAAATATCAATTTTCAAACTTTTGCTCTATACGTGGCCACGAGTCACACATTTTGAGGTAAACGAAAACTTCCTCTCCTCAATTAATTGTCCGATCCCTCCCTAACGAGAGGAGGGGAGTGAAGTTTTGAGTTGTACAAGTAACTTGCTTTATTAATTCAAAGTAGCAAGAAAAATTTAAAAATGCCACTCCCTCTGATTCACATTTCATTGCAATATTGAGAAAACCTTGAAACTTCCTAGAACTTTTTTCTAAAAAGACTGGCTTACTTTACAAAATTCGCCACGTTTCAATCACTGAGACTGGTGCTTTTGTGAACTACCATAATCCTGTTTTAATTCAATGACATACTGTAAACTTCATCATATAAGCCTTCGATTTGGTATGAAATTCGTGTTTGAGCGCAGGCTTTAATAATAATTTTTTTTTTGATTTTGATATTTTTCAGACACAGCACCTGTTACTCGCACAGAAAAAGTTTGATAAAAAATGCGCTATGTTTGCGTTTAGTTTTAGTCTTTATTACGTAAGTTACCAATTATCATAAATAAAAAAAAATTTTCTTACGTACAAATCTAAAAACGGGGAATTGGTTCTCATTAATGTCAATAAAAAAGACTTGTTTCCTCAATACTAATCAATCATAGGAGCTTTTCCAGCGTGGGTTAGAGGAAAGAGAAACGAACTGATTAGTATACATAATCCACAGTTTTGCTTCAAAAGCGATGCTTGTTATAGCAAATGTCAGGTCTGCACTTAGAAAATTCTGATAATCATAAAAAGGGTGTCCCAAAAAAATGTGAACACTGTTTCATTGTTAATAACTTCGTTGCTTTCATGTTTTTCGCGGAGCTTGAGGCATCATTCCATAGAGCGAGGTTCAACTTAAATCTAGAGTATGGAGCGAATCATCGATCGCTCTTGGTTACCGTAGGATTACGGTAAGAACTTCTAGTATGTGGATCCATTATGAAACATGCCATTTGACAAAATTTTTTTCAAAAATCTGAAGAAACGTGTACAAGGGTTTTCGCGCGCGCTGATTCCACTACTCAACTTTTTACGAGTGTTTTTAGCTTTTTTGACGGTGTAATCACATTTCTGACAAGTGCTGGAAATTCAGTTATTACGGTTTACCTGAGAAAACTTTGGAAAGAAGCATAACAGTGAAGTGGAAATTTCCTGTTCGAAATCAGCGGCTTCCATTACCATGATATAAGAATTTTTGGCTTGTTTGATTTTGTGCCGAGGCAGAATACGGCCTCCAACGGCCTAAAATCCTTGTCAAAATTCCCACCGTAATCCTACAGTAACGAAGAGCGATCGATGATTCGCTCCATACTATGGATCTAAGTTGAACCTCGCTCTATGGGATGATGCCTCAAGCTCCGCGAAAAACATGAAAGCAGAGGAGTTATTAACGATCAAACAGTGTTCACATTTTTTTTGGGACACCCTGTATAGTAAGTGCTTTCTTAAAATTTTCATATATGTCCAAAAAGTACGCACACATTCAAACGCTAGTACGCTCGTTGTTTCAGCTCACTAGAGAAACTATGTTGATTGTTTTGTGGAGCACCGTTAACCCAATTTCAAATTTACGGCAAGTCAATTGCTTGTTACTGTAAAACTGCGGTAGCCCACTTGGAAAAGTTTTACGCCCTTGAGAATAATATATTGCCTTAGAAAAAGTTCCAAACAATAAGTACTTTTCCAATGAGCTACTTAGGGTTGTCTACTCTAAATACGTAATTTGCTCTTTACCAGTAAATCCTCGTTCGAAGATTATGTCAGGTATGCTAGGTAACAGTTGTTTCTAGAAAACTTTTATACTCTATAACAATCACAGTCTTAAAAAGTCGAGAAGTTTGATCAGCATGAATGAAAACTCTACTGCACATGAGTTTGAGTTTTCTTCTAAACTTTTCCAGACGCGGCAGCTAGCCACGGTGGTGATGTATGCTGGGATTCCTACCATAATCTAACAATAATTAAGGATGATTATTTTAATCTCCAGCAAGAAAGTTATTAACAATCAAACATAGTGCACATGCTTATGAAAGATACTGTATTGTGCTTTCTGCAAAAAATTTCACTAGTTGTAAACACATTTTATGTTAGTCCCACTAGAGCAGGTGAAGCTGCATTTGCAGAAATAGCTTCACAATTGTGCAGAAGTGCAACCGAGTCTAGCTATTTGAAGGGAACTTCTGCAATGAAATGACTGAAGTTCAATTTTGAGCAAATTTCGCACATCTGCCATTGAGTTCTATGTGTAGGGACTTGAATCTAACGCAATTTGAATCCGCGTAGTTGACCAGATGAGTCGAATTTATGCAGAATAATCGCAGAACAGATCCTTTTCAGTGTTGATTCCAGCCCTGTATAGAAAATATTTCTCAAAAGGATTCGTCCAAATTTGCGATTCACGAGGAACTTGTTGAAAGAATATGAGAATCAAGACTGTATGGAAAAAATGCATCATGTCAAATGTCGGTCCCACAAAATTCTGGAACATAGGTTCTCGACTATGCGTTAGTATCAAGCAAATGTAACTACATTCATAGTTTATTTTGTGTGTTGATACAGCGAAGATGTCTTCTTGAGCTTAGTATATGTTATTCAAATTCCGCTTGATTCTCTTAGAAAAATATTTGATTATCATAATGCATGCATTTCCAAATTCAATTCTCATAAATGGTGGACTTTTTCGACTTTGCAAAAAAATGATTGAAATTCGGCAATGCGAAGACTAATAGACTAATATTCCTAAGCATAACTCATAACACGAGCGTATTTAAATTCTTTCAAGTAAATATGGCTTGAACATACATTTAAACTTACGAAATGCGACAAAAAGCCATTATAAAGATGGCAGTGACTCAACAAGTGAAGAATATTCTTTTTAATGGAGCGAGAAAATTTCTGTGATTTTCAGGCTCAACTATTCTCTACACAGACAGGAAGGAACTATCACCAGAGCAGTGGGAAAGAGTGATTGTGAACGATTCAAGAAATGTGAGTTTAGTATAATACTTCCGCTAGTTGTGCAAACATTCTATACTACAAACAAAATAGTTTTATGCTAGATAGCCATGCGACGTTCTCATGATTTTATCGGAAGCTATGAGAGGAAAAAGTTTGTAAGATTTTTTTCACTTGTCGTAAGTGCTGAGCCGATGGCTGATTTCTTTTTTAGTTCATGAGATTTGGCGCTTACGTCAAACATAGCATTTGGATGATTTGCACTACCTGCCACCATTAGCTCATATTCTACGCTAAGTTTGGGCTCAATTTTTTGAGCTGAAAAACATATTCGAAATTGTTTGTCGAAACTTAGAACTCGCAAAAAAATTTTGTTAAAATTTCTAAATTTTTTGGAGCATTTTTTGGCATGCATAACAAGGTACGAAATAACTTGTGTATAAATAGAGATTATACGGTGTAAGTTGGTACGTTCTTTCAAACTTTATCCGTAAAGGTTCAAGACATTTGGGACACGACTTATTTTCCATTTTCATTTTTTAAAAAACTAAGCTACTGAGAAAAACTACAAAGATGCTGAATAGCACGAAATATAAAGAATGTATGGCTGCAGTGGTATTATGCATCTGCTTAGTGACGTTGGCTTGCGTTAGATTACATTATAATTTCAAGCTTGCATGCTCTAAGGATATAATTAGATAGACTAGAATTCTAGACAAAGAAATGGACAAAATTCTGGTGCTTAAAAGCATTGTAGCTGAAAATTTACTGTGCTCTTAGGTAGGGACTGGGCATATCTGGATGCATGAACTGAATGTGAAAACTGATTATGGCAGGTTCAATGTAATTCATGACCGAAAAGTTAAACTCCAAATCATTGCCCAGACCGTATTCTTACGAACGGGCCAATCAGCCCAGTGGCCCCAGTGTACGGTAGAAAATACGGTGACGGAAGTGAAAGTGCGAACTTCTGCCTTTGAAGCAAACTATTCGTATTTTGATTGCTTCGTGTCCTTGAGCAGCCGCTTGGTTTTGAAAAGTTTCTTGTAACCAGTATCTTTTGTTCTTATGCTGTAGATTTGAATGTGTGTTGCCTAAACTGAAACATCTCTTTTGGTACCATTAGAACATGCCCGTACAAGGTCCTTATCCCTTAGAGCCCTTCATACTTATTCCGACTAGCGACCCTACGGGTCGCTAGCAAGTGGGTAGGGGCAGATACAATATAAGGGCTTAATTGTGATTATAAATATTTCTAAATAAGTTTTTTATTCCTTCCCTGAGAACATTTTTGCGAAGCATTCTACAAAAGGAGAACTGTTCGAAGAAGCAATAACTCCACAAATCATTCAGCATTTCTCGAAATTCCTGCTGCAACCATGCATGGGGTATTATTTTTCTCTCCTTTACCACGCTCTTTCTGCAAATTTCCCCTCCTCACAGAGACATTCAGATACCCCCCCCCCCATCTTTTCTACCCCTCAAAGAGAATTTGCTCTTCCAGTTCTTCTCAACACTTTCCATAGAAGATCGTCAAGGAAGTAGAAGAACACCTATCGTTTTTAGAAGTAGAAATACACGCACAACAATTGTGTACTACAAAAAACACTTCTCTCAGAAACAACTCCGACAGCAACGAAATCAATCGTTTAAGAACTTTGTCAGAAAATTTTTCAGTACACCAAAGAAATAAGAAGCTTTGCTACACAAGTAGATCCCTCCCCAAAAAGCACACTACTGAGCCACCTAAAGACCGTCAATCATAAGAACTGCATAAACGTACAAAAAATTTGTTTCCCTGTCCAATTAAATTGCCCTACGTGCCGCTTGAAGACCGTTCGAAAATTATAAGAACTCCCAAACGTACAAAGATCTGTCCCCCTGCCCATCAAGTTGCCCTACGTGCCGCTTGAAGACCGTGCGAAAATTATAAGAACTCCCAAACGTACAAAAATCTGTCCCCCTGCCCGATCAAGTTGCCCTACGTGCCGCTTGAAGACCGTTCGAAAATTATAAGAACTGTCCCAAACGTACAAAAATCTGTCCCCCTGCCCGATCAAGTTGCCCTACGTGCCGCTTGAAGACCGTTCGAAAATTATAAGAACTGTCCCAAACGTACAGAAATCTGTCCCCCTGCCCGATCAAGTTGCCCTACGTGCCGCTTGAAGACCGTTCAAAAATTATAAGAACGCCCCAAACTTACAAAAATTTGTTCCCCTGCCCGATCAAGTTGCCCTACGTGCCGCTTGAAGACCGTTCAAAAATTCTAAGAACTGTCCCAAACGTACAAAAATGTGTCCCCCTGTCCGATCAAGTTGCCCTACGTGCCGCTTGAAGACCGTTCAAAAATTATAAGAACTGCCCCAAACTTACAAAAATTCGTTCCCCTGCCCGATCAAGTTGCCCTACGTGCCGCTTGAAGACCGTTCAAAAATTAAAGAACTGTCCCAAACGTACAAAAATGTGTCCCCCTGCCCGATCAAGTTGCCCTACGTGCCGCTTGAAGACCGTTCGAAAATTAGAAGAACTCCCAAATGTACAAAAATCTGTCCCCCTTCCCGATCAAATTGCCCTACGTGCCGCTTGAAGACCGTTCAAAAATTATAAGAACTGCCCCAAACTTACAAAAATCTGTCCCCCTGCCCGATCAAGTTGCCCTACGTGCCGCTTGAAGACCGTTCGAAAATTATAAGAACTCCCAAACGTACAAAAATCTATCCCCCTGCCCGATCAAATTGCCCTACGTGCCGCTTACACACCGATTCCTAGTTGAAAGCACCAGCGGGACCCATTAACAAGCAAAAGCAAGGCTGTTATTAGATAAACGTTTCCAAAAGTACCAGCGAGACCAAGTTACTCACACTCTCTCTTGTCTACATGTGGAAGCAAGACGATCCTAGAGTGACTGTTCTTCAGAGAATTTTTACAAGAGTTGGGAACTTAGATGAATTTAGCTCAAGTTACACTGTTACGCAATTTGACATCATTTCAAAAGCAACTAATAGGAGTACAACATATTTGAAAGACACATAACAAGCTCGAAAAAAAGCTACAATAAACTACCCGGACACCCGGACGCTGGCGACCCAGTCTCAAAATCATTGCGGCCTCATGATTGCCTTTCGAAATACGTGTGACCCTTTTACGAAAATATGCTTGGTCACTCGTTTTGAAATTTGGCAGCGTTCCAAAACGCATGCCACTTGGCAGCAATCCAATTCCAAAGATCAGTGTATTTCATCATAATTTTTACGTCTGCGCCCTCCTCGTTTGCCATAATCCAACTATCAGAGGATTATTGCGTAATCAACGAATTCGTTATATATTACGTAGTGATTTATCCACTTTATCTTCTTCCACTTCCTATTGTTTGAGTTGGTGAACTGGCCAATAGCGAAGTAGAAGAAGTGGATCAAGTGGATCACATCGCTGGTCAGTTGACTGATTTGACCAACAGCTTAGTGAATGAAGTTAATCAAGTGTGGTGCGTGCCTTACTAAACCTCAGTTGAATTACCAGTGCTATGCTTTGCAGAATAATCTATGTTTACAAGTACGATTATATACAAGACAATGCATAATTCAGTCATTCGACATACGGACTGGGTGCCATTGCGGCCCCTGCATCTCTGCCAGAAGAGTTTGTAAACTGCGGAGACGCAGACGATGAGAGTGTTTTGAACATGCGCGCAGATTGAAGCAGGGCATTTTTAGCAATGATACGCAGAATGGGCGTAGAGACGCACTTCTTTTTTCAATTTTAGCTATTCGAAATTCTCTGCAAACGTCCTAGCGATATGCGGACATGGCTTAAGTACTAAGCTCGAAAATTATGGTCAACCTAATCTTTTTTTTTCAGACTACCGTTCGATTGAGCCATCTACGTCAAGGAGCACGATATTCAGTACAAATCATTCCAAGACTGCTCAATGGCAATCCTGACTATACCTCACGATCACTATTTGAAATGAGAACTGATAAACGTTGGTAGTCAACCTTCTTTTCGAACAGTACTTAGTGTATGATTACAGCCGTCGGTATCAACCCAGCTGCACCTGGAGCCCTGGATTATCACTCTGGAAGTGTGAGTCACTACCGAGAACCGAGAAATGTGGAGACAGAGCACATGCGTATTGTAAGCTGCAATCCGGATGCAATTACGGTTGGTAACGCTGACACGGCAATCTCTGAATTACAATACGCCACGCAGCGCGTATTTATGCGTAACGTTCATGGCAAATGCGCCGGAAAGAACAGCGCGTGCGGCTGCATGGCGTACTTTAAAGGCAAGGCACCATCCACTCAAATCTGAGATTGGTAAGACTATGACGCATTGCAATGGCGAGACCTCTGATTACATAAATGCTCAAGTCCCGCTGCAAAATATTTTGGCGAGAAAATCGTCTCAGAAGGCGAATCTGCTGACGTCGCCACGCCCACCAACGTGATTGGCTTAGAGGCAATAGTACCTAGAAATGTTGAAAATCGTTTTTCATTGCGAAACTCTCGACACACTCTCGACATTAGGACCTCTCGCTCATTACTTTCAAATCACCCACGATGGTGGGCGTGGCGGCCCCAGCAGCATCCATCTTCCAAATTAATTTTGACGCTTCGGTATGCGCGCCTTTTACAGCAGAGGGGGCAGTTACTTGATTAAGGTGTTCACTATTGTACAGTATCAAGATCGTATCACTCGTATTCGGGTGAACGGTGCCTGTGATGTATTAAAAATATTCTGTTTGATTTTCAGCTGATGTGTGCGACGTATTTCAGACTGGCTGCGAATGGGATGAGATGTGCATAACACGAGTTGAAGATCCGGCTAAAGGATGGTGCATATCCATGGTGCTCCGAGACAGCATACTAAACTCCTGAGTCGTGCTAACACCAGGATTTTCCATATTGTACACATTGGTTTCTATTATACGTTTCCAATCCCGACAGCTCTTTCTATTACATTGTGTTATTTCAAAATAAATTATTACCATTGGCAAATGCCAATCTTTTTTTATGTTGATTTATGCAGATTCCTTATTCGCTGCAAATGTAGTACTGGTCTACAGTGACTCTAAGAAATGACTTACCTTTTCTGGCTAAATGATCTGCAAACGCTTCAAAATTACTTCCTGATACGAACACCAAATCGTATTTTCCCGCGTCTGACATACTTCTTCATGATTTGACTAAATGAGCCTTCCTATGAGTGATAAGCTGCGAATGCTTAGGTACTGAGGTTTGTACTGAGGTTGGCTAATAAGTAATTTTGGTCGTTTTTGCAGGATCTACAAATGCTGCCAACAATTTTTTGTCCAGTGTTTATGCAGAATTTCCCAATGAAATTAATCGGCAAAGAGTAGGAACCCGAATTTCACTGTGCAGAAGTATGAAAAAATGTTGGGGTAACATTTCCTCATTAATAAGAGAAAATCCTGAGTATTTGGTATGTAATAGAAGAAGATTCAGACTACCCCTCACAAGGAATGCATGTTTAGTCAAAGTGGCCTTTTTACATGGGATGTAAACCGTTTCGACGGGCATAAAATGCTGATTCCAAATCTGCTTTTCTTATCTGCAGAACCTTTATAGGCGAGGAGTTATGAGTGCTTATTGGAGCAAATTGCTTGTGCAAGTAGGACAAAAGCGGCCGCAATACTTTTTCTAGCTCTTCTACGGAGCAGTGACGATTATCAGAGAACTTTATCTAAAAACACTCTAAAATAAAAAAAAATATATCACACTTGGTTCCATTATTTGAGGGCTCTTAAGATTTTAGCAACTCATTTTATCCAAAATGCACATTCAATTTTTGGTTCCAGCACATGGTCATAACTCCTCGTCCATAAACATTCTGCAGATAAGGAAGACAAGTTTGGAATCGTTTTATGCCCTTCAATACAGCATACGTCTCATTTGAAAAGGCCACTTTGACTAATCAAGCTTCCCTTTCCGAAAAGAATAATGGAAAACAATTAGGAAGATTTTTATGAAAATTTTTATGTCAAAACGGAATAATTTTTTAGCCAACCTTATAACATTCTCAAAACATCGTGTAAGTTTAGCATATCGAGCAGAATATAATCGAAAATACAAATGTGGGCGCTGACAATTTGCACTTTTTCAATAGTTTTTAGGATCAATAGGCATATATTCGAAAACATGGAGGTAGGGAGGTTTCAAAACAGAAACGTAAGTCCTTGCTTTCCCAAAAGTTCGTTTACCATCTTTGGACATCAATACTAGGTAGCCAAGTCAGACTATAAGCATCTTTCCATCCTTATTCCTCCATTTTAAGAAATATACCACTAGCTGTGTCAAAAGTGTGCTTTGTTTCCGACTCGGACGGCAAGGCCTCTCTCAATTCTGATTATTAGCATGACAAGGCTTAGTCTGTGTCCAGTCGTCCGCGTGCCAGCAACGTGCCAGCGCCTAGGTGAAAGCCCTCGCATTGACTGATAGGTTGCTGGCACGGCTTTCAGGCAACTCTGTACTGGAGTTTCGAAGACAGCGGCCGGTTAAATTCTTATTCTGCATAGAAGCGTTTAATTTGCGCCGGTCCACTAATATGGCCATAAAAAGACAAACTTGAGAAAGTAGAACCGAAAAGCCGTCCGCCGCTTCGGTACGCGTTTCGCCCTTTCGCTTGCGTTGGAGCACTCGTTCGCTCTTGCGAAAGGATTACTTACAGAAAGAGCTTTTTTCGGCGTTTTCAAGCAATTGCACTCCAGCAATAGGGCTCGGAGTCCTGAAAGAGATAAATAATGGACTTTAGGTGTATTCAGGCAGAGGGGACTTTGCAAGTAATTTCCAAATTCAAAGAAAGCTTCGTTTGAAAATCTCCTTGGTTCCACCTGGTGCCCTGCCTCATAGAATTCACAGCCTATTATGAGTTTCTTTCATTTACTACTTTTTTTTGCCATAATCAAGTAGACCGGGTGCTGTTTGGGACAAAAGCTTTCGATTGTTAGACCTTGACACATTTAGGATGAGTTGAAATTTCTATTAATCACACCCATGAAAAAGTTGGTATATCCTAATCTATGTCAAATATGTTTGAAATGTGTGATTTTGGCGGATCGGTTCCTTTGATGTCTATTTGCTGAGTGCGCATTTCTGTGAATACTGACTTTTAGTGCGTCCAGAAAATCAAAAGCGCTTTTCGTCGAAAATGGCTATTTTTTCTCCCACTCTTTGAGCCATAGAAAACCTTTTAGTGATTTTGAGATGAGCACTAAATCCATGAAAAAAACAGTCTGACCAGAATTCGTGACTATTGCCAGGTCGCATCCTGGCACCAAATTTTACTGCATAAGTTATCATGATAATACTTCAAAAGCGACAGACGCATGAAAGGTGAAAAAAGTTTCACGATTCACACTTTTCTGAATAATAGAATTTGGACTTTTGGCTTTGATCTTTTTCCTCGTCATAAAGACAGCAGAATACGTTTTGCAAAGCTGGACTTTGCAAATTCTGAAAACTGCGAGACTGTCTACAGAATTTTTCCGTCAGACTCTAACAGAATGAGACTTATGATGAACAGGAATTAGTTTTTTGTCTATAGATTCATCCCATTCTATTGAAACCGACTGTGTGTATACAGCTGGTGATGCGCATCTATGGAAGCTACAACGTGAGACACTGTAGGACACAAAAATAATGAGCTCATATAATCGCAACATCAAAGTACACAATCGTTTTGTAAGTTGACGGAAGTATCCAAGCAAATTCATGCTTAGATTTCTTTTGTGGGATATGGTAAGCAGGTCTAAATTGAGCCATTGCTTGAAGGCAGCGGCTCGGCAGAATAGACCTACCTCAGAATTTGACATAGATGGATAGGAGGCCCTCAAAGTGATCCAAAAGAGCAACTCCGGGCCGAAAATGTGAATTCTGCAAGCCAGGGGCGAACCAAACTCCGCTCTCCTTCCTCCTTTCGCTCCTCTAACACCTTGTGCGGACGAGTATGTTTGCCGCTAGAAGACGCGCCGTCACTCGTAGCTTTGTAGGGCAGAATTGTTCTAGCGCTCCCTACCTCCTTACTCTGCGTCTCTGACGGCAGAGAAAAATGGCTCACTCGTCCGCGCCCATCTCAAGGGGGATCCGGCTCATATGATATCGTGGTAAAAAACTTCACCGGTCATTCTCGCCCAAACCACGGCTCGACACGAGATGGCTTTCCGAAAATGCAAAAGAACCAAGTTCCCCTCAACTTTCGCACAGTTTTACGAAGTCTCCTTTGACCCTAGACCCTGAAAGTAGAGAACCCTTAAAAAAACGAAGCGTCGACTAAAAAAACGTCGCAATTTTTGTGTCTTTTCGGCCACGGAAACAATGTATCCCCTCTGCTTTTTGCCCAAAAACGATATTCGGCTTGCTTGTAAGCCACCCGTGCCGAGAATGGCCCAAACCGTACTCCTTGCATTCTCTTAGGCTCTGATTGGTCCGCTTGAAATTAGTAAGAGTGTGAAAGTGGTTGCTATTGCTTTTTTCTACAAACTACTGCTTGCGTAAAAACTAAGTTAAGGCTTTTCAGTCGAACACACAAAAAGTCTAGGTTACAATGCAGCTCTTTGAGATAAGCAATGTAGGGTTAATACCTCAAAACCATGCCTAAAAGGAAAAGAAAAGACCATAGAGATATAGAGGTGTCCCAGAAGTAAGTACACACTTTTTAATCGTCACTAATTTCTTTTCCAAAACGTCTCCTGCTTTCAATCAGTAGAGCTGGCTTCAACTTAGATTTACAGTAGGGAGCGGATCATTGATCGCTTTTTAGGATTACGGTAGAAAGTTTCAGGTTAGAGCGTCATTGTGGAATAGCCTTTTTTTGGAAAAAGTATCCAAATATTCTGTAATGTTGTGTACGGAGTTTTCACGAGCGCTGATTCCATGACTCAACTTTTTAGGAGTTTGTAGGGCTTTTTGAAGGATGTAATCACAGTTTTAAAGAGCACTTTAAAAGCAGATATTGCGGTTTTTTCGACATAACGTTTGTATAAGGTGAGGATTTTCAGGTTGTTTGGTCTGCTTTCTGAGGCGAGGGGCCCTCAATTGCTCAAAACTCTTCTTGAAAGTGTACCGTAATCTTACAGTAATAAAGATGCATGACTCGCTCTATACTGTAAATCTAAGTTGAAGCTTGCTCTAGTATACGATTTTAGATCTAACAAGGAAATGGTCAGAAATCGAAGTGGCCAATCCAGACAAGCTGCATACCATTAAAAGCAGCATGAAGCGCTAACTCTAAATTTGTCTTTTTTACCTGCTTATCACTTTTCTGGACTAGGCTATAAGCCATCAAAGACCATTATTTTGCTAAGTAATTATGGGTGAAATTGAAAATTTAGCCGTACAGTGCCGCGTTCGCCTTAATGCTGGGCCAAAACATGCAGCCAGCTTACTTCAAATTTTTAAAGCCAGAAGCTGAGCTGAAGGTGCAACGATGTGCTCAGTTTCGCTATTTTTATGTATGATTTTTTCACAATGAAACCGCTTGTAGCTTCGTCCACGGAAGCGATAAGCAGATAAAGAAGACAGATTTGAAGTCAGCGTTTTATACTGCATCGAATGGCATACAGCTTGTTTGATTTGGCCACTTCGACTTCTGACCATTCCCTTGTAAGCAAAAGGCTTCTTGTAAAGAGAGTTTTTAACGTTTAAATTCACTTTGGGACACTCTGTATAAGGATAGAGTCAAACTTTATATCACTGTAAGGATCATAGCGATAGCGAGGAATCAAATTTAATTGCAAAATCTTCTCTCCACATTCGCAGTGGTACACGGCGGTGGTTTGGTGTATTTGTTCGAGGCGCTTTTGTAGCTACAGTTATTAAGGTTCAATTTCGCTGCCGTGCCAGATCTCTCATCTATTGGAAAAGGTAATCCAGCTTCTCAACACGAGTATAGTAACCAGAGCTTGAAGTTAAAAATTTGATTGATTCATGTAGCTGAGCCCGGTTCTGTGCACTTTTTCCGCAGTCATAGCCAGTTTACTTAGGAAGACGAAAACACCATACTTTTTCCTAAAAGTGTGAATAACGCTATATTATGATGATGTGCATTTGGAGAGGAATTTGGGCGAAATCTCAAACTATTAGGTTGGCACGAAAGTTCTGTGGCATCATTTTCAAAAATTCATAACTTCTGATCTTTCCAACCGATTTGACTGCTTTTATCTTTGTATGATAGAGTAAGTCATGCTATTTATAACGACATCTAAGCTGCTTGCTAATAATCATCTGTTGCATAGATAAAAGCGGTAGAAGAAAATTAGTCAAAATTCGAATTTTCTGTGTATGGTCATAAAAATTCGGAAACTTGCAACAAAAATCGGAGCAGTCAGTATTGTAGGTTCTTTCACCAGCTCTTTCCAACGGTGCAAAGTTTGCTCCGATTGATTGTCTCTATGAAAAGTTACGATTTTCGAGCAACCAATACAAAAGGGCGAATTTGATTTATTTTGGCATTTTTCAGGGAAATCATAACTTTTCACAGAGACGCTCAATCAGCGCAAGCTTTGCACCGTTAGAAAGAGCTGGTGTAAGAATCTACAATATCGACTGCTCCGATTTTTGTTGCAAATTTCCGGTTTTTTATAACCCTACTCAGAAAATTCGAATTTTGACTAATTTTCTTCTACCGCTCCTATCTATGCAGCAGAAGATCATCAGCAAGCAGCTAAGATGTTTTTATAAAGAGCATGACCTACTCTTTTACACAAATATAAAAACAGTCAAATCGGTTGGAAAAATCAGAAGTTATGAATTTTTGAAAATGGTGCGACAGAACTTTCGTGCCAACCTAATAAACCGTCTTAGTGCAAACATTTTGACTTTGGCGCATAAATCCAAACAAAGGTAAAGATTGTTGAATCCAAATAAGAAATTCTTTTGCATATTTCACCAGTAATGGCTACCAATTACGTCAGCGAAGTTCAATAGATGTTGCAATTTCCTAATGCTATTGCATCAGCTCTGTAAATAGAATGGATAAATTCTAATGCGATTTAAATGTTCATGATATAAAGGTTGCTCCACACTTTGGTTTTGTTTATTGATCTGATTCTTCTTCCTTGCAAATCTTTTGCAACATTGAATCGGTGCAGTGCATAGCATTGTCAGTCTATAAATTTTTATGACAAATACAGGTTAAGTCAAATATAGCATTGCATTTTAAAGGTTATTGTTAGACTTTCACATAATTCTATTCATTCTTATTGTTTACCTTCTAAAAGTTTTGTTATACGAGTCTCACAAAATTCGCTTTGAAGACTATCACGAGGGGTTCTCGTTGAAATTCTAGCCTCCATTTCTTTTTATTTTTGACTTGTACATCATTTTGAATATCATTCACACGAATTTACGTAACAGCTACAATACCCAGCACTCCTCTCTTTTCAGCAAAGTGCTACAACCTTGAAAACCCCATTTCTTTGAACTTTTACGATCATTAAAACGTGTCACAAAGGACCTATAATATTTGCTGAAAGTCGCTCAAAAAGGAGATGTCAAGTCGGAAGAGATAATGTTTGATTGCATTTGTTTTGTAGGATAGGTCATTCCCAGAAAAATCATTTTTTTTCGAGAGTGTGTGTAATTATTCAAAAGAATGCATAATACAAAACTGCTAAAGAAAATGAAAGACATCAAGGGGTGGGAAAGTTCCTGTATTGTTAGTAGAAAATTATGATTTCATTAGGGATTTTATCATTCCACATTCTTGCTGGTTCTGTGGGTTTACTACAGCTTTTGAGTAACAAAGTGCACCTTCTGTTAGTTTTGTATAATATGAATTGCAGTTTATGCCTTTAGAGCATTTTTACGAAATCGTAAATATTTTCTTCCCGAATTTCCTTCAGCAATATCGTCAAAGTACACAAAGGGTTAGCTACTACAACTAATCAAAACTATCGCGAGGGGACAGAGGGACAATTCAAACGTAATTACTTAGGATTATCACTTAATCGTACAGTGCAGATCTTGTCTGGAACTACATCAACTGCTGTTGGCTCATTTTTACGGGTTTGCTCTGCTATTTCGAAATCCAAACTCGTCCATAGTCGTAGTAATAGACATCCATATCAATAGGATTTGACTCATTTGACATAAAAATTGACTTGGAAGCTGATGTCAACTCGATAGGTCCATTTTACTATTTTTGTGACGATCGATGGGTAAGCATTAAAATTTTGCATTAGTTTTGATAGATAATTAGAAATAGTTCTTGTGAAAAAAATAATTCCCAGATTAAGTCAAAAGCAATCACCGTAATCCCTTCCGTTCTCTGACTGGTTGATTTTCTCTACTAAAGTGACTCACCTTCACAAAAATAGCAGACCTGGCTCGTCACTTTGCACCGTTGTGCATGAGACCTAAGTCTGTAATAGAATCGGATCTTTGATAATGATGTAATATAGAATCATCAGACCAGAAACCATCATTAAAAACATGTCTGCATAGCATAAACAAGATAGCTTCGTATGAGCTATGTCTTCTTCGCAAATGTTATGATTTTATGATTCATAACCCATTAGCGAGATCCGTTCATTTTTTGTAGTAACATACAACATTCATTCAAGCTTCTAGCAGAAGCTATTTCAGCAGCTATTTACTTTCTGCAATTGCACTACTGTAGCAAGCTCATATCCCTAGAGAATGAAACATCCTTCTTCTTTGTATCGCTTTCATGTTAATTTATCGATGTTTCGAAGTGTCTGTGAAGTTATGATGGTAGCTATAGTTCATTTATAAAACCGTAACGACGGATTTTACTGCGGACTTTGCGCCCACATGAGCATAAAACGCTCATATAGGAAGGCATCACCTCAATGTTCAGTTCAGTTACTTCCACTGTCTAAATACTTATCATACTTAAGCAAAAAACCATTTGACTTGAGACGAAAACCAAAAAAATGTGATTTCCGGAAGTGGCGTGCGTGTCGAGCGCGGTCGCGCCATCTTCACGATTTTTCAAATGCCTTATAAATAGCCTGGGGCATGCTTTGTACAGAAGATTTTAGAAATTGGTGCAGTTACACAAAGAGACCGCTGAACTGAGGACGACTATGAGTCAATGCGTCTAGAGGTCACGGTAGCGAGAAAACATACTCCTTTTTGCTGGTTTTTTGGTAGAAATATTGTTTTTAATATTTTTTTCAAACTCAACTTACTGCCACTTAGGAGAAAAGGATGATTCAAACCCAGCCTATTTCTTCACGAAAATGATGGTAGTAAAAGGTTGCAGACGCTTATCGTTCGCGCATCTCGGATGACCTCGAATGATAGCGATACCCATTGCCAACATTAGCTATGCCAACCTAAGGTAAACTCATACCCTAGGTAGGCATAGAGCTTGACGAACTCCGCCAGATCTCATGCGCTAAAGAAGCCCTCAGGAGAATCGCCTGATCTCGTCCGGATAGAACGAGTGCCCTCGAAGGGCACCGTCTGGCTGACATGTGCCCCCCCCCCCCGTCACTAGCACTTCCGCGTCTTTTCGCAACATTGATTGGGATGGGTTCGGACTGATCAATGAGCTCTTTGGCAATCAGTGCAAACCAAACCCCTCCCGTCCCCCTCCCAGCTGGTGGTCCCACACGAGTTTTTACCTCAAGTAGGCGTGTCGGCTCCATATGTCTTTCGATTTCGCATCATTTCCTTTTATTGCACTCTTTTTTCCTTTCTCTCTCAAGGCTATATAAAGGCGAGGTTGATAGCTATTACAGAGGTTAACTTCGTAATAATGTTCTGAAGGCACTTTGACCTTCGTTTCTATAGATCTTTTGAAATCTCACGTAATTGCATTTGCTCAATTTTTCGTTTCTGTTGCTCTTTCTATTTGTTCATCTGCTTATTCTGCATTTTTGTGATGATCTCAAACAAGCTTCGATTCCGTTTACCTCAGCATGCATTCCACTCGCCTAAATTATCTCCCTGCCAATCGCTAAACAAAGTCATATTTTCAATTTTATTTTGAAGCCATGGCTACTTGCATGAATGGAAACAAAATCGCTTGGGAACTACATAATGATGGATGCACTGTTGTTCAATATGGCATAAAGATCGAGTCTACAAAGGCTAAGTAAGCAGTAAATTCAAGTTTGTAACATCTTAGCAAAAAAGTAACATGTATTTGATTGTATAACGCGGCTTTTGGTAAAAGAGTATTTATTTCTTCGAAAGATTTTCTTCCAGTAATTACTCTTATTTTCTGTCTTGTAGATTGTAATGATCAGGATAAAAATCTTGGAAAATTTTGCTAAAAAAGTAACTTTTCAAGGTACCTATCGTTGATTTCAGGCCAAGACCAAAGTATTTTAACAACATACTAGAAGTAAATGGCAACACTCCGCTGTCGAAGCTCAACAAAGTCATCAAAGAAAAATCAATAAAATGCAATATTTGTAAGTTTTGATCAAAAATGTTACTTCATGAGTATTGTTTGATTTTTGATCTATGCCTTCAAAGATTTCATCACGCGTTAGCATCGTATCAGGTGTAAAACTCGAGGTTGTCTGATGAAGTGTGGATGTTTCGTTGACAGGGTTCATATTATGGGAATAGTCTAAGCGAAAACTCTGATAAGATAGTATCTGAACGGGCTTAGGAAATTGGATCTAACTCAGAAGAAAAAGCAAAAGAAAAAAAAATCCAGTTCTACGCATTCACTAAACATGGTAATTTTAGATCTAAAACTCGAGTATCTCAATATTGGCGGTTCTTTAGAAGATCGTGCTGCAATTCGCATGATTGAGGTCTGTTCAAAGATATTTTTTGCTTGGGACTACGAAATAGTGAGTAATTTTTTAGGTGGCCGAGCAGAATGGATTGAAGAAAGGAGAGACTGTGATTGCCCCTGCTAGCGGAAACAGTGCCGTAGCCATAGCCCTCGTCTGTGCGGTTAAAGGATACAAGTAAGTTTTCCTTCTACAAAAAAAATCAATAAGAAATTCCCTTGCTCACTGGCCAGAGATAATGGTCTATGTAGTACACGGTTTCATGACTGGATCGATCATACACCAGCTGATCTTTTGAAAAGTGCAGAGCAGAGAATAGAAAATGACAAAAGTGACCAAGTTTGCTTGTTATTTACAGTTAGCTGTGTCGAAATGAGGGACCTTGTGCAAATGGGGAACTATTAGGTTGTTACATCAATTGTTTATTCTCTTCATTTTTCTAAAATTCTAGGAAGGAAAAGTCTCATATTAGCATATGTGGGGAAGCGATGAAGGGCTACTCCTTTCTCCTTCTCCTTTAAGGGCTTCAGTTACATTTGAGTGCAATTCTTTTAGGGCACTCCAAACTTCATTTGTCCTTTTTTCTTTGAAAACTCCCTCATTCTTCTTTTTCACATTTTTTAAATGATGATGGACTCTCGGGAGCATCTATAGTTAGAAAACATTTGAACTTTCCAATAATGCGTTGAAATTTGTCAAGAATAATAGGAAAAGTGAAATAGTATCTTTCATGTGTGACATAAATGTAAGAAGCTTGTTTGAAGCTGAGGAAAAGACCTTTTGTGGGAGTTATTTCATTGGGTTCAACAATACCTACGTAACAACCTAGATTTGCTTTCGTCTACATAAAGCTGAACTGTTTAAGCATGCTGTTAGATTCAAAAAAATGTGTGAAAGCTAGTGAATTTCTATGTAATAAGGCATTTGGAGAAAATAAGATAAGGATCGGCACTTTTGAAGAAAGTTTTTTATTTTGGATTCTCCGACCCATTCACCGGCTAACCAAAAAATCACTTTTCGATTAGAGCTACTTTTAACTGCTTTGAATGCTCCAGACCCTTGGGACTTCGTCTCGTCTTCAGTCTCTTTTTTTTCTAAAAGATACTAGAGCTCTTCTAGCCAAATGAAATTTCTCCCCCAATAATCTATTCTACACTTTACGCAAAGTTTGTTTACTCGCACTAGATCTGATACACGTTCACGTGTACTAGATGAAGGTAAAATCTTTATCTCCAAAGGCTCTGCCAAATCGTTCCTTTCGAAAAAGCTTTCTTTTATGCCCCCGAAATTCTTGCTCTCTTCGCTCATGTCAATTCATTTCCTTCGCTAATACTGCGATATTGAATCTTGTCACCATTCCATGTCTGGCGATTTGAGAGTTCTTCGTTACTTGTTCTTGTTTGAGTAGTCAAAATAGTTCTATGAATCTGTGGATATCGCTTCACCCCCGTGAAATTTTTTTGCCTTTCTCTTCCAAATTCCAAGATTGCTTAAAATATCTGAGAAGCATACGTAATTTTTAAATTCCTCTTCTAAATCTACCACCACCTTCCGAAAAGAATCTTCGGAGCCGCCTATTTCAGGAGTAGAGTCTTGTTTTGATTTACTAACATTAGCAAAATTTTGATATAATGTCAGAGTATCCAAACACGCCTTTCTTTCATTTCTCCTTTGTGCCTTTTGTTAGATGTCTTAAAAGTTTCAACCGCACCCAAATGTTTTGCAAAATTGACTGTTGAAACATTTTTAAAAATCAGGAAGCAGTGCGTGACTTTCTAGATTTGTACTAACTATTTATGTCCTGTTTACATCATCACATTCCAAAAGATTCATCGCTTGTAGTTTATGACCTTATTGTACTCATGTGACTAATGGGTTCAAGCGTAGATTCGGATGTAAACTAAAGTGCATGAGCATCAATTAATTGAATAAAATTTTACTCTTCGAAAAAGAGGAAAAGCCTTGAGCACAGATCACACCTGAAGAAAGAATGAGTAGAATAAAAGTCATATTCACCAATACTCTAATGATTTAACTTGCTTCTTATCCTGTTTGATTCTCCTTTTCAGGATAGATGAATAATCCGCAAAAATATTCCACATTAGTATTTTTTTGATAATTTTTTTTTTCAACAGAAAGGAGAAAGCTCAAATCAAAATTTCGCCCTCTTCTCTTATGAACAAAAATAATTCATAATTTGAACGAGGGAAGAATAGTTTACTGTGACTTGCGAAAACTGCAAAATCTTATTACTCGCAAGGAAAGCAATTTATTCTTACAAGCCGGGCCAAACTGCTTTTTTACACACAGCAGAAATGCTTAAGATAATGCAAATTTCTCGTGCACTCCTTTTCTGTGAATGTGGTGAAAAAGCAATGTTCTAATTTCTCATCATTTAGAAGGTAAACTAAAAAAGAGGTCAACTTCGACTTTGTTTCCCAAATCAAATTTGCTCAAAAAAAGTTAAAAGAAGTCCCCTAACCTACCTTGGACTAAGAGCGAACTTACTCCGCGATCTTGCACTAATTTGGGCGCTTTAATAGGTTCTGTAGAAACCTACATCTCAATTAAGTCATCTCTAATGATTTCCTCAAGCATACAAATTGATTCATGATGGTGTCCTTAAGGAAAAGGTTTCACAAGTCAGCGCTATAACTTTGGAATGCATAAATGCAGTACAATGCTCCAACATGGGATATAAAAATTACGGTTCTTGGTAGAAGCAGTGGTATTATATCTAATAGAAAATTGATATGGTATGTATCATTAGATTTAATAATAGGAACTATGATATAGAAATGTTAAATGAGACAAAAGAATCACATTTCTGACTGATTGTCACAGCTTTCACAGCTTCTGCCCTCCTCGGTCGTATTAATAACTTATTTGCTAATAAATTATTCTCGCAGCCATTTTATGGACTAAATAACAAACGTAAAGAACGTAACGGCTGTGCTTCAGTGTTTTTTCAATAACATCCTTGCAAGGAAATCTTGATGTTTTCAAAGTATTTTATCGATTACAAAATTCACAAGTAATCATTCAGATGCATAATCGTGACTCCTGATAGGCCTTCACATGATATTGCCGATGTACTAACCGCTCTCAATGCACAAGTATGTCTCGAATTTCCAGTAGTCGTATTCAAATAATAATATAATAACAATGTTAGTGAAAAAAATTTTTTCAGCTAATTCGTACTAACAATGGCGCAAAACCAGATAGTTCTGACTCTCATTTTGCCTATGCCAGAATTATAGCGAAAGGAATTCCAAACTCCTATTTTCTGGACGAGGTACGATTATACTAAAAATATATATGGGGTATTTTCCATGATTATCAGTTTACAGAATGAATGCGGAGCAAATGCTCTAACTCACTATGAAACGACAGCTAATGAAATTTCATCGGCTCTAAATAATGTAAGCTCTCATTTTTTGAGAAATTATCCTGAGAATTTGTGCCAAAATTTTTTTAGATTGACATGGTCATAGTGCCTGTACGAACTGGCGCAGCTCTGACTGGAATTTCTAAATTCTTCAAACAACACCACCCTAACACAAAGGTATCAATTTCCTTAGCAGAAATTAATTTTGCACATTATTTGACCTACAGGTTTACGGTGTCCGTAGTCATGATACAGCATTTCCATCCATACCCGAACTTAGCACTGGGGAACTACCACATGTTGCTGATTTCAAGGATGTAGCCGGAATTGAAGAAGTCACAGCTAAGGTAACAAATCCCTACTTTTTAAAAACCGGTGAAATTTTGAAGAAAATATATAGGAAGCCTTCTTGATGGCACGCAGGTTGATAAAGGAGGAAGGATTGATGGTTGGGCCATCATCAGGTGCAGGAGTCTGTGCAGCCTTCAAGGTAATGGAAAAATCTTTTTTTTTCTGGAAAAATCTGGAAGATCATGTTTTTGATAAAATCTGGACCATAATGTTTTTGATACTTCCTGGTAGCTTCACAGGTTTGCACTTGATTTAATGTCAATTTTAGCTCGCCGAATCTTTGCCCGAAGGTCGCAATGTCGTTGTTGTGGCTCCCGATGGTATAAGAAACTACATGTGAGATTTTTCCATCAAATGACTTTCAAAATTTCATTCTCTTAATTTTCAGGAACCAGTTTATCGATGACGAATGGCTCATCAAAAACAAGATCATCACCGAAAGCCAGAAGAAAACTATTACTCCGAAAGAGTAAGAAAATTTATCAATAATTGTGGCCACAGGCTGTTTGCACTCAGCCACCGTATCCTTACCGTAATCTTACGCTATATTTGGAATGTCTTCATCGGCATACGTGGAAGGCTCCCGCCTAATACTTTGAATAAAGAATTCTAATTTTCGTTTTCTTTATACTACCAAGAAGCAGTATCAAACCCATGTTGCGCGGCAATTCATACCCACCACATCGGGAGTTGCGAGGGGGTTACGGTAGCATACTGTTGCGGTGCAAAAGGGCCAGTCCAAATTGGAACAAAACTGCATGAAATTTATTGCTATTATTCAGAAAATTCGATCCCAAAGTGTTGGTATATGACCCAACAACGCTGAATGGAGAATGGAAGCAAGACGAGGTCACTAAGAAGTGGACAAAGTGCTGTCGTCAATTCAAACCATACAGGTACGTAAACACACTCAAGTAACCTTTTTTTAGCTCAAAATAAGATCTCTTTACAGACCGCAGCGTCCAGCAGTGATGAGGAATGTGCTTGAAGCTGTTCACAACACTCCGTTGGTGAAACTTAATAGAGTTCCGAAAGATAATGGAGTCAAGTGCAATATGTGTTAGTTTCTTTCTCTCGCATTTCTCCGCAAAGAAGCGAACAATCCAAAGTGTCTGGGTCCATCAGGGATGAAGGTAGTTGACCTACGCATGCAAAGCGACGCGAGCTTGTTAACTCTCAACGGCGGCACGTGAGCACTCGTTCAGCTTATCCAGACTACCTCCTTCATCCAGCATTGGGCTAATTCCAGAATATTTTACTAGCAGTTTTTCAATTCGTAGAGAAATTCTGAGTAAGGAAGTAGAGGGATATTGCAGCTAGCATCGTAGCACGCTGCCATTCAGTTTTCATGAACATGTTTTGTAGATCTTTTTTTGCATTACAAACTCTTTTAAAAAGAAGTTGTAATGAAAACATCGAAGCTGATGAAAACCTCAATGTAACTAAATTTTGAAGTCTTACCCTGTACCTGGGCATCCTGATGCATTACTTTCTATGATGTTTCAAACTTGAGTGGATAAAAATGTTTTTTGAACTCATTCTTTCCATGCCACAGTAGCTGAGTAAGTGTAATAACTCCAGTTGCCAAATGCGAGTACTTCAATGCTGGTGGCTCTACGAAGGACAGAATCGCCCTCAGAATGATTGAGCTGGCCGAGCAAGAGGGAATTCTAAAACCTGGAATGACCTTGATCGAACCGACTTCTGGCAATACTGGCATCGGATTATCGCTTGCAGCTGCTGTCAAGGGATACGGGTAAGTCTTTGGATTGATTCTTTATGACTCGAAAGATACTAAATATTATTTCAGCTGCATAATTTGCATGCCAGTGAAGATGTCGAAAGAGAAAGCATTGACGATGGAAGCTTTGGGAGCCGTCATTGTGAGAACTCCAAACGAGGCCGCATTCGACTCTGCTTATTCGCACATAGGTGTTGCACTACGTCTTCAGGCTGAAATCCCTGGAGCGATCATTTTGGATCAGGTCAGTCTTACTATTTTGCTACAGAAAGTAATTGAATCTTCCATCTTTTGGAGCGGGAATAAAAAGATTGCAAAAGATAACTTTGTAAAAGAAATTTTTGAAAATTGAGAAGACCTTTTTGCACTATCTTGCGATCCTTACCGTAACCCTAAGCAATGGTGAAGGATGCGGCATCAATTTCTCGATGCGGACTTACGAGCGAAGAAAACTTACTGCTATTTTGTAGAACATTGACAAGTATGTAATTTCACGATGTCAGGGTTATGCCATGGGATGGTAGGGTTACGGTAGCATACGGTATCTACGTGAATCATCCTTTTTATGAATCTCCAGACCTGCAAATGTGTGCTTAGACAAATTACTCAGTTCAGAAAAATCTATTGGTTTTTTTTTGAATCAACTGTTTCATTTCCTGTGTTCAAGACTCGAGTTTTGGTAAATATATAAAGTTGTACATTTTTTCCTATATTTTCATACTGATATCAATCCCATTTTTTCAGTATCGCAATATGGGAAATCCAATGGCACACTACGAACAAACAGCTGAAGAAATAGTCGATGCGTTGGACGGAAAAGTCGATTATGTCGTATGTTGAATACTATTGAGGGGTGTCACGGAAGGCGACAATTTTGAAATTCGGGAAAAGGCTCCGCCTCCAATTTGGCGCGAAATCTGTCGAACACTTCGAAACAGGTTGACACGATTATTTAGCGCGAGAGGGGCGGAGACAGCATTTTGCTTGTATTGTCACCTTTTGCGAGCCCTTTAAGCATGTCTACTCAGTAGAGAAGTACACATTTTTCTATTTAGGTAGTTGGTGCTGGTACAGGTGGAACAGTGACTGGTATCGCAAAGAAAGTCAAGGAAAGAGTCCCTACTTGCAAAGTAAATTTTTAACTTATCAATGTCTTCGACTTGAAACGTAAAAAATTTCTTTCTAAGGTAGTGGGTGTGGATCCAGAAGGATCAATTCTGGCTGAAGGGCATGGTGAAACTGGTTTCTACGAAGTAGAAGGAGTCGGCTATGATTTCATACCAGGAACCCTGAATAGATCCGTCGTCGATAAGTGGCTGAAATCCACTGATAAGGTAAATCTTCATCTTGGAAAGTATAATTGAAATCAATTTGACCTCAGGAGTTAGTGCATAGCAGTTTTGAATTTCCAGAAAATGGTCTATGAAACTTTTTTGCGAATTTGCGATTTTTTTTCGATTCTCAGATTGCCCATTGCTCTAAATGCTGCTCATACGTTACATCTATCTTGATTCATTACATTTTAACCTGACTCAAATTTTAGGAATCCTTCGAAATCGCCAGAGACATGATCATGAAGGAGGGTATACTCTGCGGTGGATCATCCGGTTCGAATGTCCATGCTGCTTTGGAGGTTGCGCGTAATCTTCCAGCCGACAAAAATGTCGTGGTTGTTCTACCTGATGGTATTAGGAATTATCTGTAAGTTTTTTCTATGCTTGTGCTTTACTATTTGAAAAAAGAAGAGGCATGCTAGTGTTCTTGAAAGGAAAAATGATCTTTTTACAAAATTTTTGTGTTTTTTCCAGTGTAATGTGGATCCGTTGATGCCATTTTTTCAAATAACAGTGAGATACAATGTCATACGTATTAGCTCCCCTGTAGTGCCTAGGCAATCTCGTACCTATAGCTGAGATACTGCTCAAGCAGCTTGTATGACTCATTGGCCAAAAATAAACTCCAGACTCTCGCCCAGGGTTTTATGGATGGGCTAGCGATCGTCCTCGTATACGGTACTGGGCGAGATTTTTGGTCGTGGGTGAAACATATCAGTTGCTTTGGGCAATGACACGATAAGGCTTTTCCAGTACTTTCCACATGTGGGAGTTAGTTACCCTAGTGATTCATCGGATACTGCTTTCGAGTGAGTTCCTTGTACGTGAGGTTAGGTCCTTCCCTTCTGAGATATTGTTGTAAAAAAACACTACTGAATTCGACGAACTAACAGATGCTTCCCTGTAACTGTATAATAGCAGATCTTCCATTCACTATTGCTATGGATGATGCAGTCCGTTTCCTCCTTTCTCCGGAAAATTTCTAGACTTACGAGGGAGGGATACTTGGTGACCGTGGCCTTTTGCAATGTAATATATACTAGTAGGCGCGTCTTGGAACGCTGATTCTAAATTTGTTTTCAATATCTGCTGTGCGAATCCCTGAACGAAGTTATGGGCTTTTTTCCTATTGATTTTGCGAGATTTAGACAGTCAAAATCGTCAGTAATCAGATTTTTTAGGCTCTGATGTGTCGATGACAGTTTTCCTGAGCTTAACGTGAAGCTTTACTTTACCTGTACGCTCTTTTGTAGTGCGTAAGCGAACGTTCGAACAATATTGGTTTCTGCATCAAAAACAGTGCAAAGTTTGGTGGCAAAAAATGTTCATAACTTCTTCCAGAAGAGCGCACAGCAGATAATGAAAACAGATTTGGAATCAGCGCATCAAGACGCATTTAATGGGTTACTTTTCATTCCAAAAGGCCACGGTCACCAAGTATCCTTTCCTTGTTAGTATCCTGCGTGTAATTAAGCAGATTATAAACATTACGACCCACCGGCAGCCTGTACTGCTCTACTTTTTGACACGATACGACTCACTGGTGATTCATAAGCTCGATAAAGCGAAAAATCGGTTCAATGGCTAAAATCCAAAATCACTTTGGTCCAAATATGGCAAAAACTGAAAAAAACGGTTTTGCAAAAAAAAAAATGCAGAGTACATCTCTAGACCTAATCAAGAGCTCTTCATTTCTAAGTGTCCTCAGTCGACTTGTTCACTCAATTTCTTAAACAACGTTCAAAAAGGTATTTTTAGCACAAAGTTCCTGAACAACGAATGGATGGCCGTTAGACACTTCAACGTGAACGAAAACATCTAAATCATTAGCTGTTGGCAATTGCACAAAGCGTCTTCGATAAAACCTTGAGGAAATCTTATTGTTAGTAACATATTCTCATTATCTATGCTGCAAATAATATCAGGCTACATATTCTGTGAATGATAGCACTGAAATAGTATCATTTGCGTTGTTGTGCGATCTATTTCAATCGTATTGGTTTTTCTTTTTATGCGGTGGGATTCACTTGATAAAACATTTATTGATAGTATTTTACTATGCAGATTACAAAAAAAAAACAACAGCAGGTTGGACAAGCTTCTTTTCAGAATGGGACCTTTTAATCAGGGGAAAAGATCCTATATAGCTCAGAGGCATAGTCCAATGGCGTTAATTGTCTTCGCATTTTATTTCAGAAGAGTTCAGTTGTACCATTACATAACTGGAAGCATTTATAGGCGAGAAAATCGACTTTCTTTTCGTTTTCTAATATCGATGCTCCCTCAGGTACGGTTGAGCGAGAGTCCAGAGGAATTCAAACTCTCGTGGGCAATGTCTTAGTTGGCAAGTGAGGTCCATGAGGACTGTGGAAGGAACTCGTTTTCTAAATTTTTGGATTTCATCTCTGCTTTTGGAAAGTAAATCCTCCCGACTGTGTCCTTTCATTAGAATAGGGAGAGCATGAATATTTTAGTGCTAGAAAAATTCTGTATTTCTTGCTAGGTATGACGATTTGCTGAATTTTCCTCTAATAAGCAAAATTTTATTCACTCTTTGTTCTACATAGAACTTAAGCTTTGCATAGAGAAGAGACACTGTCTTAAAAAGGTATGAAAATGAGAGAAGGTCTTTTGAATGCTCTATTTTGTCTGCAGAAGCTATACGACTATACATCATGCTGTGTGTTTTTTCTTTTCTTTTTTTTTCCAGTTGTTCTCGTGACTGTAAATGATTTTGGATTGATAAGTACAGATAATGCGGCTTTTTAGTGCTCAATCCAACGCACGTTATTTAGCGGCACTTTGCATGCTTTAGAATTTTTTTTTCCAGAGTAAAATTAGTGATAAATCAGTGGTATAAGTCTTAAGCTGAATAAATCAAATCCTTAGTGATTAGTTATGGACATTTTATTATTCACACATTAGACACATTAGACATTTTATTATTCACATTGATGTGATAATTGGCTCCAAATGTCCCATTGATTACTGCCGTGAGGACTAAGGCTTATCCAAGCACGGAAATTTCTGTCAAAAAAAGTCGGTCGAGATAGCATTCTATAAGGATCTCTTCGATATTCTAGAGGAATCAATCTTATAAAACAGAAAAATAATGATTCTAGACTACTGCTTACATTTCATACCCTCTTCCCCTATCCCATATAAAACTTGAAATATGCTGGACTTTTGGACATTTCAACATGACATCAAAAGAGTGCACGCATTCAAATAAATTATTCATATGAAAGGTTGAAACTTCACAGATCATACTATCTATTATACTACATAAGTGTCCGAGAAGCTAGTTCTTCACATTTCAAGTCTGTGCAAACTTATTCTTCGTGATTTTCTTGAGGTCAGCCTAGACAAGATTAACATAAAAAAACGAGGAAGGCATAGAAGTACTGTAGAAATTCCTAGGCTACAAAGCAACCGAGGAGTGGTAAAAAAATGGTTGCAAACGAATGTTCACCTCTTATTAAATAAATTGCTTATACATTCGTGAAATACGTTATAAATACGTGTATTTTTTCATGTGGTTGTGCTACTCAGACAATCGCTGGGGGCAGGCGGGCACCGGAAAAATAGATTGCTGATTTCTCGCACCCCGCTCGCGGATTTTTTGCAAAGCAATCAGGACTTTCCGGAAGACCGCTTGCTGAGTCAGCGGATTTTTGAGAGACCGCCTGTTGAATTTTTTTTTCGCTCTTATCTTTTGCAGATATATTGCTGAATCTCTGAGGAATCAAGAACTCAGCAAGCGGTCTTCCGAAAAGTCCTGATTGCTTTCCGAAAAATCCGCGAGCGGGGTGTGAGAGATCAGCAATCTATTTTTCCGGTGCCCGCCTGCCCCCGGCGATTGTGTGCAAAGATCTCTTCGAAGCTTTCTGCAAATTAGGTGGGTTCGAAAGTTCGCACAGTTTGCTGGACCTATCCTCAAATCGTTCAGAATATAGACTCTAAGAAGAATTATATGCAGAGTTCCTTTCTCTTTCCAGCAATGATGTTTTTGTTCGGATTTCATTCTCAGATAATCGCCGCATCAATTGATGCTCGCTTGAAAAATCTCTTTAACCCACGATTTTTATCTACCCTAACTTTTGTTTTTTAAATTTTCGTTCTTCGCTTTTAGAAATGCTTCAACATTAAATAGAGTAGACAAAATGCAATGAAATACAATTACAACTATCATTTTGATGCCACCAAATTTGATACATGTTTATCGCATACCTCACAGAACATCAGACGGCAAACAGCTGGGGTGTCATTCGATGCAGCTTCTTCGCCTCTTCTTGATGGATATTTTTTCTTTCTGATTCGTAAAGCCCTCAAGAAAAAAAATTGCCATAATTCTAGTTTTTTGATGCGTCCCAAGCTGCAACCGGATATTGAAAAAATCAATATCTGGAGGCGGTAGAAATTCATTTGCTTGTTAAAAAGTGTTCAATCATCGATGTTTGGAACAATTTGCAAAGATTTCATAGTGTTTGAAACGTGTTTGTATATTGTACGATTTCGCAGTTGTGAAGACTTTGGGAAAACTTGTTTTCAAAAAAAAACTCTAAGGCCAGCTATCGATGCTAAAAAAATGAGTTTTTTATTCAAAAAAGCTAAAGTTAGCGTAGGAAAATTATGGGTTGAGGATTCTAACGATTTTTCACGCAAACATTAAAGTAATAGGAAGAAAACATGACTGCTGGAAAGAGGAAGAAATTCTGCACAAAATATTTGTTGAAGTGTTTGTTATCGTTATTCTGAATGATTTGAGGATAGGTACAAAAAACTGCACGAACTTGCGGACCCACCTAATACAATAATTTCAACGCCGCCATAATCTAAAAATCAAGTATTTTTACGTGGAACAATTATCAAAATACTTACATGGTCCCTGGCTAATTTTGTTTTGACAACGGAAAACCGAAATCCTCTTGTTGCTTTTGTGCAAGAGCAATATACGGACAGGAAATGCATTAACTGACTTGGAATTGGGCTGCTCACTATTTACCTCCTACTTTAGCGAATAAATAACTCAGATGTCAAGTTGTCAAGAACTTCTCATAAAGGCAAGGTCTATGCCGAGACACGCTAGATTTAAGGATTTTCGGAGCATTTGTACTTTTTCAAGGAATTTTGGCGGAGTTGCACACATTAAACTAGTAATTCCGTGCTGATGTATTCTTTTTGCAGCGTCTCCCTAGTGTAAAAAGCTTAGTAGAGCGGTACTATTAAGGCTTATCCGTATAGTATAATGTTGCTGTGATTATCATAAATAGTCTGTGCTTTACTTTAACGATTCTGTTTACGAAGCCCTCAAGCTTACTTTCGGAGTACAAACACTTTTTCAGGGTTATGAGACACATATATTTCCAGTTCAACTTGTGATCTTCTATCGTTTCCCGCATCTATGTTCTTCACCGGGGTGAAAGAAAGAAAGATACAAATACACTTTCATGGTAAATGGAGTCAGCATACAAAACTAAAATAATCTTCCCCAATGTACAGACCATTGGGTATGCAAAAAATTTCTCTACGGGCCTTGAACGATTTGAGCCATCCCCCAGGTGGCAGCTTTTATGATTCATTCATGAACAAGAGATCTAGCACTAAACTTTCGCCCATACCGTGCCGTTTAAGAGCGCACCAATCACCTCGCTTACGGTCCGGGCGAGTGTTCAGAGTTGAATTTCTTGGCTTCGAATCATTCCCTTTTACTGTCGCTTGGGCAGTGGGCTCAACTAGGATTTCTAATTGTCCCACACAGTAGGAATATAGATGCCTGGAGAGGCTTTGAAGATTTGCAGCCCATAGCACCTCTGGATGGTTTTAGTAGGAAATACTTGCATATTTGTCTTTTTACAACACCACAAATATTGCAAAGAAAACATGTACAGCTCGTGGGTGTCAAGCGCGCTCAGCTAATTATCTACTAGAACTGGATCATTAGAGTAAATTCAAGCTGGAATTTCGCTAATCAGGAATTCACACAGGAGTTTTGCATGTGGTTTTTATGGCTACAACTCCCTTCTTTGATAAGCCCATTCAAATTTCACAAAAACTCTACTATTTTCACGAAGAAAGGCAGATTAGTTCAACTTTAGGCCTATAAACAACTCCACCTTCAGATTGTAGTCTTTAGCGAGAATTTTCTGCTCTGCGAAGAATTATCAATCACTTTGAATTCAAATTCAAAGCTTAGCAAAAATCCCTCGACAAACGATTTTTCCAGATAAATGATGAATAGGGTGCATTAGAATGCAGTTTTCTTTGATTGCAAGGGCAAATTTCTTATTCTTCGGCAATTTTACGCTGTCCCTGCCGGAATGAATAGAAAATCAGAGAGAGTCTAACTGCTTAAAGGAAGTTTTCTTCTGACAAAAGATTTCTCAGCAACGAGAAAACGAATGCAATTTCAACACTGTAGATGAGAACGAATGAGCTATTTTTAGCAAGAGTTAGCAAAGCAAACTTTCTTGGAAGTTTGTCTGTGATGAACGACGAATTCAGCTAGAACAAAATCGTAGATTTTGTTTGTAAATCATTTCTTTCGTATTTATCTTTATTGATGGGGGGTTAAGATTACAAAAATGCACGAAAAAAGAGATCAAAAATGATAAAACATGTCATTAGAACAATACCGCAACGATTACAATTTCATTTTCAATAAAATTCGAGAATCATGTGGTAAAAGCAAAATACAGATTAAGGAGCGAAAAAATGATAAATGGAAGTTGGCAACCCTCTAAAATACATACCAGTGCCTCTAAAGACAAATGGAAAAGGATCATAACGAGACGGCTATCAGTGGTTCGCTTTTTGCCGTATCTTTTTTCACTGAACGAAGTAGGCAGTTTAGAGCTGTGACACCCTGGATTTGTTGACGAATCTGTGGATTGTACTTATAGTAGACAAAAATTCGTATAGTTGACGATAGAACGAAAAGATTTGTGCCAAGATCACTGGCCGACACATAAAACACGTTGAAATTGCCATCTTCATCCTGAAATAATCATTATCAGTTGGAAAACAAAGAAGAATCAAGAGGACTGTTTCATTGTTGGTTTCCATATATCACTACCGTTTCCATTACCATTTTAAAGATTTGCAGTTTTTGTATAATTTTTGATGATATTCTGCTGGAGTCTCCATGTAGAATGAAAGAAAATAAATGGATTTTTCCAATCTAACTAGATTCATCTTCTACACTAACCTAATTAGAAGCCTCTAAAAATCTAATCAGACTCCAAGCATTCCTAAAAATACAGGGTGTCCCAAAAGTAAGTACACACTTTTCAATCGTTAATATCTCTGTTCCCATTGGTCTTTTTCCGCCATTCAAGTACCATTCCATAGAGGAGGCTTCAACTTAGATTTACAGTAAGGAGCGAATCACCGATCGCTTATCACTACGTAGGATTACGGTAAGAACTACCAGCATGTGGAAACACTGTGAAATATACCACTTAACAAAATCTTTTCTAGAAAATCTAAAAAATTGTGTACTAGGTTTTCGCGCACGCTGATTCCACCTAACAACTTTTTACGAGTGTTCTAAGCTTTTTTGACGGTGTGATTATTTCTGACAAATACTGGGAATTCTGTTATTACGGTTTACCTGAGATAACTTTGGAAAGAAGCAACGCAGTAAAGTGAATATTTCATATTCGAAATCAGCGGCTTCCATTACCATAGTATAAGAGTTTTTGGCTTGTTTGGTTTTGTTGCGAGGCAGAATATGGCTTGCAATGGCCTAAAATCGTTGTCGATGTTCCTACAGTAATCCTACAGTAATCAATCAAGAGCAATCGGTGATTCGCTTGATACTGTTTATCTAAGTTGAAGCCTCCTCTACAGAATGGTGCTTGAATGGCGGAAAAAGAGACAATGGGAAGAGGGATATTAACGATTGAAAAGTGTGTACTTACTTTTGGGACACCCTGTATACTGAAGGTTCCTGGTTCGACCTGTACAAGGTAGTAAAATCATGTAAAATCATATTTTACTCCAGGCAATAAAAGTTATGAGCCTGTTCTACTTTATCGAAGCGGCTGAAAGCGATTCCTACTTTAAAATGCTTACAAGGGAATGGTCAGAAGTCGAAGTGGCCAATCCATACAAGCTGCATACCAATCGATGCAGCATAGAATGCTGATTTCAAATGTGTCTTCCGTATCTGCAGAGCGCCTTTGTGGGCGAAGTTATGAGCAGCTTTACTGCGTCCACAAAAACTGCGAAATTAGGCAGATCACTGCTCTTTTAGCTCACCTTTAGGTACGAGCCATATGAACTGACCTAGTTACACGTTTTGGTCCAACACTGAGCCGAGAATGGCTTTGTATGGCCAAGTTTGACCTTTACACGCACAATTTCTTAGCAAAATGATGACATTCAACGGCTTATAACTTCGCCTACAAAGGCGCTCTGCAGATAAGGAAGACGGATCTGAAATCAGCATTCTATGCTGCATCGAATGGTATGCAGCTTGCTTGAATTGGCCACTTCGATTTCTGACCATTCCCTCGTTAGGAGATCCCAGAAATTTCTTACATTAATATTAGATTCTCTCCAGCACTATTCTCTCAGTAACTGATATTTCATAATTTAGGAACACAAAGAAATGGATTTAAGTTCTTGGATTACAGTATAAGAGGCTTTTGTTGACTTTGAGCTGTGCCTAGACTTATATCAAGCAAATATGGATAACTGAGGTTCTGACCATTCCAAACAGAGATCACAATCACAAAGGTGTTCGAGAAAAGAAATAATAGAATAGAAAAGAAATAGAATAGAAAAGTTAGATCTTCAACCTATTTTCTCCATTCGAATAAAACCTTCTGAAAATTGACCTAAATTCAAGCAATTCAAAACTTTCAAATTTGAGGTGTTATTTTTACATAATTGCATCAAATAGCTCTAAAAAGTGACTTAAAAACAATTCATATACCGAATTGACCGAATTTTTGATTACTTGATAATATTTCGAACCATCGAGTTGAATTTCGACACTAATTCATCCCTTTTCACTTATTCTTACGCTAGAATTGAATATCCTTGAACTTTACTACAGCTGACATGCTTCTTAATCAAAAGGATACCCTACGTATGTGCAGAGTTCAATAGTAAGTACATCGTAATTTTTTGACTTCTAACAAATCCTAAACTCTGAGTTATATATTTTGGGATGCATCAGAGAAGAGCTCGCTCAATCCAGTGTGACATGTTTAATATAAAAAAAGTAAATAAAGTTTATTTTATTTAGCTTTTCTATCCGCAGATAATTCTAAACATATTTTTTCTGATATTTATGTATGCAAACTGCAACATAAGGCATTTCGAAGGACAGCAAAAAACGACCTTGTAAGATTTAGCTCTAATTTGCTGCTTCGGAAAAAATCTGCAAACAGATGGTGGAAAATGACGATTACGATTCTCTTCTTCCCTACAAGACCCATTTGAAGTAGCTCAGAAACCTTCTGGAGTTTGACTTCGTCTAAGACCACTGAATAGATAAGCTCACTTCAGGCAGACTTAGCATTTGATAAATGAACTTCTGCTTTCTTAAGAAGCGCAGGTTTGCGCGGGTGTGCTTCGCAGATTTTTCAAAAGTCACGGAATATTTCACAGAAATTTTCGTGTATTTCTCACCTGTGTAAGGCTGGAGTTGAACATTTCTATGCAGTATAAGACGAAATTCACACTATTACATGCCAGATAGGAGGATATAATGACGATTGTTGTCTTCACTGCACATCGTAGCCGTTTGTGTTCACGACGTTCTTCTTCTTCAGCAGCGTTGCGTTTTGTCTGGAGGCAAAATAAATAATAATAAATAATCAATAAATAATAAATAGACATTGAATTCAATTTTTAGCAAAGATTGTGCGAGCAAAACTGTTGAAAAAAATGTAGATTTTTGATGAATCATTTTTCGCCTGTTACCGAAAGTAGACTTTGATTTCTGGCTCTCAAGAGTGAAAATATAATTTATCAAAAAGTAGCAGTTCTTTACAATCATTGCTACAATGGATTTTTGATATTCTAACTTACAAGAAAGCGGTGCAAGAAAAATCCGAGTCTTTTCAACAGACAAATTACGGAGTTTTTTTTCAAAAATTCTGAGAATGATGCGTATCCCTTTAGAATCTTTTGTACTCATCACTTCTTACTTTACTGTAAAATTACTGAGCTCTTAACATCGCTTGTAACTTAATCAATCGAAAACTTTATTCCAAGGTGCCTTCCCTCTTGTTTGTCTCCAAATGCTCAAATTAAATTACGCATCACGGAAGTTTGAGGCAATCCATAGGCCTCGACATCACAATTCAAATTGCTTATTGTCTTCTCCAGACATAATATTCCTAAGCCCTTTGAAGCGGATTAGAAGAAATGTTGATCCCTGATTCTTAGGTTAATTACGAGTTTCTAGAATGCCATTACAAAATTGCTAAAGCCTTGATAAATCAAATGATAAAAAATCAAAAAAATACAGTATGCAATCCGAAGTTGCTTGAAGTATCCCTCCATCAAAGTTCAACAGCTTTCTGCCCCCACACAAGATACAAGAAGCAAACTGCTCACTAGCTTATTCTGACTGGCGTTTTTCTTGAAGTTTCGAGCTTCATTAAGAATTCAAAGGAGCTTCGTTAGAATAATTCAAAAGAATCGTTGGAGACAAAAATCGTTGCACATCTCGTATTACAGAGCTTATCTTTTTCTCTTCTGACTTCGAAAAACACATTGGCAATGATGTGAGAAAACTTTGCAGCGGCTTTAATGATAATTGCTCTCGCTTACTGTATGAAAAATATAATTACATAATTTTTGCTTGGATTTTGTTTCAAGTAAAATACTGCACTACTACACATTCGTAAGAATTACGATGTTTTCGAGAGAAGAAAAAACTCTTGAAATAATTCGATTTTCACGTGTGTAACTCTTCTGGTTCTGAAGTATCGTACCAGGAAGTTTTTCTCAACGATGTAAAGGCAAGTGAGCTATACTTGCCCCTAAATCTTGAACATAGTGCAATTACACAATAAGTTCCAAAGCTGAAACTAAAATAAGAAACTACAAATCCCATTTTGTGTGATGACTAGGTGGACCTGTTCTCCCAAAACAATCAGGATAAATTGAAATATATGATTTGTGGTGCATTTGCACTAAATGGCATAAACATGACGGCAAGACATATACGAAGGTTTGACAATTTTTTTCGGAGTGAGTCGTACTGTTATCTATGATTACATAAGATACAATTGACCTTCTGAGGATCTTATCGCATTCATTGTTCCTATCAACGAGTAAAAATCCATTTCAAACTTATCTCCTTCTTTTTTTATAACAAGCAAGGAAAAAAGAGTTAAGCGCTCAAAAATTTTACCGATTGCAAAATGGATGGGCACGATGATTGTCGTCTTGCTCTTCTGTGTGAACTTCGTAATTTTTGCAATACAACACAATTAAGCACACTTAGAATGACGAATGAGACGAAGAGATGGAGAAACTGTAAGAGAAAAGGATGTTCTTATTACTGTTGGAAAACGTATGTTTCAGTACCTGTATGAAAACGTCGCTGGTCCTGTAGAGATTCATGATGTACGGATCTCTTTCCTTTCCAGACAATGTGAGACTTTCAAACAGGTCACAATTTTCGATTCGAACCACTTGGATGAAGAAATAGCCAGGAAATCGAAGAAATACCGCAGTTGTGGCTATCATCAATACTACAGCTTGAGTCATGCGATTGCTAAAAATTTTTATGAAAAAAGGATCGTGCCAAAAATGAAATTTAGTAACTCTTACCTTGTGTGACGATTTTTTCCCGTAATTGAGGCTAATCTATAGGCTGTATTAGCGATCAAAATATAAGGAATACATAATTGAACAATTCTGCTCGCTATAAGCATATGAACATTGTACATCTTCACTGTTGTGTATATCCATTCTAAAATAAAATCAATACCGTAATTTTACTTTGTTTGAATCGGCAATTTATCAACTTACTTATCCTGAATGTTATTGAAAGTGTGAGCGCACCGAAACAAGTGATGAATAAAAAACATAACATAAAATCGAGAAAGGCAAGAAATGTCTGGAAAGGATTGCTGGCTCCTTTGAAAAGGAATACGAACAGCAATAGTAGATTGCAAGCACATCCCACCACTGATATCACACTTCCAAAGCTGAAATAAACAGTAATTATTGATAAAAGTAAGTATTCATGCGCTGAACTGTAGCACTGTCTGTTCTTTAGTTTGGAAAAAAATTGCAAAAAATGACTGTTTTCCGTTTTCCTCGCCATATTCATTTTCCGAAGTTTTGAGTTTAGCTAGTACTGGGTTAGTTTGTGTTTCATTTTCTTCGGTGCACTTCAAGTGATTTAGAGCAACTATAAAATAAAGCAAAATAAAGAGATGCAGGAAATGTAAGTATCTTCTGCCCTAATTCTATAGGTACCAAACGTGATCAGTTTACCTTGTTTGTTTTTCGAGATTTTCGCAAGACTTGTCAACATTTTGAGTGAATGCATACTAAATGGCTAGATCTAGTGTATACGACAATCTGGTCTCAATTTCGTTGCCAACAATTTTAAATACAAATGCTGCAAAATCTAGCTTTACACGAACTTTTCATCCGCTTGGCGGTGATAATTTCAGCTAAATGGCACAACAAATTTTCTATTGACTAAACGAAATTTATAGCTTGAGTTTCCCATGTTTTGATGTCAAGATCTGAACGGCATTTCAAAAACTTCTTCCTATGAAAGTATACTCAAGAAGAATTGTAGCTCATTAATCAGAAGAAATTCGTTTGAGTAACTGTTTTAGTAACTAAAAAGTAACATCTACAACAATTTTTCAATATAGAAGCTACAAAATCTCAATCTACTTTCCTTTCATCTGCTTGGCAGTGATAAATTCAGCTAAATTGCTCAACAAGTTTTCTGTTACTTGAACGAAATTTATAGCTTGAGTTTTCCTTCTTTTGATGTCAAGATCTTAACGACATTCCAAAAACTTCTTTCTAATTAGAAGTACTTAACAAGAATTGTAGCTCATTCATCAAAGCAATGTTTTTAGTGACTTTTTCATGATTAGCACACAACTATCAATTAACAAAATCAAAAACACTTCATATCTTTTCTCTCTGTAATCTTATATCTCCATTTCCAGTATAATCCTTTGATTTTTCGACATCTTCCCACTCATCAAAGTCTCATCATATCCATTGAGATGATATCATATCCCCTCCAAACTAAAATGTTTTGCTGGCATGCTCGCATTAATCTTGAAAATAGCTAATCCCCGCGCGCTAAATGCAAACGGAAACGATTGATGAGGAATGCTGTTTGCGTAACATTCGCGTATTATTCTTTTATTGCATAATAAATGTGGTTCAATCCGTTTACTTGACAGGAAAATTACCATCACCAATAATATATTACATATGCAAATGGCATTTTGAACATTACTAAAGCAAAAGGCGCTTCAAGAGCAGAAACTGACATTGGAGCACTCGATTCTTGCTCATTATGCTCCGATATGTCGTTTTATGACAAGATAAGAAATGAACTATGTGATGGTTCTTGTAGGCAATAAATCATTCGTCTGATGTTGGATTTGAAGGAAAATCTCCATCCAATCTCCAATAAGGTTTAAAACACTATCAAAATCTCGAAAAGAAGATTAAAAACCTCTGGAAGAGGAAACACCGTGACTACATGTACTTTCAAGTCATTGATAAGATTTTCCATCAAAACCTATTATTAAACTACTAAACTACTATTTTCCCAAATCATCTCATTTTTCCACGCTACCTTATATAGATCGTACTCAAACCACGATGACGGTGAAATGAGATAAAATTGACTATGAAATTAAAACTAAAAAAGAATTGGAGCTTCTGTTTGAACTTCATCAGCATTTTTCCAATTTTCTCATTTCCGGTGTGGCGGAGCAATTTTGAGTGAATGTCCGTTATAGGTCATTTATAGTTTTTGTCTTAAGCTTTTAGACATATGAAGTAATCTCTAACTTGGTTTTTATGAAAATATATATATATCTTGAAGCTTCGACATAGAGATTACGGCTTTTGATACGCAAGAAGTACTTTAACGAAACCGAGTCTAGTTATCTACCAATAAACTTGCGTCATTTTTCATTAGCAATATTGGAATTTTATGGCAAAATTTACATATCTTCTTTTGGAGAAGTTTCAAACAAAAAATGCGACTATATTTTCCATAATGATTTACTCGCTGATTGTTCAATAGGTCACATATACCGTATCTTGCCATTTTTTTCCTTCTGTGCAAATGCACACAATCAGTACGACCAAAGTCATTATTTGAAATTCTGTAATAGTGAAATAAGCTTCTCCAATGTTTTCAAGAGTCAAGATCGGGAAATGTAGGCTGTCATAGGCATACGTGCTTGGATGAGCCTGCTAATAGGATGGATGTGGAGAATTTTATGCAATGAACGACGAGGAATTTGCATATAATGTCGAAAACATACGCCATTACTACAACAAGTTCCATGAAAATTGGAATAAATTCGTCTGTTAACGATTTGGTGTAATGTTTGGAGATAAGTAGCAAAATTCAGTGAAAAAAAGGAATGTGAATATATTAAATGATGCATAATTCTAACACCAAAATTTTTGGAATCCTTTTGCTTTGTTCAGTTTCAATAAAAACTTCTTATTTGACAGGTGTTGGAGAGAGAAAATCTTTCGCTTTCAGAATGTTTCTTAATCATAATTTCTTGAGGGCATATGGCAAAGATATAAGCACTAAGAATACCCAAAAAAGGATTTTTGATGTTTGATTGCTAAAATTGCTAAAATGTCTCGTAAAAAACGAATATATATATATATATATTTGTCCTTGGCTTTATGACCTACTCTTCCTAACTAAGTGAAGCTGTTAGTGATTGGATGTCTCTGGGAATAGTTATGTTTTCAATTTATTAAAATTAATTTGATTATTTGTTTGATGGTGGTTTTCTAAAATGCACTATAAAATACTACTCTTGATATATGCAACAGAGAGCGGTTGCGTAAACTGATTAGCTTGTTTAAGCATTTTTAAAGTCATTTATTCCTAATTTTTGGTGCAAGAATTGTGCATCAACCTAATAAATGTTTGCAAAAAAGTCCTAAATTTCTGTGGAATGGAAAAATGTGAGGTTTGAGAATAAGACAATGGCGAATGTCTGCCTTAGTGGCTCCAAAATGAGGCCCAGGCTAGTATCCATCCAAAGTGCACACGCTACATCACTAGAAGACTTATGAGGTTCATTTAGTACGTGATTAATTTTCGACCTCATTTCTGTGTTTCCGCTCGATTTTCGGATATATAGCGATAAATACATTAGCATTATTTATCTGATGAATTCAATGTGCAAAAGCGGAACAAATGGATTTTCCACGTTTTTCGCTCGAAGAAAAGAAGTACTATTACCACAATAAAACATGTTAAAAGCAGTATGAGGCCTAGCTATACGATGTAATTCACAGACAAGTCTGCTCTGAAGAGAAATGCACTGACTGGATCGAATTCAATGAATACAGAGAGGGAGAGAGCCGGCACAAGATGGGTACTTAAGTTTTGGAGATGCTGGCGATTGACAAACATCTATATAGTCTCTAGGATAAAACAGAGCATATTTGAAAATGTTGAGAGCTAAGAGAAGAGGAAAAAATTTTACATAAATGATGTTATACAGCGCTTGAAAATAGAGACCAAATTTTTGATACTGAATGCGTTTTTATACCATTGTACAGGACTTTTTATTCCCTTAACAACGAAATGCAAATTTTTTCCGGTACGCACCGAAACGATTCTCAATTGAATTTATGGCTTCTGCAGCGGAGTTGATGAAGACATCTACAAAAACCGCAAAGTAGCAAAATTTATAGCCTAACTTAGCTTTAATTTGTCTTGGGAAAATGTGAGATATATCGTATATCTTCTGACATATTGAACTTGTCAAACCCTTCGAAAAAATGGAAATGACGATATCCACCTCGGCTTGTTGGTAAATTTATTATTCTGCTTCGCAGCATTCTTGACAGTTCCTAATTTGGTAAAAAAAAAGAGGCGCTGGTTCGATTCTGGTTCATCTTCAACAATTTGGAAACTCTACTGACCCTTTTATATGAGTTGATGAACTAGCTCACTGTAATATTATTAGGTTATTTTTATGAGAAATCAGTGACCAAATTTGAGCGAAATCGAAACAAAACAAATATTTGCATTCATCGCAGTGAAAACAACAAGAATGCTAGCCGAACCTGATGAAAGCGAGGCGAAGATTTGGATGTGTATCGACATCGCATGGGCCATCTGTGATATTAGGCATATCCAACAGGGTAGATTCATCCATGGCGGGGAATTTCTGAGCAAAAGGGTGATGATACAAATTATTCAATGGTGTATTTGCAGAAGGTACGCAGAAATATGTGGAAAACGATTTTTGTTAGGAATTTATAAATTGAAAAAGGCTGAACGACGGAGGATGTGAAAAGACAGAGTCGATGAAATTCAGAATCGTGCTATGAGGCAAAATCCAAGCGAAAACTGAAAACGAAAGTCATTGTGCTACAAGAAAGCTCGATTTCAACCTTGTCTAGTTCTAAAACATGAATTTTTCAAGTAGAAAGTCCGACGAGTCATTAAGAATAGATAGCGCACTCAAAGTGAAACTGAGCTAACAGCACTTTGGATTACATCTTCGGATAGCTATGTACGTACTTCTGAGATCGCACTTACAAACACAGACACGAAACCAAAGCAGTAAAACATATCACCTTTCATAGAATCGAAAATCTATTCATGTGTACACAAGAGTAGAAAAAAAGTAGACTAATTGCAACCATCAAATATCGTCAGCGGCAGCTGTCCTCATAGTTCTTTTCTCGTTTTGGGGTAAAGCTAAAGGAACAGCCCACACATACGAGGAATGGCTTTCAAAAAATGTAAGAGCATGACACTTTGAATTCGTAATTTCAGACCGGCTGCTTGATTAGATCCGCCTTCTTTCATGCGTAGTGTGAATTTGACTCACTTCCTGTTGATGCTTGGAATTTTTTTTTTCAAGGGGTTTGTTGTCTTCCAAGAAACATGAAATCGTATTTTATTTCCTTTTCCGGTTCTATGGAGATAGAAACATAAAATTTTTGTAGCTTCAGCAGTATGAAAGGAAAATCCAAAAAAGTTTTGAACTTGTAAAAGATTTTTCAAGCCTTGCCACTACGATTAAAAGAAGATATAAAAAATCGTAGCTTCAAGAAGTTTGTCACAAATGGGGTTTTCAATAACAACATTGGGACTAGGATATCTCCACTGTACCATAAAAAAATCCTACGTTTATAAATCAAAGTTTTTACCTGGAGATTTTACTTAATTTGTGACTGCTTATAGATTGTATGAAAAACAGGGATTACGGTAGGATCACTTAAAAATCATATTCCAACAAAAATTCGAATATTACTGAAACCTATGTACTATTATAGCCATTTTCAATTACTTTCTAGATTTACTGCTACAAAAAGTTTGTAAAACAACAATTTAATCAGATGAAAACATTGTATTACTAATACTAAGAGATTTCTTTCAGTGAATTCAAACAAGGCAGCGCAGAAGGCGCTAGTGGGAGGGCCCCTTTGCAAACCCGAGGGGCGGAGCGGTTTTCAAGGATAAAGCAAAAAGGCCTGGGATTAAAGGAGTTAGGGGTGTTCGCCGCCAGCCCCCCACTTGATCATCTTCGTTTCAGTCGTCAACATTTTGAGCTTCCGTGGGGATCGGAAGTACGAAAGAAAACTCATAAAACCGCTAATGCTTGGACATAAGATGAATGGACTAGGTAACTCGGTGGCTCAGCGCAAGTTTTATTCTTGTAATAAAAATGAAAGAAGAGATTTTAGTGATCAACTTTGGCCGGATTGATTCCGAGTGAGTGCATTTCCAGAGCAAGTAATTAGGTTAAGGAATCCTGCGAATGTGTTGTGCTGTCGAGGTAGCATTCTGTCCAGAAAGCGACCATAGATTTATATTTGGAAAACAGACAACTTATCCAGCGAAGCGTTTGCTTTTTTTTCCAAATAACCGGCAAGTGTTCACATGTGACTTTTTACTATGCTTATTTGCCGTCGAGCAGAAGCACTTAGGACGTTAGTTCGAGCAATTGAGGTAAAGATTTGCAACATTCATTAGTCGCTACTTTCGCTGGAACGAAGAACAAGGATTGTTTCAAAGCACTGGAAAAAAACCAAATATCACTTGTACTGAAAAAATCGTTTTTAATCAAGTTTTATTCCTTAAGTAATGAATTCATAGTAGCAGCCTCAACTTGATAATTTATTATTGACTACCATGCCATAGTCAGTGGATTTGATAGGAATTTTCAATCTCTTTAAAACACAGATATCGATGTAGAAAAATTGAACTCAACATTTACCGTGCTATTTGTGAACTAGTCATTTTCTCTCTTCCTCATCCTTTTTATTTATTCAACACATCCGAAATACACCAACAATAAAAGAAAAACCTCGTTCATGAAATACCCACTGGCCACACTGCAGAAATTGAAGCGCAATAAATAAAAACATTTTGTACTCAAAAATTCTTGACTTGATGACAAGAAAAGAATATATTAGGTCGTAACATAAGTTTTGAGACACATCTTTCATTTTCTTTTGAAAAACTCTAGAATCTCGAAAAAGTCTAATATTTGGCACATATGAGCAGTGGACAAAGGAGTATCTATTGGCATCCTTTCTACCATTACGGAAATGGGTTACAGTAAATATAAAGGCAATTTTATGACGGCACTCATTGCCAGATCTCCATTTATTTTCTTTTGCCTTTAAGAATTCTGTCATTTTTATTTTTTATTCTCTCAGATTTTTGTTGGTTACCTAGGGACACTAGTACTAATATGAGTGAAGTTTGGAAGTCCATGCTGTTCAATGAAGCAAATTGCAAATTTGCCAAAATAATTCAGAAAAAATACAAAGAATTCAAAAATTGGATTTTAGACGTGTGGCAGATATAATCTGATAAGTTACAGCCCTCCACTCAATCTGGAGATGAGGAAAAATCTGTGGAGAAAGTTATGAAGGTTTTTTCCTTCAAAAGTAACAAAACTCGTGTTACAACCTAATAATTCGTGCTGCTTGGAGAATATATTTTTTGGTTTTTTTTTGTGAAATTATTGTCATCCTTCGAGCTTTCTTCTGCTTTACCCACTAAAACTCCTACCGTGACGTGAAATATTTAAGTATTTTGATCTACCAAAGATAAAGACGCTCATTTTAACAACTTGCACTCTTGGCACGAAACTTTCGTAGATCTTTATCCCAATGGTTTTAATGATATCATTCGCAAATTCTTCGAGGTGAACCATGTTGAGAGGTTTTAGTTAGCACATGCAGTGCTAATTCTATTTCGAGGGCAACGCAATAGCCAACGGAAGCTCTAATCGAAAAGGAAAGCGCTGAAAGTACCACTCAAAAGACGGGAACCTCAATAGTCACCTTCGATCCTTGTTCGCTTCCTCGTTGATTCACAACTGCACTCAACACTAATAGAGGCTGAATTGTTTTCTGTAGAGTAGCACAAACACATTATTAAAAGAATTTAAACAAAATTATGAAAAAAATAGTTATATTTGTGCACTAGTGATTTACAATGCCTTTGGGAACACATCGAGATGAGAAAATTCAGGGCCGGCACATCGAAGCTCAGTCGTATGATCGCAGATGCAGATTTTGGAAAAGAAATGCAAATACGCTAAACATCAGATATTTTTTCATAACGGTCAAAGTTAATAGAATATTTAATAGAATATCGGTCAAGACTGATAAAATTAGCAAGCGACTACTACTACTACTACGGTTCCAGTAGCTCACCTGGTCCCAAATGGATAAGTAGTGAATTTCACCTTCACAGAAACGTTTACGAACAACGATGACTGCAAACTTAGAGCATGAAGGTTGATAAGCAACTCAATTACAGCTAGAGTGCTGCGATTATTAGTGAGAGACTCTATGACACTCGCGATCGGGCTATGGCAAGTGTGCTTATTATAATAGAAAGGTGCAAATAATCTATACATAAGTCGCAAGTTACATACTGTATAAGGAATGATTTCAATTATAAAAAATGCTCAACGACGGATCTCCCGACCAACCCAGGCCGGCCCGATATTATGGCGAATTTATCATAAATTAAGTGAAAACTCATCAAATTTAGGGCAAACAAGGATTCTTTCAGCTCACTTCACGCATCATCAACATCTATATCCGTTGCAATGATTGAGTCATGAAGAGCTGTGTACAATTGTGCAAAGATGATTTGAATGTTTTGATTATGAACTGATAATTATGCGACAAAGAGGATAACAAATAACTTATTATATATTATGCGCTAAACAGAAGCGTGAAGTGAACTGAAAAACTATGAAATCACGTGAAATTGGGTATAAGTTATTGCCAAGTGTTATATTCACCGGGATAACTCAGTGAAGTGCTGGAATGACTACAGAATGAAGATATAATAAACAATAAGCACATACAAACAACACACAGAAGCGATTCTTGGACCAATTCATATATGACGACGTCGTTCAGCACCTTGTCTCGTAGAGACCGCTACGTCCAATGTAGCGTACCCATTTAATTACGTCATGATCCGAATAATTCAATTTCGGTTCGAATACTTTCAGATAACGGACTTTCAGACCCGAAGGGGCAAACGGTACCTGCAAAATCGAGCATGACAAGACGAAGCTGAAGGTAGCGACTAGGCAAATCTGATTTTTTAGGTTCTTGTGGACCTGACTGGTCTTAAGCAAGCCTTTCAACAAGCAGCTCATAGGAATGACTCTGGCTAAGAGAACAAACTCTAAACTCTCGCCCAGACCGTACCACACTACTCGAGACCGCTGATTGGTCTTTTTGGAGGAAATCCGGGTAGGGCCGGAGTTCAGGGTTGAATTTCTCGATCGCGAACGGTTCATATGAGCTCACGCTTGGGCAACTGCTTAGCTAAACCTTCTCAATCAGAGCCCAGATCAGAAGTCGAAATACCCAGATTTGCCTAAACAGCAATTCACAAGCAAACCCTACCTCAAAGTTCATGCTGACAGGAGGGCGATTCCATTTTTTCTTCTCAGAACCTGTGGACAATAAATCAATCTCGGCTGAAATCTGGCTCTCCTTCATGCCACCCATTCGCTTGATCCTAAAAAAACATGTGCAAAATTACACGAACTGAAGTGTACTTCGACTCGCACTTACTTCCAAACAATGGCATTCTCTCCAGCCTTATACTTTGCTTTTCCTTTCATGCAGATGAGCTGAACACCAGACGTATTTGGAGGTGTAGGAATGCGAACTTCAATCTTTTGTGCCAACAACGATGGTTTGAAATTTGATTTTACCACAACCTAGAACCAGACACTGATTCGGGTGTAAGGTATGAGCAGCAACAAAACTTACCTTTACTTCCATCTTGTTCCTTGATACTTCCCTAACTAGTGGTATAACACGAAATGGTAGCTGGATATCTTTCGTGGTTCGATACCTGTAAAGTAGCAAAAGTGCGGAAACTATTTTAGTTTCCCCATAAACTAAGAAAGAATCAAGGAATCGAAGAAAAAAGCAATTACGACGTAGCAAAAACGAGTTAAAATCAGAAGAATGCTTGTTGCTGAGATAATCAGCACGAATTTCTACGAAAATTGAAGACGGTCTTGGTGAACTGAGGATTATGATATGGAAGACGTTTTTAATCAGATATTTGCTTGAAATTAAATCCTCTGAGTTTTTAGATATTCAGTATAGACTCAGGCAAGTTGCTTAATATGCGAACTTCATCTCACGATGTGGCCAAGGCATTCGGGGATTTGATACAGTAGTTTAGATAAAAATCATTGGGCTCTTTAAGGGGACTGACAGTGCCTAGCAACTTTTACTTAAAAATTCTCATGTGAAAAATTACCCTGCCATCTTTCAAAAAAAAAAGATCGGCATTGCAAAATCACGGATAGCGTTATTAAATTATGGTAATGATACTTGGAACCGTTTTTAGATAGATTTTAGAATCCATCTGGCTTACCCCTCTCCCCCCCCCCCTTCCCCCATCTCTCCTGTTGAATCGTAAATGTTTGAAATTGGTCTACCCGGGGTTATGAGAAGGCGTAAATTGTTTTTTTTTCAAATGACAGACATAATATCACATAGTTTTCTGTAGGAATCAAATCAGTTTCTCAAAACCAAAGCTCTTCTTTAAACATTCAAGGGCCACAAGCTGGCAAGAAATTTAGGCTCTCAGAAATGTTGGGATAACGTGTGAATCCTGATCAAACTGATAAATGCACAGGTCATTTTAAGATAGATTCAGACAAAACCTTAAATCCTCCTTGCTGTTCAGATTTAATAAACGTATATACTGGTCAAGAAGATGACATCATATGACATCATATTGCATTTCCTACCATCCTCAAAGAATCTTTGCTATTCCAGGTCAGAAAACGGTATTGCGTGCTTGCATATCGCTTAAAACAACGCTGACCGATGATTTGTATACGTTGATCAAACAACTTGACAACATAATTACCAGAGTCAAGTTGTTTGGTTTTTCAAAGTTCTGCAAGCACTACGCGCGCCTTTGTCGCGTGCATGGCATTCCGAGCGTAGGATGTGAAAAGCTCCTTGTCCATTCCTAAGCTGGTTCATTGTACTACGAGTAAGAGCACTCGTCCGGTTTTCGACAGCTCTGGGGGATGTGAAAATTTGCAAAAATTCTGAGTTGCATAAACAACCATGAATGGTTCTCTATGTAAATTTACAGAGGGGTTGCTGAAGAAAATAATCCTTCTTTAGTTTAAAGTAGATTTGGTACGAAAAGTCGCGCAATTATAACTAAGGAAATAAATATGTCTGTAATCTGAAAATAGCATTACTTTTGCGCAAAACGGCGCTTCATCAATATTGAAAGGAGACATTGGACAGTTCCAAAATATAATGTCGCAGTCTTTTTTCAATCTCCAGAAACAAGGTGAATTACTCAACATCAAGCCCGAGAACCAAAGAAAAAAATGAAACAGTTACGCAGTCAAGTACTAAAATAGAGAGAGACCTTATTAAGATAATGCACACATAAGAGTGACATCTGATTCGTTAGGTGAGAATCTGAATGATATTTGATTTCACAGCGAGAACGGACATCCTCACTATCATTTTATTCCCGTCAAACGGAAACAAAAATCAAATTACCTCATCAGTTCGTATTCTCCATCCGGCGGAATAAATGAAATAGCATGTTCTGTGTCAAACTTCGTCAGTTTTACACATTGATGGAATTGACAATCATCTATAGCCACAGAAGCTCGAGCCCTAAATTCGTACAGATAACGATGAACTGCAAGGAAAATGGAACATTGCAAAAAACGTTTCAACTATCTATGCTCAAGATCTTACACAACGTTTTACACCTCTATAGAATTACCAGAACTTACGCTTTATTTGGATCATCACTAGCGCCCTTTCCTTTACCGTCGATGGTGATCTTGTCATTTATACCAAATTTACACTCCGGCATTCCACTCAGATAAGATTTCATCGCAACTTTCCCAGCAACATGAGCAGAAAGAACTTGACCTGAAAATAGAACATTTTCGTAAAATTCATTGCTTCCTGCTGCATTCATCGTATTCATACAGTTTCGCTTTTAAATAACCTACTAACTTCTTCAATGTCAAGCCTAAAACAGGGTCATGTAGCAGGAAATTGAAAGCGCGAAATTAGGCAAAACCATTCCTACCCTACCTAGCATAACAAGCTAATGTGAAACCATGGTGCAAAAAGGTTTACTTAGCAAATTAGATTCTCTTTTCGGACAGTTCATATAGGAAATTGGTATGCATTGTTGAGATTCGGAGGAGGGGAAAGGGGGCAGCCCTATTCATGCAGGTGAAACTAACAATGCAGTAGCTAATATTGAGCTAGGGACTTTCAAATGAACAAATAAAAATGCGGCCCATTTGTGGGGAATATCATACTTTGTTACTGTATAAGTACAGGTACGATATGTTATGCGAGCTTTTTACATTACTGCTATATTAATTTTTTATATAGTCGTCTGGACTGGGCTTGGGATGATGTGGTGATTTTTTTGTTACTGTTGTGTTTCATGTATGACTAACACTTTGACGTTTTTAATTTGGAACGCTTCGAGCGTATGAATGAAATGAAAATGTATATTAAATTGCAACACACATATCTTGTCCTATCTACTTCCAGTCTTACCTACGAAAATTGAAATTTGAAATCTCTAATTTTTTATGATGGTAGACATATAAACAAAATTTTGAAAGTCTGATAAACTTCTTGATATCCTTAGGACATCTGCCGCAGACTATAACTATAACGAAGATCACCGTATCCTAAGTATCGCCACCCCGTCCTATCAACTCCAGCTGATAGTGTGCAAATATGCGTGACACAGATTAAATCCGGTTAATGATATCACTAAACAACGCACGTCAAGCGGTCATCAAGTGGACCACATGTAGATGCCTATTCACCTCAACAATGTCAAAAGTGTAGTGTTATGTATTGATGACTACTCGACTGATCAAGTCATCTTCAAAATTTCTTAGGAGTGCAATAAACAACAAAGTAGGTATGGTGTGATTGTCGTATGGTGTTAATCTAGGTCTGGATAATTCCCTTAAAAGGCTCATAGTTTTTTATGCTTGATTCCGACCTATTTCTCAGTCTGGTAATCGACTGATCAATTCAGAATTACCTAGTGCATCGAACCAAAAAATTTGATTTCAAACATAACAATCCGTAAAGACAATTATTGGCATCTCAAAAAAAAATATTGCCCAACGGCTGTGCGCAGATTTCTGCAGACAGATGCAGCATAACCGAGTTTCTAGAACGGTGAAATTTCTCTTTTTCAAGATTCATTTCAATTTATTTCCCTCAACGCAAGCAACACTTTTCCCCTGTGAATTTTTCATAAAATGGAGAAATGTGTAACCCCCGTTCCTGAAAAAAAAACGATGCTGGACTTCCAGCAAAGGCATCTGCAAACGGGAAAAGTAAAGATAATTATTTATAGCATTGCTAAGGTTTCATACAAAACATATTGTCACAAAGTCGGCATCGAATTTTTTATTTCATGCATCCCAGATGCGAGCAAAGTGGGCTCGTTCAATGCCTAATTTGGGCTTTTTGACGGTTATAAGTGCAACGTATTGCCACATAGCACATAGCTTTCTTTACTGGAATGAGCAATTTCTGCTCCTCAAAAATCATGTAAGTTGTAATATTCTTCAAGGCTCCTGTTGCAGCGTGATATCTGCAAACACAACTGAGAATGACAAAAAGAACTTGATGAACAAGAATGCTCTATAAGAAGCAATATCTTCTGGAATGCTTTTCTTGGTAACGGGATGAGAAAATTTTCATGTTTGAAGTCATCACAACTTTCGCAGAAACACTTTCCATGACCAAAGATGGAACAGACTTGTCCACAAAAACATCCAAATGCGGTTGACTATTTCCCAAACTATTTACTTATTTACTGTCATACTATTCGTGAACGTAGTGCTTCATTTATTAGCTGTATTAACTATTAGGTTGATGCATAAGTAATAACCGATTTTCCAAGCCTTTTTTCAGGGCAACTTTATTCCATCAACACTTCTACTTTAGGGTGCCTTCATACCGCGCCGGCAGCCGCTGCTGGCAGCCCGTAGCAGCCCGTAGCAGCCCGTAGCAGCCGCCAGCAGCCCGCAGCAGCCCGTAGCAGCCCGTAGCAGCCGCCAGCAGCCGCCAGCAGCCCGTAGCAGCCCGTAGCAGCCGCCAGCAGCCGCCAGCAGCCCGTAGCAGCCCGTAGCAGCCGCCAGCAGCCGCCAGCAGCCCGCAGCAGCCCGTAGCCGCCGCTGGCCGCTTTTGTTATAGAGGCGCAGAATCATTAGAAAACTACTTCAAGTGCTCCTGCCTATTCTTCTGTTGTTGCCAGTGGGTAGTTCGATCTCACGAATCATATTTGTGTCCATTTCACTACAATGTCGCCCATGGCCATCCCGTTTTGAACCATAGTTCGCAGAAGTTTCTTTCCGGTGTGATCCATTCTGACTTCGAATGCGTCCAGTTCCTGCAGGTGTGCAATTTGTTTATTTTTTGAGTATGCTTTTGCTTCAATGTTCTTCTTGGCTATCGGTGCATATCTGCATTGCATTCTACTATTTCGCAATTTCGCCGAATTGATTCGCGGGTGGGTTCTCTCAATTTTGACAATGACTCACATTCGTTTTACATTGACAATGACTCACATTCGCTCAGAGTAGTAAGATTCTGATGATTCTGATGATTTTGCGTCTCTTTAACAAAAGCGGCCAGCGGCTGCTGGCGGCTGCTGGCGGCTGCTACGGGCTGCTGGCGGCTGCTGGCGGCTGCTACGGGCTGCTACGGGCTGCTGGCGGCTGCTACGGGCTGCTGGCGGCTGCTGGCGGCTGCTACGGGCTGCTACGGGCTGCTGGCGGCAGCTACGGGCTGTTAGCGGCGGCTGCCGGCGCGGTATGAAGGCACCCTTACAATAGATGTAGTATACCATCGTGAAGCTGTTTTCATGCTCTATCTAATGGTGCTTGAATCGTGCTCTCATCCTCATCTGTTATAAAGTTTCTAAGCTTCAAATAACCGCATCCAAATTCAGAATTTCAATGCATTCACTTTTCCGGCCAGAATTCTTCGCGTATTAATGGGATTTCTTCGAAAATTTAGCTGTTGTATGTAATTGAAATTGTCTACATTATGCATACTTAATTGTGTTCTTTGAAGTTATCCAGACTGAGATATCGGCGCCTAAACATGGGTAGCTGTTGCGGTCATTTTATGACCCATAATTTTCTTCTGAGGAAGTCAGTCGCCGAAGCTTTGCTCAATTCTGTAAGCGTAGGGCTAGGACATTTATTAGCAGTTTTAAAAACATCCAGAAAATCCTATATTCCGGATTTTGAGGCACACTGAAAAAATGCTGAAAAAACTTCGAAATAATTTCAATTTTTTTCTTTCTCGCAAACTTTTTTGTCCGAATTCTTTTGAATGTTTTTGTACTACTGGCTAGCGGCTACAAGATAGGCCACTTATCATTCATACTAAGAAACTTTGAAGGAAGTTATGAATTGTCAAAAACAAGGTTCTAGCAGAAGAACCTTTTTTGTCTTTTAGTCCGCATTTCTCTTCCCGTTTATGGTTTGATTATAAATGAGTATGCGCTGTATTGCGAAACGTTTGCTGCTTCTGACGGTTTTTCATTCAGAAATGTGAATCTTTTAGAAAGTTATATAGCATCAAAGTGAGAATTCGCAAATCGGCCATTACTTTTGCATCAACCTAATATATTGTCCCCAAATAATTCAAATTTGAGCATAATCAGCTGCAATAAGCGCAAACATTACCAAATGTGAATACTTCATCGCTCCCCCCCCCATGATGTTAGTTTAGCTTTGCAAATCTTGTAAGAAGACAATATGATATACAAATGCAGCAGCTACCGCTTCAATTCTCTAGCGATTTTTCTGCCATATCATACAGTTCATTTCACATTATCCATTGTCTCAAACACCCAACGCACAATCGATGAGCGACCTCTAGAAGGACCGAACCCTCGGTTGTGCAGTATACTATCGATTTCGAGCAGTAAGCTCGGAAGGAAAAAGTCTTCCCACGCAAAATGAATTCAAAATGACGCAAAACGCACCTTGCTGGCTCATGAGAAGATTTACATATTCAATAACGTCTAGGAAGAGTTCGTTCCGCCGATATTTGATGCCTTCACGACGCCATCCTATTTGACCGGTCACTTGAGAAGTTATCTGTGACTGCTCTTCTTTTGTCTGAAACAAGAGCAGAATGAATGAAGAGTGTGCGCGTTAAAAACTGTGGTTTTGCCTTAAGGATGGATAAAACCCCTCAACAGAAAAAGGTAAGGGGATCAAAGAACTAGATAAAAACAAACACGAAATCACGCAGTTCCCCAAAGTCTGCACCATCAAATATGAGACATAGGCATTTCAAGATGAGAACCATTAAACTCAACACGACTTGACATTTTTACACATTACAACTTGTCTAATGATTTTGAGAGTAAAAAAGCAAACTCTGTCCATCATGACCACACTGTCGTTCGACTTTCGCAAACAGCATAAAGAAAAAAGTATAGTTTCTGAAGACCACACCCAGGGATTGAAAGAAATGTGATAATCAGGAGGCCCTTTATGGAATCAGGACTGCCAAAACATGACATGCTACACAGGCTTGAGATCTCTCACAACCTGAGAAAGATTCTATACAACACAACACCTAAACTCACCACAGGTGCGGTCGCATCCTGCAGAAACAGAATGAAACTTACAACATCTGACATTGCTTAGAAAAGTGGCAGAATTAGTACCTACCGCAGTACGAACTCCTTGCTGCGTTATGAATGTTTTGAGGACCCCGGGATCAGTGTTCTGAGGATATCCAAAATCCAAAATTTCTGCAATAACAAAATTTAGCCAAATTGAGAGGATGATGAAATAGCCAGAAAACGTACCATCTAACAGTTCATAAATTAGTACAAAGTTGTTTTTCACATTTTCTTCATTTAACTTTCCAAAATAGGATTGCATCGTATCCGCAAATCGGTTCAGGAACTGAAATAATCACCGCTCCAGTGAAAAATAATTTCAGGCAACGCCACTAGTCGACAATCTTGGATTCGACATCTTGAGTTGCTGAGCATCATGTGAAAACGAATCAGAACTATCTCACATTCGCAAATAATTCTAATTCTTAGGCTTTCACACAATTTTGATAACTTACGGAAGTGTTAGCCGTTACTAAAACTGGTCATGAAAAATGTCATTTTTGTCATTTTCATTCTAATGAGGACAACTTTTCAGCTATGCATGGTTTACCGAAAAACCAACAAATTTTGTACAAGATCTTACCTCAAACACCATGGCAGCATTAACATTTTGCCGAGTAACAGCGCATATCCAAACATTTCCCCTTTTCACATGAAAGAACGATGTACGTGCCATATTCGTCACCGGTGTACGAACCTGAGATTCATCACAGTTGATAGCATGTTACTTCAAAAAACGACTACTAGGCTCTGAGGCATAGAAAATAAAGTTAAAACGCTTTAAAATCTCAGCGATAGAACAGAAGAAAATGGTGGTTAAAAGATATGTACCTGAAATTACATCAATATACCGAGAAATCAACTTGAACAAATTTTACATTTACTGTATTCGATTGCCATTCTATGACAAGAGTCCGAAGACAAAAGCGCTCTGAATAAAGCCAATATGTTCGCGCACCTTACAACAGAATTTGGGGAGCTCGAAGAGCTGAACTATTCTAGTAAAGAGACTAAAAAGCTATAAATGCAGCTCATCTTGATTCAAAAAAAACATTAAAATGAAATATGATACTTCCTTAATGTTTGCAGAACAACGGCTTAGGGAAATACGGAAAAACAAACATTTTAGAAAATTACCTGCTGCCTAGCATGTATAACATTGACTCGAAAGGCATCAACAGCATTTCGTCTGAAATTTATCAAACATGGAAGAACCCACGACAGATACAACAGCGGTAACTTACGTGACATCATCTCTGTATATACGAGAGATCAATACCTCTCCTTTATGATTGTAGACGAAAAGGCCGCCAATCATGGCTGGCCCACCGCTCGCCTTAACCGAGATTGCTATGAATCACTTGTAATTACGGTATGATGGTACGACGTAGTGTGAAAAAAACAAGGAAAACATGTAATGAAGTATATTCTGCTAGCAAACTGATAACAGCAAGTAATGAGGAAGTTGAGACGAGCAAAATGGGATCAAATAGCAGGAATTACCACCACGAAATACTTTTGTAGGAGAAGAAAATCCAATCACAACTAAACAAGGCCAGTAGCACCGAAAATACAAAGAAAACAACTCCATCGAGACATCAAAAAAATCCGACTAATTTTTATAGTCACGGACACGCGTCATGACCATAAAATGAAGGCAGAGTCTAAGACTTCCAAATTTTCCATCAACAATCCGATAAACCGTGGTGCGCGTGAAAATCAGGGACAGATGAAACGCGACGCGTGCACTTCCCGCGACGCGTTTCACATGCTACAGCTGATGCTGTCACTCTCCTCACAATTCATTCATATTTCCGTGGTTTCGGGTTTCTCTTGTCGTATTTCTGCGTTTCCTAATGCCTTGAATTTAACTAATTAATTCTAGTCTTTTCTGCAGTCGTTTTTATACTCCTCACCTACTTCTATCCCATATTTTTTAGATGCCGTTAGTTCCCTCATGTTCCCAAATTTCCGCGCAACTACTCTCAATTTCTGTTTTTGTGTCCGAGTCTCTTCACCCTAACTATCTACCAACCGGTTCGTTACACAATGAGGTTCGTATGTTCGGCCCGTAAAAGCTTCAACCTTCGTATGATCGCCTGTACCAGTTTCGCACCCATTTGCATTGGCCAACGTGTGTCGCTTGGGCTGGCTGTGCTATCGATTTTTGTCAGTCACTGTGCACAAACGTTTGTGTTTGTTCTGCAATGTGCTTTTGATTGTTTGACGACATCATAGCTTTCTGTCGCTATTTCCATTTTTGGAGCTATCGTTTCAAATGGGCCGACTTCATCGCCCACAAACATAGGTTCGCGGCGTTAATTTTTTTTTTTGCCGAACGACTATCAGTTCCTTGTTAATTCCCATTTACTGGACGTCTTCAGGACCGGTTACCCATGGGCGCACTTCCTTATTTGGGGTATTTGACCGCTAGAGCGGGGGCGAAATATAGGTTTTTTTGCTAATCAACTTTTTGCTTACGTCGTGTGATGTGCGTACGCGCGAACGCTTCTGTTACTAATATTTCTACTTGCGCTGGTCATGGTCTTGCGTAAAGTTTTTTTTTTCGCTGGAAATATCTGATTATCAGTGCTTAACGCTCATCAACATCTATTCACCGTTTTTGCTGTATAAATAATCCACCATATGATACGTTTTTTTTCCCACCGGAACGTTCTTCGGTTCTTAGTGAGACACACACATCTCACATTAGTGGCGGCGTTCCACGAACCGTAAGTGGAAGAGTCCCGAAATCGATTGCTTTGCTTACACATTTGCTTTGGTCGGCGACAGCAGAGTGGAAGTCTTCGATCGTTCGCTTTTGACGACTGTGATTCGAGCGAAATCGTATACTATGGACTATACTTACAATATTTGTTCCTCGTCCAGCGGATGAAATGTATAAAACCAGGACAAATGTTGTTCAAGACAAGTTCAGCTCAAGTGCAGTTATACTCCTCATCCGATTGCACTTTCTTCTCCGACTCAAAAAAGAGACGAGCTGAACGTCATGCGTCACAAATCTCGTGTTTATATTACTTTACTTCATTTCTTAATTTTCTTCGGTTCGAACTATCATTCTTTTCAGTGAACCACTACATCTTCATCTTCTATCTCTTTCTGTTTTTTGTTCCTGTGTATGTCTGTTTACGATTATGATTCGCAGAACACTGCTAAAGAAAAAAGGTCTGACCATGCCATCTATTTCGTGTCTGTAAATCTTGCAAATTTATGCAAAGATGTACTTATCGCGATAAAATCGTCACGAGACATTATCTCATTTCGTCATGTGTTTACGTTCAATGTGTTGTATATTTGCATTAGGATTGTTTGGCAAACTAAATACGTGTCTTCCGTTTCTCTTTCAGAAAACACCTACTCGTTTGCTTCCTTCTAAACACCATATTGTGAAATTATAATTCTACGCTTTCTTGCTTTTGAACAATTTTATTCTGTGATCCTGTTTGAATCTGTTTCCTCATCTTACTAGGTAACTACACTGCCTAAATCGATGGATTAGAAACCGTTTTGTGTGTCCTGTGACACATAAATATAAGTGGTTTTTTGGAAACATTATGTATCAGGTCACAATGAAATCTGCGCTGAAAATTATGAAATTAAGAATTGAATGCATACGTTATTGAATGACTAGGAAACTTTTTGTTCGAGAGATGGATCCTTTGAGATATGTAGATGACTCACTGCACAGTTTGGTTTTTGCAATCCGATTCATTGCTGTGTCACAGAATATTTTTGAGTTACACTAAACGGTAAAGATATTTGCTTGAATCATGAATAGTCTGAGTTGAATTTAGTCTCAGTAGTCGTTGAACGTTTCAGGATACAGCTGTCGCTTGCCCAGTATATCTGGAAATCTTACAAAGGCACTTCGTCATAGAAATGTCAACATTCTTGTTCTCTATGCCACTTTTAACGTTTTCGTAGGAAGGTCTGGTTTGTAAACTTCATTTCCAATACAGCCTTATTTTCACACCCTTCAAGTTGTCTCTAGTTTTGCGTATCAAGCAGTCTTTTTTAGTGGTACTTCATGTAAAAATCCCTCTCAGTGTTATGATAGAATATTTTCTATCTTAGCCTTGTATAATGCCTTCCGTACAGAACCATATCTTTTCCATTCGGGATGAGTCAATTAGGCAAATTTTCTGAACGCTAACACGTGAAATATATTGTTACCGAACCGAGAACGTTACTTATTCGGCTATGCTCACACATGACTAGGTAACAAAGGTTTTTGTTAATTTGTGTGGGCTCTATTCTGCATGAATGGATAATGGTAACAAGTTATGCTTAGAATAAGCTGAGGATTTAAAACCGATCTATCGGGCCTGGCCGTCTGATTTCATTCCAGAAAAACCGCCTTTTTTCGACGAAATAGTGCAATCGATGTTCGTTTTATATAGTTTTTAGAAGAAGTACATGATGACGTACTCCGCACATTATTATTCTTTGGTCTTAATCATGTGTTGTCAATAGATGATGTTTTGAGGACAAAAACGCTCAACGTCTGAGACTGCCTTGGCTCTACATGTTACCATAACAACTTACCACATTGATTGCAATCATCTTTCAAACTTTTATCTGCATTAGTGGACTTCCTGGAAGGCCACAGTCCTTTTTAACATATTCCTACATGGTGTCCTTTCTCTGTAGATTAAGATTTGTACATACAAATTGAAAAATATATGTATATAAAATGAAATGGAATAGATTTCCCATTTGCCTCGCTTGCTGTTATTGAAATTTTTTTGAATGCCGGTCGCAGTTGAATCGGCAGGCATTTCAGCACACAACACCAAAAAGTATCCTTCATCTTCGCGTGCGGCGAAGTTACCCCAACCCTTTCTCAAAAATTTTTTTCTGTTGTTGCTGGGAGTTCACATCCACATCTCTTCTCATCATATCTCGTCTTCAGAGGATAAGTATTGCCATTCTTCTACAAGTACCTTTGTCCTTTCAGATGCTTTCGCTGCGCAAACTTATGAATAAGCCGCGGCCGGATGATTGGGCACCTCTCGCCAAGTTCTTTTATGCCGATGAAGCGCTAAATTGCATAGGTTGGCGTGACATTAAACTTTCATCGTCTGGCTTTTGTTCTAAATCCATTTTTCAGCGCTTGAATTGGATTCGTTCGATGGACGACGAGATCCCGAGAGGTGCAACGCTCTTGTAAATAAGCTCAGAATTTCTCAGGATAGGGTTCTTCATATCATAGGTATATTAAATGGCCTATGCCATGATAATTAACCATATGTGATTTTTTTAAGGTGAAATGCTAACTATTGTTTATCCACGTGAATCAGATCGAGCTTGCCGAGATTTTCGCGTGAAGTTTCCAGATGAAATTATACATGATAGCCTTCCTGGACAGTTATGGTTTGGAGCTGAGGTAAGATCGGTTCGGTTCCTTCATTTCACTATTACATGATGTGTCTACATTTCGAATATGCCATATGAAGCATGTTTTCTGTTGTTAAAAAAGCAAATATATCTTATCAGACGCTTTTCTTTTACTGAATCTTCTTGTGAGGATTGAGTCTAGGCATAAGTTTGTAAATTAGCGTTGATTTGAGTGCGATCTGAGGTCGAAAAAACATGTTTTACGTTGTATCTCTTTGACTTTAGATGAGATCTGAGTGTTGACGTCAGTGTGAAATTTTCTTTAGTGTCTTGCTGCTGGATCGAGCATAATCGACCATGAATCTGAATCTGATGCTATCCGGCCACTTGCCAAAGAACTCACTCGTCATCTTGACTCACTTCGTGACCTTCTTAAGGTGAAGTGCACATATTATCACTGTTTTCATCGAAATTCACTTGATTATGCCATTCTAGGACCAATCCCTTCGTGATCCACTTATATATACAGACGCAATAAAGGAAAGCCTCTTGAAATTTGACCACCTATTCGCCGCATTTGAGTTTCAGTAAGTAACTATTTTTAAAATTTGTGACAAGTGTGCGTTAATTGTGTCTGATCGTGCCGCCCACATAATAGACATCATTGTAAAGGGTATGTGTTTATATGAATTCATCGGAGATTAACGAAAAAACCACGAAAAACGTTTGATAATTAAGAATTATTTTACCGATTGATATTTGATGTCATCTTAATCATTTAGTGAAAAGGTTACCTTATATGCTCTAAATCTTCCCTATGGATATCTAACATTCGCCCTCGCCATTTGAGTCTTTCACTGTCTTTTACTGTCAGTTAATGGTAGTGAGTTTTTCCCCCCACTTGACTGAATATCATGTGCGGGAACCAGTCTCGTTACGAGAATGCAGCGTTTTTGTTACTTGACGAGGAAAGACTAGTCATTATAGCATAACTATACTACTTCTAGGTATGTCTCAGCAATGGTTCCGGTAAAATCAGTGAAAGAACATGACGCTCAATTGGATGTGGCAGTACTCTTTTCTGACGTGCTGGAGCGTGCTTTAAAACAGAAACTCATCACTCAAGAGCAGATCGATTCCTTCGATCCTATCGTGATGATTTGTATACCAAGACTGGCTATTGTCTGGTGAGCATGAGCATGAAATAATACTACGTCTTGGTTTTTGTTGCCTAACTTCGCTTTTTATAGGGGGCTTATTTACTACCCCGAAGGCGCTTTGAATGTTGATGGTCCGCAAGAGAACATCTCCGAGATGTTCCGTCCATATTATTCATTGCTGAGCAAAATTCGGAATCTTCTACTAGCCCTCACTCCGAATGAACTTCTCAAAGTGGGTTAAGTTCCCTATCATCATTCAGCAGTTTTTTTTTTCTTTATAGACAGTCCCACTTGAACTTCCTTTGTTAATATCACACTTGTCTGATGAGTTGTGCTCTATCTTATTATTAAAATTTTTTCTTCTAGGTTGAGAAGATACTATGCACGGGGGAAACTCAAGTAACGGAAGATAAGGATGCTCTAACAATGGCTGCGTTTCGCAGTAACCATGACTCTCATGAGCCACGCACACGCAAACCGCTTGCAAATCTGCAGTTGAAACGCTGTCAGAGCGGAGATAATAACTATGAATCCGGGACTGTGGCTGAGAAAACGATCGAAAAAGCTAATGGCGAGTGTGCAGAAAAACTTGAAATTGATGAAGACTATGAGAGTGGCACACAAGACGAAGCAGATGCTGAACCTTTATGCAGCTCGGAAGATGATGATGCTCAAGGACCAGAATACAGCTTGGATGATACGTGGTCAGTTCTTACCTTCTTACCAATTTGATGGATCAATTATTTTTTTCAGTATGTCGCCTAATGCATTTGAGTTGCGCTCAAAATTCCAGTCTGCTGATGATCTCATACACAGGTGTGCAGACAGAGTTTGTAATTACTCCATTCTGTATATACTACTGATTCAGACTGTTCGTATGCATTTCTGGAGTTGCCGATCAGCTCCAAACGAATTACTCCAGCGAAGTCCGCAAAGTGTTGAAACTCATTCTTCAGCCAACGGAAGTCATTCCGGTTTACGAAGTATGCCTTTTTTACGCTATCTTTTTTCTTAGTCATGTTATGTTCCCTTTTGTGATGCCATTTATGCAAGTACATCCCGCTGAGGAAGGGAGAGATGCTAGGAGGAGACGCTTCTCATTTAGGGGTTCCAAAAATCTGTATCTCTCTCTTCTACCCAACTTTCAAAGGCTCTACTACTTTAACACGTTAGCATTGCGCAGCGCTGTCACTCATCATGCTAAGGTATCAGAGTAGTAGAGTCTTGGAAAGTTGTTTAGGAGACGACAACAGATTCTTAGTGCACCAATAACACCTAGAAAATCATTTGGCTTTCTTTGATCTCATTGTAAATCACTAAGCTGTGATGAGAATCTAATATGGCAGCGCTACTCTAGTCTTCGATAGGAAGAATTATGGAAGTTATATGGTTCTTGATAAACCCATTTTGCCAGTTTTTTTTTCAAAAATTTGGTCATTCTGGGATCTCACTATTTCTATTACGCAAAAGCGTAGCGCTGTCATATCAGATACTCAACACAGCTTTATAAGGTTTGTGGAGAAAAATGACCTTACGGAAGAGCGCTGATAGGATATTACGAAACAATGAGAAAATGTATGACAATGCGCTGTCTATGCATGAGGGTAGTAGAGCTTCCGAACCCGGAATGTCTTCAAGTTTGAGCTTTTGATAGTACGTCAACTTTAATACGCTGCAGTTTCAGGTAAATGGTCAGACTGCGGCAAACGCCGAAAATGAAGAGGAAACCGGGGTAGAGGTGCAAGAAACCCTTCCGCTACCGTCATTTGTTGGTAAGTTGCTATTTTGAGACTTTCTCATGTACCTGATTTGACCTTCATATCACATCTCATTGAAGGTGTTCGTTGGGTGCCCGACGAAGATTGTGAGCAATGCACTGCATGTTCTGCTCCGTTCACGGTTGTACGCAGGCGTCATCACTGTCGTAATTGTGGCCGCATTTTTTGCAATAGATGCAGCAGAAATAGTATTTGCATTCCAGAGTTGGGATACGATCGCAAGGTAAGCCGTATTTTCTGCCTTGAAATTCTTTTGTCCTTTGCTCGTCATTTCTTGTCGTTCTTTTTTTTTTGATATGTGCTGAGGCTTTCATCCTCTAGCGGTTGCATTCCTATCCGCCAAATCGTACATTATTTCTGCTTTTTCCCTCCCTGCTCCATTTTACACCATCAAATGATCTGATTAGTTAATTTTCAGGTACGCGTATGTAATTTGTGTTTCCTGCACAGGATGAACCCTTTTGGTAACTGTGCGCCCGGTGCGCAATCAACTTCAACGGAGGTCCGCACAAACCCTCCTCCCCGAAGCTAGTCGTTTCGCAATTCACCAGATAACCTTACTCAGGACCATTTGCTCTACTATGTAACATCACCAATATTGTCTTGTTTTATTTCTCTTCGCATATCCTAACATTATCTCAATTCGCTAACGTTTTATCCTTGTCATGCTGGCGGGGATTTTCATCTATTGAGGTTGCCCCCAAATTACCTCTTTCGGTTCGTGCGATTCTCGTCAAACGCTTTCCGATATGACTGTGCTTTTGGCTGTATCCTCAGAAATGAATCGCGCACGCTGTTTATAAGTGCTGATCTTTGGGTAGTCTTATGATGTTTACTTGCATTTGTATTAGGGTCTATTCATCTTGTTATGTCTTAAGCATAGGTATAATTGTAAGGATCAAACAGAGTGGTGAAATATGTCGATCGACTCCGCTTCGTTATTACGTCAATTCACTTGTCACGGGATGTCTTTAGTATAGCAGTACCAAAATGGGAAATCATGAAAAGATGTGATGTATAAAGTCCGGTACATCGCAGAATTGTATCCGCGTTCGCTTTGCCATTTCATTATCATTCTTACTTCAACCCGGTATTTCATCCTCGATGATAGAGATTTCCTTTTTTTTCTGTTTGATGAACAGCTCTCAGCTGCTATTCGGTGTGTATCTTACTTCGCCTTGTGTTCAATATTTTCGTTGTGTATTCCAGATGAAGATTATTTCCACTGCAGCTGTAACATAGTGAGGATTCAGGTAAGGCTGGATTGCAGGGGAACGACATCTTGAAATTTTCTACTCGTTGTTAGCCATGCTCGCTAGATTGCCATGTGGAAGCAGCGTCCAGGCAAGACCTCGATTTTTCGCATATCTGAGGTCGTCCATAGAACTGATTATAAAAGTGTCACGATTGTCGTCGTCGTTTCCGGGTCCTATAATCTTACCATAAGCGTATGCACACTTTTCCGCCCCGAGTTTCACTTTGAACAACCGGAAATTATAAAGTCTTAGATTTTGCTAGGAATTTGCACTCGAGACTTTTTACTTGCCGATTTCGGAAATGTTAACCATTTTGCGTGGTACGGCGGGTGGGGGAACGAACGCCAGTTTGAGCCGCCTTAGCGTACTACTGATCCTGCAGCGACAGGCCCGGGCCTATTCGCTATGCTGAATCCGAAAATTCACACTGGAGAGCGCGTTCTAACACAGGATGGAAATCAGAAGTGGGCGGTGCTCCCCACTGTGACTTCACGCTTCCAACTTCCGGAGCGATCTTCTGGGTTCCGACTTCAATTCAAACGTTCGCACTTAGCCGGAGGAAATGTCAGGGCGGCTAGCGGAATTGAAAAAATTGCTTCGAAAGCTGAAAGCGTGAAGTCACAGTGAGGAAGACCCCGCCCACTTGCTGATTTCCCTCCTGTTTTAGAGCCTTTTTTTTGCCGTTTTCGCTCTCTCCAGTGTAGATTTTCGGATTCAGCATAGCGAATAGGCCCGGGTAAGCACAAAATCTCAAAATCGACTTTTTGCCCGGACACTGGAGGGTTTGATACTGCAAGATACATATACCGGTGTTATTGAGAAGAGATGTGCAACCTTTCTAGAATGAATTTATTAGATTCGATAAAAAGCTGATCTTCTTTGATTTCTCAGCTTTTAAAGATGGAAATCTCAAAAGGCAAAAATGAGCAACAACACGTGCGCATGCAGGATTTGTCATCGGTTGCCGCACGTATGCGCAATTACAGTAAATTTCGACCCGCTTTAGGCGGAAATTGTATTGGCGGGAGCCCGCCTCGCAACAGCTCGCGCCATTTCGCAGCTACAGTTACAGTGACCTATCGTGCTGAGAACCGAGGTCTGCGTCTCTTCATTCTTCTCAGTCTTTGCTTGGCAAAATGCCACCGCTATGCGCTCGCGAAGCCTCTAGCGGTGCGCACGCTCCGCTCCTCGTGGGATGTTCCTCCTAATTCGGGATGAAATCGACTGTAGATCTCTTGACTCATCAGCTCCAGTTTCCGGCTATTGGTCTTATTCATGTTAGTTACTGGTGTTTCGTTACATTGATTAGTCGTTCTGGGATACATGCACCGGATACATACGCTCTCTATTGCAAACATTACTCCAAGTTCACCAATAATATGCTATTGCTTAAGTAATGATTGGTTCAGCTTTGAGTTTTTTGAGGTTGAAATGGCTCCTACAACTTTTTTGTTCCTCCTAATGGTGACCGGAGCATGTTTCGTCAAGATGCCCAAATTTTTTGTCGCCACGTATGATGCCTCTGTAATTCAAGGTTATACTAACAGTATGCGAGATTGATACAAATTTGTACAGTCGTCTTCATTTTGGTAGACACATGGACGATTTCGAAGTTGAACTGGAGCAAACCGGTTATGGTAGAGCGCGGCACCATCAGCAAACTGACAAAAGAACCGTGTCGAGTCGAAGTGGCCTTTCCAGACCCATACTGCTTTGAAGAGTATTAAGCGGTGATTCCAAATATGCCTTTCAAATCTGCCAAGCGCCTCTGGACGCCAAGTTATGACCGTTCTTTGGAACGAAAAATAATGCAGGATTTAGGTAGAATTGATTGTTACAATCTTTCCAGCGCTCAGATAAAGCAATGTTAACTATCAGCATATTAAAAAATAAAATGTATCCATTGCATAAACAGCTCTGATACTTGACACTGGACCATTTGAGCAAATTTGGGCAATTTTGCTTCAGTTTTGCGTTCAATATTTGACCTAAAAATCGAGCATAACTCGGCGTCCTGAGGCGCTTGGCAGACTTGGAAACCTGATTTGAAATCACCGATTAATGCTCTTCAAAGCAGTATGTGTCTCATCTGGAAAGGCCACTTCGACTCGACACGGTTCCCTTGTGAGATTTAAGTGTGCGCTTTAACGCAACTGGCCTGCGCTAGTTCAAATTTGAAAAATGTTGTGCTCAGACAAGGGAGGGTCACAAAGTCGAAATGGCCAATCACCGCAAACTGCATAGCATCACTGAGAGCTTGTAATGTTGATTACAAACCTGCTTTTTCTACCTGCGGAGCTCTTCTTGGATAGAAGTTATACGCGTTTCTTGAGGCGAAAATATGAATCACTGGCCGGGATAATCTCCACTGCCATTCTAGAGGCAGATGGGGCAATGTAAAGTAGCTATGTGTTAAACAGAAGGACCTTATTGTTTGAAATATTCTGATTGCTAACGCTTCATGTAAGTTTTGGAGAGGTTGTAGCAATTGATCCCAGCCAATAGTTCATTTTTCGTCCAATAAATGCTCATAATGTCTTTCCCAAAAGAGCTCCGCAGATAGGAAAAGCCTTGGAACCAGCGTTACAAGCTCTCACTAATGGTATACAGTTTGTGATAGTCGGGCAATTCAAGTTCGTGACCCTCCCTTATGAGATGAGCGGCTGTAGTCAATTGGTAAAGTTCGTTTTGAATGTAAAATCATATAACATATAGCATCAATGCGAGAAAACTTTATCGGCAATCAATATACAGATAACTGTGCAGCTCGGTGAGGTGAGAGGTAAGCCTAGATTGTTGATAAACACATTCACACTATGAAATTCAGCTCTCTTCCACTCGTGAATTAAAATAGAGGTTAGTATATTCTATTGCTCCGATCGTGTCAGCAGCCACAGCAGCAAGGAATGCAGAAGTTGAACGTTGGAGCACTCGTCGCTGGTGCCGCCGTACTAGTGACCGGCGGCAGGTACATTGGCATACTTTGTTGTTGCGATGCTTGTGGTGGGCAACCTGAAAAATTCTTCATTTGTAGCTGTCAAATTCCAGTCTGGGATGAGGCAGGCCTTTTTTGGGTGGAGGAACGAACGCCTCGATTTGGCACCGCCTTCGCGGACTACTGGTCCCGACACGATGTACAACAGTAGGACGAAAGGACCAGCAGCCCGCAGAAGCGGCGCCTAATTGAGGCGTTCGTACCTCTACCCGCCTTTTTTCCGCGCTGCACCATACGGTACAGTGGTTCGTTGCGGGACCCTTGGGTGGATGTGTGGCATGCATGTGCATGTGGGAGACGTTGGAGAAGCTTTGGAGAGCAAGGAAACGAAAGGCCAATAAGGGTGTAGAGGACTATATGCCGCCGAAATGAGGCGTTCCCCGCGGTCATCATCTGCTATAAATGTGCACCCTTCCTCATGCATGGAAGTGCGCTTTTGCAGGAAGTCCGCGCGGGACCCCTCCCTACATTCGGGACATATAGTCTCCACCCCCCGATAAGGCTGAAATTTTGCGGATAGTCTGGTATTTTGATCATGACGTCATACTCAGCACGTTAGCACCATTTTTTGGGGTATGGATGGTAAACGGTAGTCCGCTCGCTCGGCCGAGTTCGCCTCTCCCTCCCTTAGAAACGCATGCTGCATTGCTATAAGCAAAGGGTCCCGTAACGACTCTGCGTCTCCAACCTTGGCGGGAAATGTGTCATTGGTCCAAAAAAACACAGGACTTTGAGAAGGCTCGTTCTCGCGAATTTCGCGCTTTAGAAGGCGGATTTTCGGGACTATGCTAACGGGTAACTACACCACACAGGTAAGCGGACATTTTTTAGGTGGATTTTTGCCGAGCTGCAGATAATCTCAACTGTGCTATGTGCACGGCGGGTCCCACAATGAACAACTGCTATACCGTATCGATGCAGAATACCTCCCTTTATGGTTCTTGCCGTCATGAAGTAAACAAATTCAAAGTTGTAGAACTTACAGACTATGATGTTTATACAAGCGGCAGGTTGCGACTGCGATGCCATGCCATTAGTGTAACTTGGAGCTGGAGGAGGTGGTGGTGGTGGCATGGTAGTAGGTGGAAGAGTAGGAATAGGAGGTGGTTGCTGTTGCTGTGCTTGACCATTTTGTGGACAACAACAGCAGCAACAGACGGTCCAACCGCTACCGCTACCGCCTGGGCTCATACCCTCAAAATAATTTTTGAGATTATATAATAGAATATAGCAAATAAGTACATATTCACTTACTCCATTACCATTGATACCGGAACCTAGGAAGGGCTCTCCTAGATGCGCAATTGTACAGAGAAGTGCTACAGAGAGCAATGATCGCATGGCAGTCTGTGAAATTTCAAGACCTATAAAACCTATAAAAAATTGAGATGTGCAGCAAATGACAAAGTTCTTCAATGTTCTACAAATGTCGCTCAAATCATGATTTGGTGTTGGTGCTGTTAGAATTGCTAGAAGATTATTCAGAATGCTTTGCGAGTTTTTTTTGACACGTACCTATTCTGCGAACATTCTCGACAGAAAATGTCTTATTGAGATTGAATAAAAAAATCAAAAGATTCAACAGTAAATAGGCATCGAGTTGTTCAAAAGTTTTCAAAAAAAATTGAATTTAATCACTTTAGTTTAAAATTAGGATTTGTGCAATAAATGACACTAAAATGACAGCAAACTAATCAACTGTGCTATCACTTCATTTTAAAAACATTTTAAGGCATAATCGTAGCGATTTAGCACTTCATCAAAAAATCTGTAAAAAAAACGAGTGCTCAAAATGTGAAGCGAGAGAACTTGGCCGAGAAGCCCACTAAGATCTTTTCCTATCAGACTTACTGTATATATAGTAGTCCGGAAACTTGGAGAGAAGATCTCCGCCTTGACTATACTACCGGAATGGTCAATGTGGTCCAGAAAAGAATGAGTAAATAACTCATCCGGTTGAGAAGCTGGCGTAAGAATCTACGTGTAAATATGCTTCGCGCCCCATTTTACCGGTTTTTTTCCGACAAATATCCCGCATTGGTTGGTTGTTGTTTTGCTAGGTATTTGACTGGTTATTTTTTTGTTTGCTAATCGTTGGTATGTACTAGGATGTGGTTCGGTGGAGTGATAATCAGGAAGTAGCTATCCTAAGGGTTTTTGAAACTTGAACGCGAAAATAGCAAGGTTAGAGAAAATTTATGTAGAGATTCTGCGTCTTATGACCTTCCTGTTCAGTAAAATTCGCTAGGTTCTAAATTATGATCAACAATTACTACGAATAAGTCTCATGTCTATTTTGCGGGACTCTAATGCATCTACTCCTGCTATTTTACAAATCTAGTTTAACTACTGTTAAGATCTCAATGTATATCCGTCAAGAAATAGGAATTCCATATACTCATCCCGATGTTGGTGATATTTGAGACCATAGAGTCGCTCATTGTCCCCTGTCTTTTGAGTACCTTGTGTTTGCATATGAGGGGAAGCTGCGTTGCATATTCACAGCAGGCAGAATTGTATTTATGAATATACATATGCGAATGGCTTAACTTGTAGTGTAGGCTCCTCGATATTGTTGTACTTGGAGGAAAAATCCAGTAAGGATATGACAGAAAAAGAACACCAGCGTAATTTTATCCCTGCTAGTATTTTTTGATATTTGAAAAACTTTTATTGATGAAAGCTTCATCATCATCTCAGAAAAATATAAATTTATATGACCAGAAACCAACAAATACCTGGGTGCCGGAAGTATAGTGACTCGAACCTAGTTGGTTTACATAGAAAACGAGATCCAGGGCTCGGCACGAGGTGGCTAGTTAAAAATGCAAGAAAAAAAAGAAGTTCCCCTTGACTTTTGCGAATATTTATGAAGTCCCCTTGACGCTAGGCCATAATCCCTAAAAAATCCCCAGAAAACGAAACGTAGACTAAAAAAACGTAGTAAATTTTGTGTCTTTTCGGCCACAACAACGAATCCCCCTTTGCTTTTGTCCGAAAAGCAAAGGGGGATTCGTTGCTGCTTTTGCTTTTGTCCTTATAAGCCACCTGTGCCGAACCCTGACAAGGTTAATAATTTTGGCAGCATTTGTTCGTGTTGACTTAAATGAAATTAAGCAAATGGAAATATTGAGGTACAATCTTATCTCCGTTTTTTACTGAATTTTCCTGGGATCTAATTGTACTTCGTATTCCAATTCCATCTAATTGTATTTCCTATTCCAATTCCATGTTGTTCGGGCTCAGAATACTAGACGCAGATCAAAATATCGTAATCAAATAGCTCTGTACAACATTGCATATCTCACTTCTGTTTCAGGATCAGACTGATAACATGCACGAAAGTATGTTTTGTTATATCATACATGTTCGCTGGAAAACTCGACACGATCTCTAAGGGAATGGCAGAATCCGTATAATTATGACAGCCTTCTGCAAATGTTTACTCAAGCAACATCCTGCGTTTGAAGATATTCAAACACTATGATGATTTTTACATCCCTCACCTCCATTACCTTCATTCGCTATTCTAATCGATGTTCAGAGTCCCAAACTGCTTTCTGAACGTTTAGCAATTTAATTTTTAATAAACGTAAATTCTCATTCCGGAACCTGATTTGGTCCTGAAAATGTGCATGTGAGAGGATAGAGTTACGTCTTGCTTCTGTCACGTCGAGTTACTGCTTCTTCTTCTAGATTATATCTATGTTCTTATTTCTCTTGATCATGTCAGGAGATACACAACTGTCAAAAGTGATTTGTCCAGGCACTCATTCTGCTTCATGAATTGTAATAGTTATGATAGTACAACATATTTTAGTCAAACGAGAGATTTTGGACAGTTCGAACTTTGAAACCTAGAAATTTAAATCGCAGTTACAATAATTTCTCCCCTAACTCATTTCCGGCATCTTGCATGTCTATCGCACCAAAACCCTTGCATATTTTATCAGCACATATCTTAGGCCTCGAACAGAGTTCACGCGATTTGATCGTCGCGATTCAATCGCTACAAGACAAGTTTTACGAGTTCGTTGCATGCCGATCTTCTTGTATTTCGCCTGTGGCAGTTAGTCACGATTAGCTGTGTTGGAATACTATCACAACCGAGTTGCAAGAGGATTGGCATGCAATGATATTGTTACAGTTGTCTTGTCGCGATCAATTGCGACAATCAAATCGCGTGAACTCTGCCCGAGGCCTTAGGTGGCCTAGTATCAAAGATTTTTTGCATTGTTTCACTCCATCCAGATAGCTTAGTGGTGATATGATGTTCAATTCAAAATACTTTTGTCTTCCGAAAGCCTCCTCCTAAATAATCCAAGTGCATAAAATTAGTAGTTGAAACTTCCACCCAAAAAGCGTTCTCCGAACAACTGATCTGACCCCGGTGGTGCTACGATCACTGCGATCCAAGAAATATTTGCTCATTTTAGTCTATGGAAGGATTGAAAAAGAAAAGGAATTCTACGTGGTGTACAGTCTTACTCCACTAAATACTGAGCTGGCTTCCCTGTGTTAGCTCCGTATCCTCTTTTTGCTAAAATCATCAAAAGTCTTCCCAGGCATGGCGTTTTCCACAAGCATATGCAAGAGCCGTATCGGGTAATTTCCTGTTTACTTTGCACATTAACTTGTCTGTTGAAGGTTCTCTATTTTGGATAGAAGAGATAGCATTGCATGAAGCGTAACATCAGGGTGGTGTGCCTTTTGAGGAGGTGCATATAATGTTTGTTGTTCTACCCCATTTTTTTCACACATGGCAGTTTGGAGATGTTTGGTTTGTTCATGTTAATATAGATTTGAAAGGAATTGCACAGAGTGGAAGAGGAAAGGCGGTTATACCTTGATGTTTGCCTCTTGTGTCAGGCTTAGGTGTTTTAACGTGTACTTGTAGCTCATTTTTTATGTGCGGATTGTTTTTGGCTAAATGGTTCCAACTCTTCAGCTCGAAAGCGCTGGGTAAAACCATTTTCTGTTTCTAAAGTTGTGCTCTTCTCAGTCAGAATTGACGGAGAACTCGATGTTCTGTCTTTGTTCAGACAAGACATGTTTTTCACAAAAGTGTAGGCGGTTCTTCCGCTTCAGCCATCCTTTGCGTCTTCTCAAAATCTTGAGAATCTAGCTTATCTGTACTTTCAAAAATACTTTTAGATGACTACTCCGTGGTTGATGATTAGCAATTGCTCGACGACTTGCATTTGGAGCTTGCCTCGCTTTCTTTCTTACAATAGTTTTTACTATTATTTGGGTTTGCGTTCGTATTTTTGAAGCACACTCAAAATCTTCGCAGACCTAAAGCACGTAATTGCTGTAGGCCTTCGTCTTTAGATTATCAATAAAATCAGTTAAATATAATATAGAGTCTACCAGCACTTGACAGTGACATTGGACTTTCAATATACTCACAGTACCATTGCGGACCCTTTTTACCCCCAATTCGACCAATTGTTAAAAACGCTGATCTATAACGATGACTTTATTGACTAGATTCACAAAGTATTGCGTCAGAAAGTACGGTGAAGCGCTATACTTTTTCCTTCAGGCAGTTCCCATGTCCATCGACTTTTTTTTCATTCATTGAAAAAGCGTTCTGACAATCGTTTGGCGAAGTAGTACTGAGCAATACCTTTGCTTTTTCGGATCCCATCAAAATTTTGTGATTTTACACACCGATTATCGAGATCATAAGGAGGGCACTTGTTAATCGAGGTGATCTATCCCTTTGAATTGAGGGATTTTGTTAGCTTTTTAGCTCAATAATTAGCTCGATATCTACGACATTTCCATGATTTTTCTATTGAATACCCTGCATGACATTCACAAATTCTGCTTCATTCAGTAATGATTTTAACACTAGAGGATAGAGCAGCATCTTCGACCAGAACTTTGTTAGCTGCCGTAGCTTTGTGCCCACGTCATAGCTTTGTAAAAAAGAATTTAGTGGGTTTTGCTTTTGTCTGAATTTTAAATTGAAAAAAAAAACGTAACTATTCCAAGAACGCACTTTCATTATTGAGCATGGAAGACTATAGCTGTATTTGCTTCATTTCGGAATTCTCCTCCTTTAGCTATCGGTTTACCCCCTCTACTTGGCTCTCATATTCGAAGTTTTCTTGTGTCAACAATATACCGAGACGAAGTCGGCAGTGTTGGCATTTCTTGGCCTCTTGTGCCTTTGTTCTTTTGGAATATTACAAATGGGGAGTTCACAGACTTTCTGACGTTTTTGATATCTTTCCCAACTTTTCTCTCTTTTAGGCAAAGACGTAGGAAACAAGTTCATATCCATTATTATTCGCATCTCCTTCTTAAAGCAGATACATCTAAACTTCATGTGG